AAGCAAGTGCAGATTGAGTCTGGCGACCTGTAACTAATACTCTCTCGGTCTAAAAAATATAATGTATATTGCAGTTTGTAATTTGTAGAAAACATAGTACAAATTATATATTACAATACAGATTATTAAGGAGTAATATTCTCGTGTATTTTATATCTGAATATGATTGGAAAACTTTCAAAAGTGATGGCGAAAAATGGTTAAAGAATGGTATTTAGCTGAAAATTTATTTATTTATAGGAAAATCCGGTTCAAAGGTTTGTTCATTTAATCTCAAAACTGAGAATATTTTTTTAAGGATAGAGAAACTCCATAATTACACTCAATTTATTGACGTGTACGACAGTAATACAGAGTAGAACGGGACGTGTATGGGAGTAATACAGAGTAGAATGACATTATTGTGAGTACTTACCGTGTGGCAAAAGTTTGATAATTTAAATAATCTATAGTACTTAATTAAAGCAGCAAACAAAAAGAACACATGTCAGATCTACAATGAAAATTTTTCCGCCAAAAGGCGTTTTTAGTACAAAATAAAAACTGACACGTGGCACTCTAAAATTTCAGAAAAAATGATACTTTAAGTAAACCCAAGCTTTATTTCTAATAAGGAAAATAAGGACAACTGTAGGCAGTTTAAATTTAAATAAATAAGATAAGATAATAAGGAAAACCATAGGCAATTTAAATGTAAAAAACAGGGATAATAATCACTCCATAATTTCAGTAAATAATAATCACCATTTTAGCCTCCATCAATGCGACCCAAACTCTCTTTAGCTTCCACAACACAATTCTTTCGGATTAAATCAAAACCCTACGATTTGGCAGTGCTTCGATAGCGGCGCAACAGGAGATAGTGTTCTCTTTATTTTCGGCATTGGATCGTTTTAGAGGGGAAATATTTTTGGAATCGGTAAGTGACTCCCTCTGTCCGTCTACTTTTTATGTGTTTATATGAGTGAACTTTTTTTCCCAAAACAGAAAACAAGCAGGATGGATTTTGTTCGGAGTGAATCGTCCATCTTAAGGATTGAGGAGCATCGTAGCATCGTGAACACGTTAGTATTTTTTATTTTTTTTTTGTTGGTTAGTTATTGTTTATCCTTTAATTGTTCTTTTAAATTTTTTTTTCCTTGCTTCAATCCAGCTATTCATATCAATTATTTTCTGCAAATTTTGTGGGTGATTATGTTTGACCTAGGTTTTGAAATCTTGAATGGAGTTAATTTATGAATGACTTAAACCACTGGAGGGATGGTAATAATGATGGGTTTTGATCATTTTAACATGTGTATTGATGATTTCACGCACAAAGGTAAAGTTTTTTGGTTTGATGAAGATGATGTAATTATTGTTTTGTTCATATATACAATTGGAAGCAGCAATTATTTCCTTTTCTAATAGAAAATTTTTTTAGTATGTTCTTAGGGATTTGATTAGTGAGTTCAAACATCTAATTTTGTTTAGTTTGTTCTTAAGAATTTGAAGTAATGATTTCAAAGTTGGAGCAGCATCCATGTAATCAAAGATCAAGGTTCAGATTATTATTGAGCCATATACAAAGTGGATTAAACAACATCATGATTTTTTCTCTTGATAATTTTTCTTTTTAAATAAGAATACAATTATTCCAGGAAGATATTTGCTATTCAATATTCAGACGAGTAAATAGATATGATATAGGAATATAGAATTGCGGTTTGAAAGGTTGTCGGTTTCTCAATAGTAATGTTGAAGTGGGAATTTTTTTAATACGAAAATGAGAGGCTTTCTATTATGATTTCATTTGTTAAATTTTGTATGTATTCCTATACAAACAATTATTTTCTTTTTTCTGTTTTTTTTCCCTCCTGATCAAATACAAACGAGCCTTCCTCCCTTACGATGTATAATTTACCTCTTAAATTATGTTTTTATTGTTATTTTATTAAAAAAATTTAATCTCATATCAAAAGAAAATTATATTTTTATTCTCATTTTATTAAAAGAAAATTTAATCTCATATCAAAAGAAAATATCTAAAGTTGAGGGCTTTAATTAAGTACTATAGTAAGCATTGGCGTAGTTTTGGATTTTTTTTTAATTAGTTAGTTAGAGAGAAAATATGTGTTTAGTTCAATCGTGATGAACTATGCATGAGTTGGAGGCGCAGGCACCTACGTTGAATGATCGAGAGGAGCTTTTTTCTTTTTTTTTTTGGAGTCTTTTCCAAAAAAAAAAAAAAAAAAAAGAGTCAAAGTCTAGACATGCCAATGATTCAAGAATATATTGATGATCATTCTAGATTTGAACAGCTATCGGCCGGAGTGACGGTTCCTAGGTCCCGATTGAACAAAGGGAAAATAAAATCGATGAAGTAAGAAAAAAACAGAAGAATTAGAAATAAGAGTAAATAAGGAAAAAAGAAAAAGGATTGGCATTTATTTTTTGTTGGACTGAATTCAAAAATGAAGAAAGGAAACAGATGGAATACAATGATGATTAAAGGATGGAATAGACAATGATGACTCATTGCCTTCGATTTTAAAGATTACTGAGGCTGAAGAGTCTAAACACATTGTAATTAATAATAGGCCGGGGTTTGGGACATTTGGAGGAGCACTTTCTAAAAGAAGTGTTTATTCTTTTAGAAATCTATGTCACTCATCAAATTTCTTTTTCTGATGATTTGTTTTAATTGTGTAACCAATGAAATCATAGACCGGCCATTGGCCACGTATTCATTTGTTTTTACCTTTTTTTTATCATTGTTAGTTATGATAATAAAATATATAACGTGAGATTTTTTATTATTTGTTTTTTATTACAATGCAATATATTCTTTTTAGTTATACATTATTTTATTGAGCAAGCTTGCCCGGGTATTCGTCTGAGGCAAGTTATTATTATACTAATATCAATACATTTTGTTACAAATATAAATTCTAAGAGATCGCCCGGGCATTCGCCCGGACCAAGCATCTAGTTAGATCATGATTGAAACACTACATATCTCCGACCAACATAATGTGTGGTTTATCAATCTAGTTGACATGTACTTATTTCCTTTTCCAAAAAAAAAAAGAAAAGGCATGTACTCTTTTCCTTGTTATTGAAAAAAAGGTTAAGTAATTAATTAGACCATTGAACTAATCCTAGTTCACAAAGTTACTAAAATGGGTAGGGGGAAAATCTAAATAGCTCATATTAGAAACTAACTAGCCGATTCACTAAGATGTGATACGATTTTGGTTGGTTGCCTCAAACTAAATAGCTGATTCAGAACACAATATCGATAATCTAGTCATACCGCTGGATCGGTCTATAATTTCGATTATACGGTATGAATGTAGAACTATTCAGTCTTCCTCCCCTTTCATGTTGGACTTGTGGAGAGATAGGAGCAAGAGTAAAAGGTACCTTGGTCCAGCACGAAGTGATAGTTGTTTGGTGATGAGATCATGAATGACTCGCCTCTCATCCAGCCATAGGTCAGCCTCCGTCAGCATCGGCAGAACAAAACACATCACTTCATCGGCATAACCCCCAATTGAAAAGTTGAGTTTCACTTGCCTATCCAAGTTGGCCACTTCACCTCCAAAAACTGCCACTGGTATTCGCTGATACTGATCAAGCGGGATAGTGGGCAACCCCAATTCATCCACAAAACTTGCACTCGCAAAGTTGCAACAACGCTTCCTCGTCTTGGACCAAACATCGAGTATGGAAACGCATGGGTTGAGACACCCTACGGAAGGGCTTGGTACGAATGTACCGATCCGGGGGGAGGGTAAGCCTGCCATTCCAGGTGCCACTGCTCCTAAACAATTCACATAGCACGTAATCACGACTTGACGCAATTCCATGAGCAGCTGGATCGATGGTGTATTCGATCATATGCAAACTACATTTCAGCAATGGCGGTGTTTCGTCGAAAAATGTGAACGTGAAACGCCTCTTGTATCCTCTTGAAGATGATGTCCCGCCATCATGCATAGCCTCCTCTTCTTCTTGATCAGTGCTTGGGTGCCAAGTGCCACATCCAGCCACCACCCGGTTATTAGTATGATCAGGATTCAGTGTTGTGAAGAGATAAAAGACAAAGTTCGTGGGTGCCAAAACCAGGTTTCTCCGGGTCCTCCACTACTCTCCACGGAAAATGCCCAAGGTCGCGGTCTTTTGGAAGGATCACGTCCAGGCCGACGGGAAGACCGTGGGGGGTTGTCTGCTGTCACCGTACATATCTACCTCGGGAACCAGCTTGGATTCCGACTCGGATAGGTGTCCCACAATCTTGTTCTTCAGGTAATACCCCCACTAATTCCTCCTCTGTGGGTCTGAATCTCTTCCCCTGCAGTATGACCATTGGAGCCGGGCGGCAAGTGTTGGACAGATTAAGACAGACTAGTGCTTATAATCTGAATGCTGTTAAGAGGTTTAATTCACCCAATCCTTAATTCACTCGACGGGAAATTATTAATCGTTGGCTTTCTTTGAAGCACAACCTCCCTATTAATAGAGGGGCGGGTTTTGATTTCCTGATGGTACCAGGAATTCAACCCTAAGGCTGAGAATGGGCCCGACGGAGGATGACGATAATGGGCTTTTTAATGGGTTTTTACGATTGTACGCAACATGTCATGAACTCGAGGGTTAGAGCAGAATTATAGACAATTGTAGTGACCAAGTTATGAATTCCTACTGCTAATTTGTTAGACATACGGAAATAACTGTATTATTAATACAACCGGCGTAACTTGTAAACATTTAGCTAAGAAAAATAAATGAAATTGCTTCTTCTTTCCTGTTCTAATCCTAATTCCTCACTGTTGTTTACATAACCCTAAATTTGTTCCTGACACAATACTAAAGGTTGGTTCTCACAAAATCCGCGAATTATAACTCACACTGATTTCATTTTGACAATAAACTTATAAATCCACATGTTTACTCAAAATCAATTAGAAATAAGTGAAGTGAAACAACCATTAAAACCTATATATTAAGCAGGTAACGTGGGACCACATCTTCACATTTTGCTTTTAAAGATTGCAAAATGGATGCGGAACAAAACACTTTTTACAACTCAATTCAGAACCCTCAAAATAGGGAAGAACAAGGAAAAAGGGTTGATCTTTGCATTGAAAGTTTTATCCAGATTGGTAAGTTCCTACGGAAGAAAACCTTTTGATTTTCTGTAATGCTCTTGGCTCAGAGTAGCAACTTCAGTTTATAAAGTATGATTCATTTGTATTAATAATCTACAACTAGCCAGTCTAGCCAGCAAAAGGTATAAGCTCTTTGGGGCATTAACGTCTTGTTCTTTATGTTACATTTCTTTCGGTATTAGGACATCTTCGCCCTGGCAAAAAATATTCCTGCAAACAAACCTGCACAACAATTTTGGGTACTTAGATCATACAAGAGAGGCAAGGGAGGGGGAGATGGGTAACATGTTGATTGAGAGTTTTACCAAATAGTATACTGAAGAAATTGGGAAGACTAACTGGAACCCTGAAAAGTACTATCCCAGCAATGGAGATGGGAATCTTGTTCAAAGATCCGACCAAACTGCAAAAAGGATGAAAGTGAGCATACTGCGGTGGCATCTCATAACTAAAAGCTACTCATTTTATCAGCAGAACTTTATGTTAGCTTCAGTGACCGTAATAGATGTAAACAATATTGCCATTTGCTAATGGAAGTTGGGAATAATAGTGCAATGAGTTCATAAATACCTGTAAGTGGTCGGACTAGTTTGATTCAAAAACCACATAGAGCAAAAACTGATGGCTAGCCCAAGCACCCCACTAGCTGTTGCAACAACCCAAAACATTGGCAACCTTATGACTTTCCTGAAAAAGTTGAAACAGAGTCATAAATATACATTCATCTTCCATTTCAGTCACGGCCAAGCTCAAAGAGCAGTGGGAAAGGATTTTGGGGCTTACGCATTAGCAACATAACTCCATTCGTTGAAAAAGAGTATCAAGAAGATGGCAAATGGTAAAGACAAGGAATTATTTAGAAGCACCATTGAAACTTCATTAAGAGATCCAGACTTCGTATATTGCTTTGCTTTATCCATAACTCGCCGCAGAGTGAGCTATTGGTTGGCAGTAAAAAACTTTAGAGATTCAGAATAATTCGGGTTACTATCTCATGATTTCGAATATTATCAATGATTTGTGAATTCTTGAAAACACCATACCGAGTAGCTTGCCGTTAAAATGCAGTTCAACATTTGCCATGCATAACCCTTTGCATCAAATGAGAGATCAGTTATTCCTCCACTTATAGCAGAGATAATCTGCAAATCAAAAAAAAATTACAGGGTCAAAGATGTAGCTTCAACTCTGACTCACTTCAGACACTCTCTAGAAAGTCTAGCGAGAAAGGATTCAAAAGGGGGTGCATGACATAGTTTCGCTGCTCTAGTTCTGCTAGAAACTTGGATCCCATGTCAAAGTCCAACACATGACATAGAAATGATACACGCACAGGGACTTCCAAAGCTAAAATGGAGAAACAGTGACAAGTATATGTCAATGAGAAAGGCTTTACCAACATTTTTTTACTCTGAAACATTTGATAAGTTTTGAGAATTCTATAAAGATGCATGCAGCAAGGAAAGGAAGTACCATTAGAAACATTGCAGTCCACACTTGATGATTCTGATGTTTCCGGAAAAGATAAAATTCTCCAATTGCTGTTAAAATGTTTGTCACGTTCTTCAGAATTGTCACCATTGCAATATTTATGTACTTCAAACTGAAAATTTCACAAGAAATATCCTTGGCTCAATGAAATGACAAAAAATCCCACAAGTATCTAATATTCACATTTTGATGCTTGTTCTAAAATCATGTTACGCCCAACTGTATCGCTTTGTGGCAGTGTTGTACTTTCCTGATTGCATATTTATATACATTTTCTCCTTAAAAATGAAAACAACATTGCATTACCTATACATCCCTGATACAAGCATGCCAATGAAGATTAAGTTAACGGGGATCCAAACTTTAACAAGCTCCCAATTTAATTTTTCTACAGAGACTGCTCCAAAGAGGCCCAAAACAACCACTATGAAAGTACTGATAAGATTCTGCAAGAAGACCAAAATTAACTCTCATCAAAACCTATATATTTATTGATGTGTATGTCCCCATGTGGCAAGACAGCATATGTGAAATGTTTTCGGGTGTCTCAGAAACACCTCAATTTATTGTATTATTGTGTGTGTGAGTATGTGTGCGTGCGCGCATGTGTGTGTGGGGAGCGGAGGCTGGTATCGGGAATCATTTTTCAGCAAGAAAATGACCGTACCTGGTAAAACATGAGGGAAATTCCAGCATTGAAAGCATAACTTGATAAGACAATTTTGTTAAGCAAAATCATACTGCAAGAAGCAAAGCAATAAGCAGTTCCAGATAATAAAGGTCCGGATTTTCTTCCAACTCCGAACTGCCTTTTCACATCCCCACTGAAGACACTACTCAGTGCTGCTTGACTCCCTAAGAAAATCCTGCTTGGTTATCAAAATTTAGTAATCACAAGTGAATAAGTCGTTTGCTTCAGTCAATACACCAAACTACACAAGCATTGGTACAGTAGCAGTAAAATGATCCTGATGGAAGATATACACTCGAGAGTCATTTGGCCCACGATAAAACTTCAGTTCTCAGTCTATTGCAGTACTAGTCAATTCACCTACTAAGCTCAGATAAGGACATTGAGGAAAGCACAATGAAGAAGCTAGAAAATATGCAAAAGAATCAAATGAATGATCTTTAGGATATTTCAGGGCCAGGTCATTTACAGTAACAAGGAGACATTAGAATGGAAAAGCAATGACACAAAAAGAAACAGAAAGTAACTAATTTCCAGCTCTAGACTTAAACCAATCAATTTAAATTATATCAGCCTTAAAAATCTAAAAACCACTTGACATCCATCCGTATTCTCTCATTTAAAGTAAACTCGGCACCTGTCATTTGTTATTCTGTTTTCTGCTGTTTCTGGAGAAACATTCATTGACCACTCTCCTTGGCTAGGAAATCCATTTTGTATCTTGTTTACGACATCACTTCTCTCGCCGAATTCATTCTCATCAAAGCCATATGGTGGGGTGTCTTTCCCTTCATTGTAGTCCATTGAGTTAAGCTTTGTCCCTGACGACATGATCACCTGTTTAGAAAGACCCACAGGAAAACCAGGAGATATTTATTCCCAAAGTAAATTACATATATGCTACTAGAATTTTGTGGCAGAAAATACAAGAAGCAAGCAACTCTGTTGTACAAGAGCAACTATCTAGTAATAGTTTAAGGTCAATATGGAGACAGAGAAAGATGGAGATGGAACAAAACAACAAACAAAGCAAGTATTTATAGCATTTTGATAAGGTCTACTATCAGGCTTAACCCGCAAAGGAGATCCCCACTTCCCCAGTAGACCATATTTCGATACTCATGAGGTGGTTACCCCAAGATAGAGGCAGAATTGGCTAGTTGACATTGTTTATGAAGCTCCACTATTTATGGTGAATGAACTTTCCTGAACACGAACAAAGTCACCTAGATGATATCAATTAGGAAGCTCCACAACTTGTGCTGACAAAAATTTTCCAGAAACTTAAAGTCGCCTAGTTGATATAGTTTATAAAGATCCATTACTTATGGCAGCACTCCCCCTTCCTTCAATTAATAACAGTAAGCATTAAGAACTCATGGCACTATACCACATTATCGGTTGGGATTCAAGCCTAGTCCTAACAGATGAAAACAATGCCTTTCCTCCTATGCCAATATCCTAAATCATCTGCGTTTTCACTTTCCATAGATTGACATTTTGAAACTGAGAGAAACCCCAAAAACAAAAGAAATTTCGACTTGATTTCATTCTCGGCTAGTAATTTCAAGCTGTCACTCATCTTTATTGGCTCACTAACCAATATCAGTTCTACCCCGATCATAACTGCATTTCGTCCTCAACTAGTAGCCAACGGCGGTTTTTTTCGGCGTCCAGAAATAACAACCAAGAAATGAAACCAAAAAAAAAAAAAAAATTGAAAATCAACACTACACATTACCTGTAACAGAGAAGGCAACTGAATCTCCGGCTACTCTGCAGCGGTGAAGTATGAACTACAACATGAAAAGCACCAGATTGTCCAGCAGCAAAAAATCAGAAATATAGAAAAGAAGCTGACGCCAATTGCTTTAAGTTGAGTGAACTTTCAATTTATTTTTTTTTTTTCCTCCAAAATCACGCAAAGGTGAATCAGCAAGCGGGGATCTAATTGAGTAAGTCTACGGAAACCCTAGGCCTTTTTATTGCAGCGGTGGCAGAGCATATAAAAATTTGGCGGAGTTTTCGAGGTTAGGTGAATGAGAAGGAAGCGCGATTCCGGGGAGGCAGAAGCAGAAGAACCACCGCCACGACCGGGGACGGAGGAGCAATTGAATAATGGGGAAAATGGGGGAAAATCGAGACGATTTTCGAGGTTCTGAAAAGTATCAGTAAAAAATACGTTCCCAAATCTGTTGCTCCAACTCCCATGGCTTCCATAACTTCCATGGCTGACTAATCTCCACAGAGCGGTTCCTTTATTTATCCTTTCATTTTGAAACTGATGCGATGCGCGGAAAATGTGGCGCCCTTACCTGTGGGCTTCATGTGGAATGTCCAGTAAAGTTTGGGTAACTGTAGTTTTCTATGGGCCAGTGGTACTTTACTGGGCTGGTGTTCCAACTTCCAACAATGCAGCGGTGACCTTTGAAAATCACCATAAAAATTTCGAAATATGCTACAAGAATGAAAGGGTGGTCTTAAAAGACTCAAATAATCTATAAAACTCACCATGAGAAAATCAAAAATTTGTCTAAAGCATGGAAGTCTAGTCATCCTAACTGTTCTTTCTGTACTGAATTAATGTTCTATTTTAGAACAAATCCAAGTCGCACCATCATTTTCAAATAGAGGGAATATTATTTGTATTATCTCCGTCTCAAAATGATTATCCACTGTAAATTTTTATTGTGAAATTTAAATTATACTACATAAAGTAAAAAAACCAAATTATAATGACTTTACTTGAACAGGATCAGTTGTATAGGATTGTACCTCTGTATCCTAAGTGTTAACGAGACAGAAAATTCAAACTAGATAATCATTTTGGAGGGAGAGAATGTATACGCAAGCACCCTTTTAATTTGTTTGACCCAGTAGCGACCATCATTACTTGTTTTCTTTGTTTCACCATACATAGTATGGCCCGAATAAATGTACATGACAAAAAATGAAATGATTATTCCAACATAAAGTTGTATAAGGAATCATGTTAGTAATGCTTACATAGTGATATATTGATATGTGTTATTTAGTTGTTATATGTACTATCATTTTGTATTTAATAACTAAGAACTCTTATCGATCATTTTGTACTATCATTTTGTTATATGTCAAATACATAATATTAATTCAAGTCCATGATTTTGTTTAGAATTTCAGTTTGAGGATAGTAGGATGTCAAAAATCATTACGGCCAAAAGATGTTAGAAAATGTTGTAATCAAATTATTCATCTTTAACAACGCTTAAATTATACTCGTAGTATGTATTTTCTTTTTTTGTAAAAATAAGAGTCTCGTGCTTAATTTTCGAGTTTGGAAATTTGGCTAACCAGTGTGGTTTAGCAGCCGATGATAATTAACGACGATCAATATTTATTTGGAATTTTTTTGAGTTTAATAGAAGGATGTTGAAATCTTTTTATCTTTTCAACCACATAAGCTTTTTTGTGCTTTTGACAAACACATGAGCATCCTCTCTTTAGAGGTCATTCCCTCTCTTGGAGAGATAAACCCTAATTCCTAAAGGGGCCGCCACCTACTTCCAGATTGGGGTTCTTCAAGGTGAAAATTGCTTCGCACATAGGAATTGAAGATTGATTTCTACGACGGGTTGAGAGGATAGGCGTTGGTAGTCTAAGGAAGGGCAACAGAGGATCAATTCCCCATTTCAAACACAATTATCACATCGTCGTATAGGATTGGGCAAGGAATTGAAAGCGTTGAAAGCAAAAGGCTGGCAAGAATTCTCGGTGAGCTTCATCGGCGGAGTATTTTCTGAGTTGAAACACAATTATTATACTGTATCTAGACTATAAAAAGATACTTTCTCCAGCTTTAACGGTCTTCTATAGATTTCGACCTACGGCTGCATTGATTATAGGAGAATCTGAGGTGAAAAGTAGCAGTGGACTGCTCTATAATTGGTAGTTATTGACAGCAAGCATATTATACATGCTGGTAAGGCTGTCAATCTCTGACTCGACCCGAAATTTCGACACGAACCTAACACGTAAAAAGCGGGTTAGGGTTGAGAATTTAGACCCGTATAATAAACAGGTCGAGTTAGGGTCGACTTGTTTATTGTACATGTTGGGTTCGGGTCAACCCCCCGGGTTACCCGGGTCACCTATAAACATGTAAATTATATAATATGTAGGGGTGATTTTGGAAATTCAAATTGAAAGTGTACCCTAATCTACGGGGTTCAGTGGTTCATTGGTTCATTACTTCATTTGTCAAATTTTGTCTCTCTTTTTAACCTTCTTTCTCGCTCTCTCATAGCGGCGGCCGACCCAATCCTCATTCTTCAGCAGCGGCGGCCGACCCTTCATCCTCTTGATCGGGATCCAAATCGGACAATCTGGACAACTTAGCTTCCGCTCTCTTCATCTTCATCTTCTTAGCAATTTCATAAATAGGGTCCAAATTGGACGATTGGACGGCTTAGTTCCCACCACTTCCTCCCTCTTCTCCTTCTTCCTCTTTTCCTTGTTTGCAAGTTTAGTATCGGGTTCCAAATTAGAAGATTTGGACTGCTACTATTCCAACCTCAGTTCCTTCTTCTCTTCCTTTTTGCTAGGAGATTCATCATTTTTATGTTTTTTTTTTAAGTTGTAACTTGTAGTTTAGTAATTTGGATTTCAAGGTTGTAATTTGTGATTCTGTAATTGGGATTTTAAGGTTATCATTTTGGATCTTCATATCTCAATCTTGTTTATTGAAATTTTTTATTTTTGTATAGAAATTTGTTTGAGAATTTCGGGTTAGCAGGTCAGGTCATGGGTGATCTAAATATTTTCAAGTTGGGTTAGGGTTAAGAAAGTTGACCTGTTTATTTATACAGGTCGGGTTCGGGTTGGCTATATTTTTTCTGGGTTCGGGTTCAACCCGATACGCCAACCCGAACCCGACACGGATTGCCAGCCATACCTGCTGGGAGTAGGGATTATCATTGTAACCTGGGAAAAGTGGAACTGGATTCTTTCTCTAAGATCTGACAAGGTAGTTAATGTTTTTTACTGCAGCAGACGCACTGAGGCTTCAGATTTCCAACAAATAGTTTATTTAATCTGTTAGTTTTGGTTCTGGGGTATTTGAAGAAGGGGCTATATAAGGTTCCTGTGGGTAAGTATATACCACCACCAGCGAAAGTTAAGAAAAACCATTTCCAGAGAGCAATAAAATAACTTTTTCAATGGAATATCTCTTTTCTGATAACTCCTCACCAGAATTTATGGGGGAGAACAACAGGGCTAACAGGTCCCCTTCAAACAGTGATTCTTTTGTTAAGGGGCAACACAAACAACATCTGTATCGATCGTATCGTAGAGGTCTCAGATGCCAACTGTCACTGAAGGAGGTCCAATGGTCCATCAGTCAGCATAAAAATTGTTTACTGGGATATCTTTTTGATGATAGGAATTACAGCTGGGAGAAGATGCAGAGTTATGTGAGAAATAATTGGGGTGGTCATGCTCTGGTTCTGCATAAAGTTAAGAATTTCTTTTTGTTTAAGTTCAATTCTAGGGAGATTCTTAAAATGGTACTATATAACAGTCCTTAAACTGTGGACGGAGGGCTTTTGGTCTTAAGCAGATGGTCTCCAAACATGTCACTGGAGCAGTTGAGAATTGAGCACATCTCCATGGGAATTCGTTTATATGGTTTGCCGGTGGAGTGTCTCACCAGACCGATAGCTTTGAGAATGGTTAACATGATTAGAGAGCCTTTGGCAGTGCATGCCAGTGAAATCGATGGAAGGAAGGCGACTTTTCTGAGAGCTAAGGTGGAAATCAAGCCTTATGATCCACTACCATCAGGTTTTTATCTTGATTCATGGAATGGTGAAAGCATTTGGGTTAAATATAGCTATGACAGATTATATAAATACTGTCAGCGTTGTGGAGTTATAGGTCATATGATTAAGAATTGTTCTATTGATTGGAATGAGGAGCTAGAGCAGTATTTGAATGCAAGCATTGATCTTTGTGGCAGGGATAAAAACGTTGCTTATGGCAGGGATGAAGGTAACAGTTTTTTCCTGTCATGCATAAGGATGATGGATGGGGAACTGAATAAAAAGACAACTAGGCTGTCACCGGAATATATCAATCGCTATTTTTATGTCTTCCAAGGCATGAGGGAGAAGGACATTGCTGATGGTTTTGTATACAGTCTTAGAGGGGAGAACAGTGAATCAGATCCAGAGCCGGTTATGGTGGAAACAGAGAGGATTCGGCTGCAGCGTAGATGTGCAGTAAGACAGGTTGGGCACGACTTAAGGGAAGATCCTATGCAGGTGGATACGTCGGAGTCGGAGAAGATGCAGCAGGGCGGCTGGACTAACTGTTATGATTGGAGCAATGGTCCACCTATAGAAGGGCCCAGTAGACAGCTGTCAAGGCCATGGGGGACAAGAAATACAGCACTGACTAATATCATTAGGAATAGGAGTGTTAGAGATGGGACTTACATATCAGAGAAACGAGTTTGGCGGGATTTGCAAGTCAATCAAGCGGTGCAATATGGTAACCAAGGCAATTTCTGGTCAACAGGGGTACGCGAGCAGCATGCAACAAAGTTGAGAGATGATCTAGTGGGGAAAGAACCTTTGTGGTCTTTGCAAAGCAGGTCATATAGTGGAACCACAGGCCAGCAAATGGGCGCGATGATTTTCGCGCAAAATTAGGCCAGTCCGAGTTATCTGCCACCAAGCCCAAAGAGAGCCCCTCTCCAATTGCTGTCGGCAGAAGAGGTTATGGACCAACTTAAATATCGGGGTGGTCAATTAGGGCAAAAGGAGACAGTAGGCCCAATATAGAAAGCTGAGAATAATGGTCAAGTGGGTCAGAGCGAACCATGACAAGTCTGGGCCCAGAGAAACGCATCACATGTGGGCTGGTTGACCCCAGTGCGAGATGGGCTGCACCGAAAGGGAAGTATAACACTTCTACTAATTAATTTTGATCAGTGGACTGGAAATAATACATAGGGGATCCAGCCAACTTGCCCTTTTTCTCCTCTACCATCAATCGATTCCTTAGGGTCGTGTAGTTATAGCGAGCTAAAAAAATGTGCTTGCTTTTGGACAGAGAATTTGAGAAGAAAGAGCAGATCCGGCGGGGCAATCGCTATTTTTGATTGGAGACGGAGAGGATCAGAAGCAGCAGAAAAAGCGAAGATGGGAAAAGAGGGTGGGATGAAGCAGGAAGACGCCCAACGGTGCCGGTGAGGATCCAAGAGCCGGCATCCAAATTGGCAGAGCAGCGTCGGTGTGGATCACCGAGCAGAGGAATTAAAATAGGCGTAAGATTCTATTGGATAAATGGGCTAAAGAGAGAGAATCGAAGAAGAGATCAAGGACTGTAATCGAGATTGGGAGCTCGGGCGACTCAAATAGCAGTGTCAATGATATTCCCAAACATTAAAGGTGTGGCTTTGAGAAATCTGATTGTGGAAAAGGTTATGGAAAGGACGTCAACTGGCTTATTGAACGATTTGTGGTGGTTGGACCAAATCAACCACCCGAGTCACCATGAGAGTCTTATCGTGGAATTGTAGGGGTTTTAATCGACTGCCTGCAAAACAGCATATCAAGCAACTTTTGCATCAATTTAAGCCTGAAATTTTGTTTTTGCAAGAAACTAAGTTAGCTTCCAGTAAGCTTTTGTATAGCTTGTTAGATAGTACCTGTTTTAGTAGTTTAGAAGTAGTAGAAGCTAATCACTCATCAGGAGGATTGGCAATCTTTTGGTCTGGTGGTTTAGACTTTGAAATCTTAGATAAATCACCACATTATATAGCAGCTAGGTTTAAAGATGTATCTAGGATTCAGTGGGGGTTTCTTTTTGTATATGGGCACCCAGAACAATCATCTCGGGCCAGGGTGTAGAATGAAATTAAGTTAGTTTCTTTGCGTTATTAGTTGTGCTGGGTCATGTTAGAGGATATTAATCAAATTTTGGACCCTAGGGATAAATGTGGAGGTCGAAGATTGCAAGATCAGCAGGCACAATGTTTGAGGAATTTACTAAATATTTTAGATATGACTGAGATTCCTTTTAGAGGAAATAAGTATACCTGGACAAATAATCGCAGAGGAAAGGATCGGATAGTGGAACGTTTGGATCGTGTTTTTGCAGGTCATGCATGGTTAGATGGACATCCTGAAGCTTATGTAACAAATCTACCGATCGATTTCTTACCACGGTCCTTTAGTACTGAGTACAAGGAAAGAACAGAGAGTACAAAGTCAAAAACTAGACCGTTTTGAGGCTTTTTGGGCTAAAAATGTAGTGGCCTCTGAGATTGTATAGAAAGTCTGGGTAGAAAATGAAAGAATTACTGGGGTAAATGAACCTAGTTGTATATCAGAGAGGTTAGGCATAACTTTGAGACTCCTTGCAAATTGGAGCAGGCAGTCATTTGGAGGCTTGAACTTAAGGATTAAGAACTGCCTGGGACAATTGCAACGACAACAACAGCAGCAAGGAATAATGGAGAATCAGAAAGAGATCAACAGGGCAAGAGTTAGAGCAACTGTTGATTCTTCAAAATGACTATTGGGCTCAACGGGCTAAAATTGTTTGGAGCCTAGAAGGAGACAGGAATACGGCCTTTTTCCATAGGTGGGCTACAAAAAGGAAAGAACAGAATTGGATTGGTGCATTGCTGGAGCCGAATGGGGAGTGGTGCTATGATGAAAATCAGATTAGGGATCATATGTTACACCACTTTCAGGAGGCTTTAATGGTAAGAGAGGAGGTAATAAATGAGGAAGATCTTTGGGAGTCACTACCTTCTTTCATGAATCTGGTTGGGGAAGCAGTTACTTTGGAACAGAGAGAAATTAGAAGAGCCTTTTATGAGCAATGAGATTGAATTTGCAATAAAAGGGATGTCGCCTTGGAAAGCACCGGGACCAGATGGCTTACCGGCTGGATTTTATCAAAGATTCTGGGAAACGCTCAAAGATGAAATGCGAGAATGCTTCCTTAGCATTTTGAATGGTGAAAAATGGGAGGATAGTGGAGTCAGACGAAAGTTATTTTCATCCCAAAAATAGGCAACCCGAAGACTCTCACAGATCATCGCCCAATCAGCTTGAGTAATGTCAAGTACAAAATAATGGCGAAATTGCTAGCAAATTGTCTTAAGAAGGTTCTACCCAATATTATGTCAGAAGGACAGAATGGATTTGTACCAGGGAGATATATTGGGGAAAACATCTTGCTTGCTCATGAGGCAATGGAGTACACTCGGAAAAGAAAGAAAGGAAGGAAATGAGTGGCAGTTCTTAAGATTGATATCAGTAAGGCATATGACCGGGTCTCATGGTCCTATTTAAACCAAATAATGGAGAGGATTGGTTTTCTGGCAAGTTTTGTATCCTTGGTGATGAAGTGCGGGTCGACAGTAAGCTTTGCTACTTGTGTTAATGGAGTACAATCAAGCTTTTTCCCACCCCTCCGAGGTTTAAGACAAGGTTGTCCCATTTCTCCATATCTTTTTATCATATGTCAGCAAGCTTTGTCATTGACTTTAGTGAATTTGGATCAACAAGATGGAAACTTTGGTTTAAAAATAGCTTCCACGGCACCGCGCCTATCACATCTTATGTATGTGGATGATTGTTTAATTTTTCTGGAAGCAACACGTAGGAACGTGAGGGCACTGTATAAGATGCTGCAATGGTATACTGTGAATTCAGGACAAAAGATTAACTTTAGAAAATCCTCCATCATGTGAGTCCTAATACATCCAGGAAGTTTAAGGAGTGCATGTCATCATGGCTGGGAATCCCATTACAGAGCGGTCAGAAGAAGTATTTAGGTCTGTCCTTAGACTTCATGAAGAAAAAGTCACTTCTTTTTGGGGACATTATCCAGAGGATGAAGAAGAAGTTAAACTCCTAGAAAAACAGAAGTCTATCAATGACCGGAAGAATTGCCTTGGCTAAGCATTCACTGGTGACGCTACCAATCTATAAGATGGGAGCTTTTAAGCTTCCAAAGAATGTCACAAAACAAATAGATAAGGTGGTGGCTAATTTTATATGGAACGAAGATGAGGAAGGTTGGGGAATTCACTGGAAATCATGGAATCATTTATGTAAGTCCAAACTACATGGTGGTCTTGGCTTCAGAGCAGCTCAGGAGATGAATCAGGAATTGTTAGCTAAGTTTGCATGGAGAATACTGACTTACAAAGATTCGCTCTTTGCAAAAATATTCATGGCAAAATATGTGAAGAATGGAAATTTCCTGGAGTGTCAGGTCTCAAAATCAGTATCATAGGGTTGGCAAAGTATTTTATGGGGGAGAGATTTACTCAATGTGGGCTTAAAGTGGCAAGTGAGAAATGGAGAAAGTATCAGGATTCAGGAGGAATGGATTTCAGAGTCCATGAATCCTTTGGGGCAGGATCCTACCTTCCAATAGGATCTCTTCACTTGGTGGGTCAAGAATTTGTGGGATCAACATAGAAGATGGAGGGTGCCCTTGATAAATAGTGTTTTTCCACCGGAAGTGGCAGCGAAAATTTTGGCAATGTACATTCCGCTAGAGCAAGCGTTACCCAACGATCGTAGGGTCTGGTCAAAGACCGGGAATGGGATATATACTGTTAAGACTGGCTACCATGAAGCTAGGAATAGAGCGTCCCAGGGCCATACAGTAGGAATGGCATCAAGACATAATGAGCTGCGTACGACGGCTTGGAAGAAATTTTGGTCAGTGCAAGTACCAGCTAAAACCCAGTGGTTGTTATAGAGAATTTTGAACCATGCCTTACCATCAGCCACGGTCCTACACCAGCGAGGAGTACCACTATCAAGGAGCTGTGTTAGATGTAACAAAGAAGTTGAAAACACACAACATATTTTTATGGATTGCGGTCACTCACAAAGAGTTTGGAGGAGCTCCCACTTAGGTTTTGATTTTAGTAGTGGGACTAGGATGTCTTTGGTGGAATGGTTTGAGGTTTGGCTTACCTCGGCGCCAGGAATTGAGGTGATTCAACAGTCTTTCTTTGTTTTCTGGCAAATATGGATTGTGAAGAATAAAGCAGTGTGGGATCAGCAGATCCAAGATGCGTATCAGGTACAACAGCTGGCACTTACAAAATGGGGCATCTACACAAAGATACTGCATGCAACCCATACCAGGGAGCTAGAGGGAAGGACAAAGGCAAAAGGTAATAGTAAGAATTGGCAGCAAATGAGAGGTGAATTTTATATCAGAACAGATGGAGCGTCCCAAGAAGGGGTAAGTAGAGGTACAAGGGCATGGGAGATTATCACAAGACAGGGAAGATACATTACATCAGGAATGGTTCCCTTGTATGTATCATCGACAGAAGATGCGGAGGGGAGAGCCTGTTTGAAGGGTCTTCAGGCCGCGTTATCACTAGGTTTATTGGACTGTCAGGTACAAATTGATAATCAGAAGCTGGTGGACTACATACGGGAAGACAAAGTATGTCCTCTGTATCTACAACCATTGTTAGAGGATATTAGGTTGTGTATGTCGAATTTTCGTCAATGTAATGTTATCAAAATAGAGAGGGAGATAGTTGAGGGTGCACATATATTAGCAGAAAGGTGCCTTTTTCTAGTCCTGTTGGTTAATTGTAATTTTGTATCTTTTAGTTTAATGAAGTTTGATTTCAAAAAAAAAAAAAAAATCAATCACATAAAATCAATAAAAGCCTCTTCAAGAGCACAATGGAGAGTATTGGTGAGCGTTCTTCATCACAAAGCTAACAAAGGTTGACACTTGCGGATTTTCTCCCAAAATAATAGGAACCTTGAATCATAGTATCAAACCACTTTTTCACATCCTAGCTAGCTAGCAGATTACTTTTGGCACAGTACCGAAAGTAGTATGGATGTAAGATTTATGATCTATCTTCACTTGTAATCATCATAAGAACTTTGTGTACAAAAGCCACAACGCATTTGATTCCATCCCCACCCTAACCCCACAATCCCCTTTTGCTCATAGTTAATTCATTTATGTAAATGTATATGCTACCCTTGATCACCCAATTTTACAACTAATGACTTGGTTACACAATCATATTATGTGCTTTGCGTGAAATGTCTGAGAAATATTATAATTTGTCACCTTAGTCTTGAACTTTCTTCATCGTATTATTATAGAAATAAATTAATAAGAAAATGTACTAATCCAACATAGTAGTATTACATTATTATGCACACACAAAAGCATGATTACTGATTAGTAAGTAGTAATAATTTATATTGAATCCACTCAAAAAACAGGGAGGGTTTCATTTCACGCTTGAGCTTAGTGAATGAAATGATGACAATTCACGAGTCAAATTACATTACACTGTATATACTATCACAAAACAAGGAAGCACAGCCCTCGGATTAAACACCAACAACTCATCCTCTTCCTCCAATCTGGAAGCGGCCCCACCTGTTGTTAGGGAATCGAACCCCGGGTCAAGTTTATCCACGTCGTGGCCGTGGTCGTCGGAACCGATCCGACCCGCGATGACCCGACAAACCAACATGGCCCGCTTCAGGTGCATGAACTTGAACAACTCCTCCTCCATCTCCTCCGGGATGGACACGTGTGCCCGCCAGCTGGTGGCGTGGGTGGAGATTCCGTCCATCTTCGGGGAGAAACCGCCGCGAATGATCCCGCAGCCGACGCAGTACTCGTGGCTGCACAGCGTGGAATCCCCGTTTTGCCCCAGCTCGCACATGAACGTCGTGCAGTGGAACCTCAACAGCTCGTTCCCGTCGGCGACGCACCGCTCGTCCCGTCTCCTCGTCGCGCCGCCGCCGCCGCCGCCGCCGTTCCGCGCCGCTCGGGACATCACGTACTCTCTGTACTCTTCGAACCTCTGCAGTATTTTGGGACTGGAATGAATCTTCAGGATCCGATGGGTTACCGGTTTCTTCGTCGCCCCGGGCCAACCCGTGTTGAAGATGATGTTAACGATATTCTTACCGGTGTCTCCATCGATGAGCTCCGATACGGCGTGGTTGATTGACTGATGCTGCTCTAAGGAGTTGGGATTCTGGAAGATTTCACCGCAGGCAGGGCATGGGTAAATGTCGTTTCGCAGGGGAAAAAATTGTTGGTCGGAAGAGATGTCGGATTCTAAGATGGGTCGGGTAATTTGCCGGCTCTCAGAGAGGAGCGGGTCCGGCGAGTTCTGAGAAGGAAAAGATACGGTTTGTACCAACGATCTCGTGGATGAAGAAGGTGATAAAACAGGGCAAGCCGGAGGAGGAGGAGGAGGAGAATGAGTGGCTGTTTTTGTTGGGACGAAAACCCGTTTGATGAAAGACCAAGATGAAGAGAAAGCCTTAGCCGGCGTGAGTTTCAGGCGGGAAGATGGCTGAAGCTGTTGAGTAAACTGATCAGAAGAAAGCTTACGTTTTTTGGAATGGCGATTGGATGAAGATGTGAAGATGATGAAGCAACCAAGGTGAAGAAGAAGCAAAGGAATAAGAAAGAGGAAGTTAGACAAGATTGGGCGTAAGCTGGCCATGTAAATTTAATCCAGGTACGAACTTTTCTTTACGTGTACTTTACTGTATAGTAAGGTCGATCATCGCCGGTTGTTTCTGTTTCCGACTTCCAAACGTTGTTACTCCCGTGAAATTAAACAAAGCCCTGTAATTAATTCCGGTGTAGTATTCTCTTAGGCTCTTAGGTTGTTGAAAGGGTGAGAAATATGGTGATGAATATTGAATTATGTTGGGGAGAACAAAAGGAGGAGGAATAAGGAAGGAAGAATATAAAAAGAAACTAAAAACTACAGAGTCGACAATGAGGTTGGTAGGGACGAACAAGAATAAAGCCAAGGCCAATGATGCTGCTTCTCTTCCACCATCAGCTGGAAATTGTACCAAAAATGGTGATGCATTGTTTCATTTTTTTTTCTTTTTTTACCAAATTGGAGAATTTGAGGGTATGTTTGTTTTGCTTTTTTAGTGTGTGTTTTTAAGTGTATTTTATATTGAAAATGTAAAAATATGTATCGAAAATGTAAAAAAAATATGCCAAAATAAGACAGTTATTATTTTTCAATTATGAAAAATCAACTAAAAAAAGAAAATAAACAAAGCCTCGATATGTAGATTATGTAAAAGTTTGTTTGTGACTTTGTACTATTTTATTTCATTTTTATTTTCTTTCCCGTGGGTGGGAGTTGTGTGGCTTGTGAGTTGTGAGTGGGGATTTTAATAATCAAATTGGTTTGGAAGTAATGTGTGTCACGAGACAGAACTGATCACAAACAATGATTGAGTACACACTTTCACACTTTCTTGGTAGGAAATTTCTTGTGTATGTAGTAAAATTCATGATCAGTAAATATAAACGTCTAGTCGATCTGAATGTGTACCATTTAGTAGGTGTTACAGCAGCATCTGTAAATTAACTGAATGGCTTGAAATGATCAGCTTGGTAAAGATAGCGAACTACATAAGATATATGGTTTATGGAGTTGGCCAAATATTGCTTATAATGCACAAAGTAACATTTAACGTGGTGCTTATTTCATATTGGTCGAATTCAATTGGTACCTCATGAGCTCTTTTCCCCTCTTTTCGTCATTTCCTTTGAAGGCGGACAAGCATCAGGTAGGCATTACCCCGTTTACCAGGATTCAATTATATATTATATACTCACCTAAATCTACAAAACTGTGAAAATTCCCAGTTTGAACAATTTGCTAGTTCCCGAAGCAAGAAGGGGAGCATCTTCGAGAGTTGTAGATCATATGTCTTCGTATAAGCCAATCATTCACCAAATAATCAAGTTGTGGGCACAAAAATTTTTCCATCCTCTCCATTCTATCGAGGAGAATCTACTGAGGTTTTTTGCAGTTTCTGTTCGGAGAAAGAGTTAAATTGTCATGCATGCTTTTGAAGTTAATTATTGAATAATGTTTCAGTGAATGAAGGAACGACATGTATCAAATCCACAATGCTTCAAAATTTCACAGCCAATTTTCAACTGCATAGATATCAAAAAAAATTTTTTAATAATTCTATGCATGTTTATGAATTAAAAACACACATCCCGATACATATTGGATTCTCCTGATCATGCATGTGATCCAGAACTCGAGTTCTTGTCCAATTCCTGTTTTTAGATTGAAAATTTGAATGATCATGTTGCAGCAGTGTAGGCTAAATTAAGAAATTCCGCGGGACAAATTTTAACCTCGCCAAGAGTTTGGTTTTGTCGGATTCATACATTTTGAGCAAAAATATTAAGCTAATATCAGTGAGCTGTAAAAATTTCACAAGTACGAAAAAATGACCGTTGATAGAGAGTTATTGGTTTAATTCGAAGGACGAAATGATGCACAATTGATGAGTAATCACAACTTTATCAAAGTATACACTTCTTTACTCATTACAAGGCTGATTAGATTAAATTACTTTCTCTGCCCCCATTGTCTCCCATTTCCATCAGAGAATTATTGTACCAGGTATATATTTAGGTATCTTATGGCCCCTTTTAAAGAGAAAATTACAAAAAATAAGATTGGGGAATACTTTTGCGAAAGGCGTTGGAATGAAATCTAGAAATGGACCATGAAGAAAGATCGGCTCATGATGGAACATTATGAATACAGCAATTCGAATGGTTTCGAGCGTATTCCCCTTCCCTCCCATCCAGATATACAAGTAATTTTATGTTTTAGTTGTAACAACTGTTTCGGGTTAGAGAGTCGGATAGAATGGTAATAGTAAATTGTTATCGTCACGATAATTGAGATTCAAAACTTTGTTTAGTAATACGATTTTAATAAATACTTTTAAAAGCAAGATGCTGATGCCATTATACCATATATGGCGTACACATCCTCCTTCATTGCTTTAAGCTTGATTAATTAAGGACGACTAAAAGGTGTAAAATTTCAGAAAAAGAAAGATACCATGAAAGATGCTAGGGAAATTAAGGATTTAAGGTATCAGTCAGCAGTAATATTCTACCTTTGCATTTACTTAACTGATGGAAAAGCCCATCTATCAACGGCTCTATACTTTTATTACAGAGTTCCGATTTACTTTATTACAAAAGTCTTCCGTATAAGATGGTTACAATATGAATACAACTATTTTTATAGGACGCGCGTGACAATATTATTCTCTCTGTGTCGAAATTATTGTCCAATTTAGATTTTTTTTTAATTTCTTCAGTCTCGAAATTATTGTCAATATAAATTTTTATTTTTAGTACAATAATTTCGAGCTGAAAGGAAAAATTAGGAAGAATAAGGAAAACTCACAACACCAAACTTTGAAACTTGAAAGTGATAATGTCACTCCCCTTAATTAGAGGTTAAGATTTACGAAGATCGCACAAAGCATAAGAACCCACCAACGGAACAAACATATTCACGAGAGAATATGTACTCATTGGAGGTAACAATTACTTGGGCAGTTATAAAATCAACAAAGTTATAATTATAAAACCAAATGATGTGTTTTTGGGTCAAAAGAAGAGGAGGTCAACGTACGAAAGTGGAATAGACCTGGAGAAAGAAAACTTAAGTACCATTTCTAGAAGACTGGATAACTAAACTAACCAAAGTTGAAAGAGACATGTTTGTTCTGATCTTGTTGAGGTTTTACAAGTAATCTTTGCACTGTGTCAAATTAGAGTCTCTTTTTTTACTTATTGTTTTCGCTCCTTTTTTTTCTGTTGGCGCCAAAGCCCAGGGTGACAGGGAAGAAGCAAAAGGTGCCGACAGTATTATTTTGATGAATACAGACAGGGCTGTTTAATTGGAAAGATTGAATGGAAGATAGTGCTTCTTTACTTTTTTTTTTTTTGGTTTTTCGTGTGTTGGGGAAATCATCGAAATGATTTCAAGAGCTTATAAAATATTAAGGGCACTATGAATATCTTCTTTCAAAAAAGAAAAAAAAATATTTTAAGGGCACTTGTTCTCTCTCTCATTTGGACATTCCCGGATGACGTCGTTGATATATAGAAAACTGGTATTTTTACGTGGCAAAGGTGGAAGGAGGACATATTTATTATTATCCCGTTCCAGAAAAATAGTGCATTTTTTTTTTAAAAATTAAAATATAAAAATTAGATGACTTAATTTTACAAATTAAAGAATCAATATGAAATATTGAATAAAATTTCATGACTATTTATCAATTTATTAGTCAATTTTACGTTCAATTTTTAAATTTACTTCTCCAAAATTATACTGTTTTTTGGGTCAGATATAGTATATATATATATATATATATATATATATATATATATATATATATATATATATATATATATATATATAAGAAGAAGAAAGTGAAAAGGCCTACGTACCGACCACTTCTACCTCCTCCGTCACCGTTCACCACCATTGACATTCTTGGGTCAATCTTCATCATGTATTATCACTTTACACGTAATCCAATAATTCATATACACTCTCTCATACTATTTTTTTTAATATGTTACACATTTATTATTGTTCGAAATCATTATTCCGGCTCTTATTTTTTAGAGTTTGGATAAAATTTTTTTTACGAAATAAATATCTTCCAACAAAATTTTTTTTAATCATTGTTATATGTCCATATATCCTACTATATTAGAAACAAAAACCTCCCTTTCAAACACCTCATATGATTGCCACGTGGCATGTAGAAAATACTAAATTGCCCTTTTGTCTAACCATAACTAAATTACTAAATCTCCCTTTGCACTTTACGTGACACCTTTTTTTTTTAATTTTTTCTATATGTTTCATTCAACTAGAGTGGTTTTTTAAATTGAATTGATCAATTAGGTTTTTTGTTACAAAGTGTCAATTTTGTTTTAAGCGTATACCCTTCGGATGAAACTTATTACAAAGCTATTAAAAATCTCCAAAACTAAGTATTGATTTGGCACGACTAATGGAGAACGTCAATAAATCATCTTACTAATATTTACATTTATTAGGATGCTTTTATATTTTATCTAACATTTACTTCAACACATATATTCGATTAAGCTATTTATATTTAATAAGTAACACTTATAAAACATTTCTAAAACATACATGGCGAAATACAATTTTTTTTTTTTTTGCGAAATACAAATATTTCTATGATCACACTTATAAAACATTTCTAAATCCTTCAAACATTTCCAAAATATATCGCTCCAAATACAAAATTTTATTTTTTTCAAATATAAACATTTCTAAGATTTGCAGCGCATTGCGGGACCAGACATCACTAGTACTCAAATAAAAAAATGACAAACAACTTCGTTATCTTTTTTAATAATCTATTTTGTTATTTCAGTATATCTCGTTGAATGGTAAAAGATGTTGGACTTGGCATTTCCAGAACCAGGTAAATAAACACTCCATAGAAGGTGACAAGTGTTTTAGGCAAAATACAAATAGAAATCAGTGAGTCAATAACATATCAACATATATGGTGTTTCTTAATTAGAACGAATATATATAATGAAATCATTAACATGGTTAGAGCCCGATGTTGTCAATCTTTTCCGTGCATCTACGATCAAATCTGCTAAGCTTTGTTTGTTTTCTTTTTTAGTTGGTTTTTTTAGAATTAAATAATAATAACTGTTTTATTCCAGCATACGTTTTTTATATTTTCAATACATTTTTTTATATTTTTAAAATAAAAAACACTTAAAAACATACACTAAAAAAATAAACAAACATAAGTTTTCGAGTTATCTCGTTTTGGTTGTACTAACAAAGAAAAGATAATAAAACAATTTGCACTCGTGTTCGTTATGATTTTGCTAGTGGGTTAATCTAAGAAGATTGCGCTGATAAGACCAACGATCATGGTTCATGAACCAAACTTAAAATAGGACCCCGTACATGTTCTCCAAAAACAAATAAATAAATAACACAAGAATAAATTAAATCATTTCTATTTGGAGCTTAGCCACACACGTATGATCAACATGAAGCTTAACAACCAAAAAAATTAAAACTAAAAAAGAAGAAGAAGAAGAAGACAGTTTGATTACACCTCGTGGTGGTTCCTATCGGAATTCTACTCTAATTTTTTTGAAAAAACAAAATTCTCTGAACTATATTAATGATGAGGACAACCTTACAAGATTGAGAAAATTCTTAATTGACTGCGTCACACATTATTTTAATTAGCTATGACCTACAACAACAAATAATTGCTCTTTGCATAATATGCTTGAAGATACATATCTTAAACCTTTTGTCATCTCATTCCGTATTTTGTATGGATTCTAAATTTGTTGATTTAACGTTTTTGTTTGTCAAAATACATGCATTTTTTTTTAAAAATTTTTTGGTGAGTACATGAGTTACTAGCCTCCTACAATATTTTTTTTTTCTTCCTAGATCTTCTTGCCATTTAATTTGAAACTGTCCCCCTACATTTACGCACATCCGGCCAATGCAAGGAAGAAGGAAAGCAGCCCATGTGGATTAAGAAAATTTGACATGAAACGACATGTTTTATTGGGCAATCAGAGCCCCATGTCCTGTATAATCGATGTCAAATGGGAGTGTGGCAACTTCTTCAATTCATTGAGATTAGATTCATTATGTGTTCATCCTTTCCAATTAGGCTACCTGGGTTGTGGTGTGAATGTAGCTACATTGTTCCATTAACAAATGATACAGATGATTAACCTATATTTTGCAACTTTCCTTTTTAAGGTGTTCATGGCCCGTTAAGTGGCGTTGCAAAATAGATACTCCCTTCGTCCCATAATTATTGTCCAGTTTTACTAAAATAAAAGATTTTATTTTTGGTCAAACTTAACTATATTTTACCTTAAATAACCGGATATACCCCTACATAAATAATTGTTTAACCACTAAGATTTTATGGATAATGTTTTTTACTAAGGACAAATGTGTAACTTGATCCATAAAAGTCAAATTGGACAATAATTTTGGGACAAAATTTTTTGGCCAAAGTGGACAATAATTATGGAACGGAGGGAGTATTTGATTTTATGTCCTACGAATAGAAATATAATTCCTCCATTCCAAAATATTATCCACTTTAGATTTTTATTTCTAATATAAATTGTATTGAAAAAGAAAAATGTATAAAATGTATTATTTTAAAGGAAAATCTAACAAAAAGATTTTACCAAAGAGATTTTGTATAAAACACTGTATATCTATACATTTATTTTTTCCTCTTCAGAAAACTTTAATTTTAAGTTTAATAATTTTATTTGTAAAATTTAACAAAATTACACAATCAAGTTATTATCAATTTTATCGATTATTACTTCAAATTTTCATTTCTAATATAAATTGTTCAATTTCAAAATAAGTATTCAGGTCTAGATTTTTATTTTTAATATAAATCATTATATATATTAAAGGAAAGAAAGATAATCGACACATGTCGCTCATTGAGACCATCAAGCCTCAATTAACACGTGTAATTTGCTAATTGGTTGATCATTAATCAGTTAAAATTTTTTTTTGTAAACAGTTAATAAATTATTTACTATGTAAGATTTTTACAGATATTACAAATTCCTGATTGTGAACTTGAAAATGAATATTTTCGAAAATTTACTGAGAAACTCCCGACTTCATAAGTTCTTTCATTTACGAGTTTAAACTTTCAACCTATTATCATTTTGGCCCTTAAAGTTCCATTTGTGTGCTATTTAGTCTTCAAGTTTATCAATGTTACATTTTCAAGGATAATTAATTATGTCTCATATTTTATTAGAACTACATCTAATCCCCCAAAGTTCCCTTGCCTATAAATAGGCCATAGGTATCTAGACATAATTTACGCATTTTTTAAATATATTTTTTAATCCAAACATAACATTAGTTAATAGTGACAATTTTTATTATACAACTTTCGAAAATCTTTGTTGTAATATTTTTTACCAGATCTTACAAATATACCTCTCATAAATAATATTAATACCTCTCATTTTGATCTAAAATTGATTAATCAAAAAAATATTATAGTTTTAAGAAATATTAGTAACTACATTTTTTTTAGGAGAACTAGGACGGTATATTTGTAACTACATTATCTAATTAATTCTTTTGAAAGATAAATTTTCAACATTGACAAACCCGCGCAAAGCGCGGGATACGCACTAGTTGTATTGAAAGTAAAAGTCCAAATTGAACAATTATTTTAAGATACAATAATTAATCCATAAAGTACCATAACATGGACCGCTATATTCGTTGACCACCGTAAGTTCAAAAATAATTTATCCCTCACCATAAGTTGCAATTCCGTCCTTCTCCACTTTTCACTCTTTTTTCCATCAAAAAACTAACGGTGCATAACTTGCACATGGTTATTACTAAGGGGCATTTTTGCCCTTTCATATGTGTACCTGCAAGTCAATGACCCGTTGACCCGTGGGTTTAATTCCCATTTACTATTTATGCGGGTGTAATTTTTATTTACTAATTAGTATTCACTTTGTCCCAAAATTATTGTCCAGTTTGAGATTTCACTTTTAGTACAATTTGATCTAATAATGAAAACGCAAACTGAAGAATAATTATGGGACGGAGGAGTACTATTTAGTACAACAAATAATAAATTGGTAAATAAAATCACCAAAATTTACTCAAAAAACCCATGGGTCATTTGTCCACCCACCATCAATCGCTCCCACCCAAGCAGCCACCTGCCTCCATCACCAAAACGATACCCACTGCCGCCGCGCGCCACCTTCATCCCTTCACCCTCTATTTGTTATTTTCTTTTTCTCGTCAAAATTTGCCCGCCACCGCCTCTTTTGCTTATTTTCTTCCATCATATATAGAAATCCAAAGGATAGCACTTTAGCCTTTTAGTTTTCAGAAATTTTGATTGGTGAAGTTTTAATTTTAAATTATAATTGTTAAGAATAATTTGATTGTACGAATTGGGAATGGATAAGAGTAAAGTGAAATATGATTGACAGAGGAATCTAAGGAGGTAGAGGAAGAGGAAAGGGAGAGAAAGGTGATTGCGGGGCGGAGGGGTCACAGATTTAGAATTCTTGAATTGGGGTTAACTCTTTTCTGTTGGAAAGAACGGAGTGATCAGCAGTAGAAGGCTTGATAATAATCAATTTTACTACTTGGTGAAAGGACGGTGACCGGCGGTCGATGCAGTGGCTGAAGAGGAAAAGAGGAGGAGGTAAGGGATGATGACGACGATGGCGGTTTTTTCTTTTTCTTTTTATAAGGAGGGAACAACGGTGGTGGTTGGTGTGAAACCTGGGCCATTGGGGATGAAGAATCGGAAGCGACGGCGTAGTGGGGAGGAGGGAGAGGGAAAGGGAGGTTGGTGTGGTTGAGGAGATTCACCTTACCCTTTGGTTGTTGTTGAATCGACTCCACGGCGTTGTCCATTAACTTCCGGGCATAGATGCCGGAATCAATTCCGTACCTGGCCTAGCCTCCAATGCCGTCTGCCACTCCAATTTTCTTGTTCATCGCAGATAAAGAGGGCATCTTCGCCCAAAGCTGTCTTCTGCTGGTAATAAGGATCGCGTTTTGACCCGGTCAATTTTTTTTTTTTTTATCTCATGTGCGATGCACGTGTCTCTATATTTATAAAATGACCGCGGTGCCCTTTGCCAAAAGGCATGCGCCGTTACTTTTTTGGCGGAAAAAAGAGAAAAAGTGGTAAAAGACGAAATTGTAACTTATGGTGCGGGATAAATTGTTTTTGAACTTATAGTGGTGAACGAATATAACAATCCAAGTTATGGATTAATTATTGTTTAAGATATGTGAAATATATGTGAAATCATTAAAGGACGAAAAAGACAAATACATACATAAATGAAATTGCACGGACTTAAAACAATCGTGATAATAATAATAAAATTAGGCGGGGTTCTCTTCGTTTCACTCCATTAAGGGTCAGGTAGGACATGAAAATCAAGAATTAATGACTTCAAGTCTTCAATGGAAGGAGTTTTGAGAATCAAGATTCAACCCAAGGTAATATATTCATTGGCCTCTTTTCTTTAACCTTCGGTTGAAGAAAGTAGTACAATAAGATTTAAAGGGTGAGTCATTGATATTTGGAAATTATAGTACAGTTCCATATTGACAAACATATCGTAGACAGTGAGATCAAAGTTATATACAGGGAGTGAGTAGTTTTCTTTCTTCAACACCATCATTAGGAATTCAGTTACTCCCTCTGTTCCAAAATTATTGTTCAGTTTGAGATTTCACTTTTAGTATAATTTGAACTAGAAATGAAAACTCAAATTGGATAATAATTATGGGACGGAGGGAGTAGTTCATTTGATGGACGAGACAACTAATCAAAAGTTTTCAGGTTGGTATTTGGATTTTTTTTTGCTACTCAACCCCAATTCATTGAGTTTGGAACATATTCATTGGTAGACATTTACACTCCATCTGCGATGTCTGAAAAGCTGTGTTTGGTCACTTTCTGCAATAACGCTGGTAAAATCCCAAACTAATAGGGCTATGGCTATGGCCCCAAATATTGCTTCATCCAAAATGAAGCACTTGTCACTGAAGTGCAAACATCCAAAAGCACCTTCAAGAGGAAAGAACATGGCTTCTGTATGTTCCTTGTTCATCGAGGTGGGTAAGTTTCTTTAAAGTTTATTATACTCCCTCCGTCACGAATCTGAAAATGAATCATTTCTGGACAGACGGAGTATCAACTATAAGGGAACCCACCTCAATAAGTTGGAATTCTTCTGATGATGAAGAAGGAACACACAGTGTGTCATATACAGAAGGGAGCTAAGGTCTAGTGATGGCACCTGGAGAAGGTATGGCCCTCGCTATCTAGATTGTGCACGACTTTCTTTGGGTGTTACAATCACATAACCTTTAAGATCTAAGAAAATTTCTTTAATGATGGCTGCAATTAGAACTTGGTAAAATATAAGGCAAACGCATACCAAAGTAACTCCTAAGGAACAGACAAACTAATGAAGCTAATTACTGCAAAGGATCTTCCATAATGTTGAACTCCATACTTTCTAACACATGAATATCCAGAGTCACAAATCCAAATTAGTGAACAGCTAACTCTACGAGCTATCCTTATGTAATAGGATGATGAAAAAGAAGAGACTGGAGAAGTAAAGAACAGAGTCAGTACATGACAATATCAGTTCAGGAACTCTTTAAGCTCCAGGATTGCTATACAAAATGGTAGTTTGTAGTCTTATCTCGTCCTCTTCCACGACCTAGCAATTCTTCAATTGCAAGTAGTAATTTATATCTAATCCTCAACCCCACCGCGTAGTACATCATCTAATGGTAAATAAAGATTGCTGTTATCTAGCAAGCACGACGCCGCGTCATGAAATCTTTGACGATAGCTACGACCATAGTTTCCACCATCATCAAGAAGAGGATCAATGTAAAAATTATCAAGATTAGGCGTTTCTTCACTGATAAGCATTACGGGAAGCTTTCCAACCAAAAACCGGTCAAACTTATAATGATCATAAGAATAAACAGGATTAGGGTGCGGGTGTTGGTCCAGATACTTCACAAGAGGATTCATCAATAGCAACTCACCAGTAGGCAAGTTCCCCACAGCAGAAGCATAACTTCCCAAGTCTCCATCAAGTTCTTCAGGCAATTGTATACAGTGCTTGGACCATCTATTACCCTCATTGTCCTCTAATACAAAGAGCACAAAGCATTCTGATCTGGTGTGATCAACTAAGTGAGGAGGAAGCCATAGAGCTAGGCGTCCCATGGATTGAACCAGATTCCATGGGGATAGATTATATGGCAAACCACCAGGAGGAGTGCGAGTTGTGTATATGACATCTTCTGGAAGCTTAATGCATTGAAATTTCTCCTTGTTGAGATCGAAAGATAACAGGAATTTCGGACACCGAAACCAACACAGGATCCCATCACCTGAGAATGTTTTTGCTTCAAGTATATCAACATCACTTCCATCAGGAAAATCAGCAATACCGCATGCATTATTATCCAGCTTTCTCCAAAGTGATAACGAAGTGGAAGGTTTCAGAGTCAATATCTCAGCTTCCAGAGGGCGATCAGGATAATGGAAACCATCGGGCATAATCAATCTCAACAACTTATACACATTGCTACCTGAATCGTAACCCAGATGAATCCTTCGTATTTTATGAAAATTAAAATAAAGAGATTCATCAATGATCATCCTCTGCCCAGTACAAATATTGTAAAGAGTCAATCGCAAAAAATTTTCACAAACACAGGTAAGACCATTCACTACATGGGTCATATGGCTAGAATAAGCGAATCCCAGTTGAGACAAATGCCTGAATTCTTCCTTGGGCTCATTAAGCCAAAGTCTGGAGCAAAAAGAAAGGGTCCTTATTACGATCTATATATAGTAAATATGTGCGTTATCTTTGTAATTGTGGTATTTACCTTAGTTAGGGTTTTGTATACCGTAATTCTAGGGATTGATTGATACGTAGTTTACTGTATATAACTTACCCTAATATCAAAAACAACGGCAAGAGATTGAGCCGCTTTCCCTTGATCTCTTCGTTCTTCTCATGGTATCAAAGCAGGAGTTTTCTAATCTTCCTGTTGTCTGTTTTCTGTTTTCTTCCCCGGCGGATCATGACCAATACCGACGTCCCTCAGCCGTCTCATGCCAAGCAAACGGCCACTGACAGTGGTGACTCGGTTGTCCGCCGCCGGACCATCTCTCCATTTGATCTCTCGCCGAATGATTTTTCCGGCACTGTGATCACCACCGTTCAGCTTCGTGGTGAAAGCAACTACGTCGAATCGCCAAGATTTGCACACACACTTGCACCTTCCCAGTTCCTTTCCCGGAAGCCGTATCAGAATTTCCAACAACAATTCATCTGGTAGAATCACTTTCGTTGCCCCTTTTTTCTGTGCCAGTGATGTTGATGAGACCCGACAAGATGTTCTTCCTTTTCCTGTCTCCCACTCATTTTCACTTAAAGCTCCTCCATTCCCCAAACTCTTCTTCCCAGAGCTTACTTCTGATTGTATCTTCTTATCATTACCATCATAATCAGCAGAAACTGCAGCTGAAGCTGTCTCCATTACTCTATATAAGTAGTAGCGTAAGTTCAGAATGCAAGAAACAAATTTGTTACCTCATCAACGGCCAATTACCGATTGCCAATGATACCTCCCAATTGCCATTCTTGAAATTTACTTACATTATCACTTAGAATTCAGAAGGGATTCCGGAACGGATGATCTAGAACCCTAGAGGAAAATGATCGTGCCGGGTCATTTGATACTTCTGGCAAATGGTTGCCAGCTACGAACATGAGTTGTTTGGGCTGGGTATGGACTTCAAAATTTTGGCCCAAGAAAATGATGGGTTATAGCCACAACATTTTAACCACCCAACACTGGGCCTGTATTTCTTAAGAAATTCTGATGATTGCAAGCAATATTTTGCCAATGGAATCCTGAAAACAATATTCTCTCTGTCTCAAAATTATTGTCCAATTTGAATTTTTATTTTAGTACTCCCTCCATCTCATAATTATTGTCCACTTTGCCTAAAAAATTTTGTCTCAAAATTATTGTCCAATTTGACTTTTTATGGATCAAGTTACACATTTGTCCTTAGTAAAAAACATTATCCATAAAATCTTAGTGGTTAAACAATTACTTATGTAGGGGTATATTCGGTTGTTTAAGGTAAAATATAATTAAGTTTGACCAAAAATAAAATCTTTCATTTTAGTAAAATTGGACAATAATTATGGGACGGAGGGAGTATAAGTTTTAGGACGGAGAAAGTACATTGCAATCAATAGGAATTAGAAACACAGTTCATTAGGCGCAATGATAAGGAATCGGCTGATTCTCTAATTAAGTTAGGACTAACATGTAAACCGGGCTATATATTTTGCCCGTCCCACCCGTTTTAACTCCTCGGTATATGGAAAAAAAAGTTTTTCTCTCATGATTTAAATTTTTGCATATTCTAAATACATTTGTAACTCACATTTTCAAATAATATTTTCTAAATATTTTTAAGAAAATCAATACAAAAAGCGAAACAAATTCCACTTTTGTCATCTGTCTAAAATCTATTCCTAAATTCTTTTAAAATGGATTTATTTATATTACAACTGATCAACATTATGGCTCACGGTTCAATAATCTTTATAAAATTTTATTTAAATAATTGTTTCGTTTGAATTTGCATTATGAATAAGATTTATATAAATATGAAAAACCATTTTACTCGCAAAATGAACCTGGACGAGCTATACCTCGTGGCAGAGTAAAATAAACGGTCGATGTCATAAATGTCATAAATGTCAAAAAGAAATATATAGTTTTACTTTGGAAAAAAATTAAATAAAAAGTGAAAAGAGACTATTTTGTTATTTTTATAAATTTTTAGGGTCATTTTATAATTTTTAAAACTATTAGAATATTTTTGTAACTAAAACTAACAGAAAATCCGTTAATTTAAACGGAAATTAGCAAATTGGACAAAATCGGCTAACGGTTGAATAGTTTAAGGTAATTTTGACTAATAAAAAAAAATAGGGTAGAATTGAAAACGCATGTAAAGGTTAGGGTAGATTGGTCAATTTTTCCGTTTTACTTTTATCCAAATCTACATGATCACATAACACGTGTCTGACTAAGAACCAATACCCTGGAATAAATATCCCCCAGTTTTTCATCCTTCCAGAATTCCGCCAAAAATCTCCTGCTTACTCCTACTCTCCCCCAGTCTCCATCTCCAGAAACGAAGAATCAAAACTCACATTTCAAAGAAATATAAAATCTCGCCGCGCACAAAACAAAGAGCTGAACACAATCCACCATTGAAGCTCTGCTGCCATGACGGCTAGAGCTTCTTCTCTAATCGCACTCTACTCTCCACCTAGTTCTAAACACCACAACTCTCCCGAGAGGAAGAATTCGAGCTCCGATTTTAACACAAGTGATTCTGATTTGAGGTTCCGGTTTCGGATAAACCGAGCCAGTTCTCTGGAATTTCATTCAGGTGAGACTAGGAGAAGTAATGGTTTTGGCAGTCTGATAGGGGGAAGAAAGAGTTGGAAAGTGTGGGCGGACGTGAAATCGAAGCCATACGACGTCGCTGACTCTGATCGGAAGTCATTGAAGAAGTTCGGCGATGTTTTCAGCGACATCATTTTGAGGAAAGGAGACGGAGTTGATGGAGATGGTGCCATCGTTGATGAGATTCCATGGTGGGAAGAGTTCCCGAAGCGTTGGGTGATCGTGCTTCTTTGTTTCTCGGCTTTCCTGCTTTGCAACATGGACAGAGTAAACTACTGAACAAACCTTCGTTATGCTGTCGTTTATTTTTTGCATTTGAAAGATTTGGAGTCATGGAGTGGGAACTTGAAACAGGGTCTATTGTGCAGGTTAACATGAGTATTGCTATACTTCCTATGGCCTCTGAGTACGATTGGGGACCTTCAACTGTTGGCTTGATACAGTCTTCTTTTTTCTGGGGTTATCTTCTCACTCAGGTAAGATCGGAAGAAAAATCTTACCAAATTCCCGTAATTACGAAACTCGGAAGCAATGCTGTTGCGTACATCCTAGGTTTCCTTGAACAGTATTTCATGATTCCTCGCTTACATGTTCAGAAAAATTCTCAAATATATTACTTTACATGTCTGGATATCAGGTTGCAGGAGGTATTTTGGCTGACACAGTTGGTGGAAAAGCAGTCCTCGGATTTGGTGTGGTTTGGTGGTCTGTAGCAACAGCTTTAACACCAGTTGCAGCAAGGCTTGGGTTGCCCTTTTTACTTGTAACTCGAGCAATCATGGGCATTGGTGAGGTTAGTTCTTGCTATTACTTTGCATACAGCATCAAGGCAGTTAGAAAATGATTTAACTGCTTGCTAGGCCGCAATTAGTTTGCATTCTAAAAATGAAATTTAGGAATGTGTTTTACATCTCCATAGGAATTTGTTTTGACTAGAATTCGTAATTTGTTCTACAGCTTTTAGTCCGTGAAGTCTAGAAGATAAATTGAAAATGTGTTTTGAAACAATATCTCTGATCTCTGTAGAGTAAATGAAAATGCGTAGGAAGTCGAAATTCAGCCAATGTTGTCTGTAGGTCCTGAAAGAACAATGTTCTATTGTATAAAATTGCTTCTTTTTTTTTTGTTTTTTTTTTTTGCTTGGGAATCTTTACATGCTTTGAAATCACTAACTTGGGGTTTCCGCCTTTATGCCTGTGCTTCTGGTTGCAGGGTGTTGCTATGCCAGCAATGAATAATCTTCTCTCGAGGTGGGTGCCTGTAGCAGAGAGAAGTAGATCGTTAGCTCTAGTATATAGTGGAATGTATCTTGGATCTGTTACTGGCCTGGCCTTTTCGCCATTGTTAATACATCAATATGGATGGCCATCTGTATTCTATTCATTTGGGTCTCTTGGCACAGTTTGGTTTCTAGTCTGGCTAAACAAGGTAATGTTCGAGTGTGCAATTCCTGAATCTGTTAAGATGTTTTTCAAGTTTTTTGCTGTAATGGAATTCACCTTTATCCTACAGAATTAGCATTTTCTTCATGGTGATGATGAAATTTAATTACAATGTCTAACATTATAGGCACATAGTACACCTCTAGAAGACCCTGAGATTCGGCCTGAAGAGAAGAAGTTGATCCTCAGCAGTAGTGCATGCAAGGAGCCCGTTAAGTCTATTCCTTGGAAATTAATTTTATCAAAGTCTCCTGTATGGGCCTTGATTGTTTCTCACTTTTGTCACAACTGGGGCACATTTATTCTTCTGACATGGATGCCTACATACTATCACCAGGTGATGCAACTTTATATGCGACCAGCGCCTCCTGCCAATTATAATTTCTAAATTCTTAAAGATATTCTTTTAAGCTGCATGGTTAGCATTTTCGTGGAAGGGTGATTTGCAATGACTTTAAATGATCTGAATTTGACATTTTGAGAGAGATTTGTTGATTGTGATATGCTTGATCTGGTTTCCATTTTTTATTGGTCTGGAAATGGAAAATTTGATGCCTTTGTACATAATAAAATTATTACCTGATTACATACAAACTTGTTGGGCTGCTGAGACGGGGTGGTCCATCAAGATGCAGTCTCACCTTATATTTCTATTATTTGCTACTCCCTCTATCCCAAAACATAGTCCACTTTGAGTTTTGAGATTTGTACTAAAAATAGAGGTAGCATTTCCAAGACACGAACTTGAAACCTTAAAGTACCTGGCTGCAGCAGTTACTGCTGTGCTAAGGGCCCCCTTCATACATCACAAGATAAAAATTAAGTTACACCTAGACCTCTTGGCTTTCCTGACTGGTGTTAAAGTGAATGATCTTTTGAGTTAGTTGCTTCTGAATATCTTCATTCATTTCCAATAAATCTTTTAAGTCCTCTTTTAGCTTTTCTTGTTAATATCACTGTGAGAACCAGGGAATTAACATCAGCAATCGTGATATCTTAATTCCTTTGACCGAAATGATGATGCTTTAAGCTTGGGATATATTTATAAACTATAACGATCCGTTTTAAGTCCTCAGTTACCTTTGCTTCCTTGATTATGTCACTGCTTATATTACGAAATTAATGCACCATCCTTCGTTAGAAATGGAACTCCCAGTCCCAACGTGTAGACTAGAAGAATTGAATTTTTTGGAATCTCATGTTGGAAAGTAGATGTGGCAAATGCAGCCTTTCGAATTATGATAGATATATTATGTTTTGTCTTTTGTCACTGAATGTTGATTTGGTCACACAAATTTACTGAATGGAATTTTCTTGGTTACCGACTCTTGTTTTAGGTGCTGAAGTTTAACCTTACTGAATCTGGAATGTTGTCCGTGTTGCCTTGGCTAACAATGGCCTTATCAGCCAATGCTGGAGGGTGGATTGCTGATACCTTGGTGAAGAAAGGTGTATCCGTAACAATTGTCAGAAAGGTACGATATTATAGAAGTCATTGAACTGACAAAAAAGGTGATCTGTTGCTAGACACTTGAACTTGTAATCTTGGTGCTTATGGAACATCTGTTATATCGTCCATTTCATTTACTAAAAGCATACCTGAAGTCGGGACTTCGTGGAATAACTATGGTGGGCCAACATTTTTCAAGATAGATTTTACATCACTGCATGCAGTCACTTCTGAGGGTTACAGCTAGACTAATCTTTGAAAGTTTGCTGGTTCTCTGACTTGAAGAGTGTTTGTATTGTAAATTATTTTGCAGGTAATGCAGAGTGTTGGATTTCTTGGCCCTGCTTTCTTTTTGACTCAGTTGAGCCACGTCGATTCTCCTGCCATGGCTGTTTTGTGCATGGCCTGCAGCCAGGTTCGTGTCTAGCATATTTGATATCAATTTAATTATATTAAGCATTTCGAATAATGTTCAGATTCATTAATGAGGGAATTTTGACTTAGGAGTGAATTGGTTGTCTCAATTTTATTGGCTCTGTCATTTTTTAAGGGAGAGTTTTAATAAGGGGTGATTTGAGAGGTTTGAGAGGTGGAAGGCTGAAGTTTAGGAGATTTGAGTTTGAAAGAAAGAGGAACAAGTATGTTGTCTGAAGTTTTAGTCCACTTGAGAGCAGTTTAGGCCTTTTGGAACAAAAATTTCACTTTGTTGACTTTGCTGTCGACCTAGGAAGTTAAACGCCTAAGTTCGACAATATTTTGGGCAGTTTTGAGTCTTTTGACACTGAAGTTTCATTTCATCGAGACGACCAAGTCAATGATACAGTATATAGAATGTGACCTGAAATTTCAGGCTAGAGTGCTTTTTTTTTTTTTATGGAAAATAAGGTTTATATTAAGATGAGAACCATTACAGTGGTACAAGATGATTCAGGGCGGTCTTCGCCATTCGATGTGAACATTCCACTAAGTCTCTCGGGACTTTTTGGATCACACAATTCGCTATGGATGAAACTAGATTCCTAATATCTAGGCCTAGGGCTGTAATTGATGACTTGGTGGAGACCTTCTTTTCGAGCTGTTTCAAAAAAAAAAAAAAAAAAAAGAAGAAGAAGAAGAAGAAGAAGAAGTTCTGTCGACTTCTTGGTACTCGGGGATAGAGTGCTTGATAAATAAGTCAACACCTTTTTTTTGGCAGTTTTGAGACTAAACTATCCTTTCGTCGACTTGGTCGTTGTGAGAGGAAGCTCGATGATGAAGTCGGTGACAACTTCTAGCCAAAATTTGGCCATCCTGGCCATGATAATGCTTATAATTTTCTTCTGGCTGCCACCTTGGTTTTCTTTCTTTTTTAATCTATTCATGTTTTTGTTCTGACCTATTATCTTTCTTCTGAAACAGGGTACTGATGCTTTTTCACAATCTGGTTTATATTCCAACCATCAAGATATCGCACCTCGCTATTCAGTAAGTCAGCAATTCACTGTGATTACCCATTTGAAGATACATGGGACTGAAAACAGTAATAATGCAGGCTTTATTTTTATTCTAGTCAACAACATATGTTTCTTGGTACTAAAACTCTTTTCTTATATTATACTCCTACATCAATAAAGAGAATTTCTCCATTAACTTTTCTAGCCCAAATTCGGTGTAGTGTAATCTTTTCCAATTTCTTTTTTCTTCTCATCCTCTTTACATTTCTGTTCTAGGGCGTATTGCTGGGCCTTTCTAATACTGCCGGTGTATTGGCTGGTGTCTTTGGGACAGCAGCAACAGGATACATCTTGCAACATGGTACGCTTGGATACTGTTTTTTTTCTTAAGTCTTAACTGTAGTTAAATTATTCATTGCATGAATTTCAGTTCAACTCTTGCTTGTGCGAATCACTCCATGTGGCACTCAAGTACATGAACTTGGGATGTTTGTTATTTCAAACTCGTTTTGTTGTTTTCCATTATCTTTAGTTACTTTGAGTTGATAGTGTCATAGTTGCTCGCTTTCTGAGGTAAAAGGCATTTTCCAAGATGGTCGGTTTACTCGGTTGTGCTTCCTCATCAGGTTCCTGGGATGATGTCTTCAAGGTCTCAGTTGGGCTCTACTTGGTAGGAACTGTGGTATGGAACCTCTTCTCAACTGGTGAGAAGATATTGGATTAGGACAGAACCCTTATTCAGATGGGAGATGATACGACAGAAACCCCAAGACCAGAACTCAGATCCCAGACAACGAGAACTCTGATGGTCAGTGAGAATGGATAACCTTACGCACTCGGCTTCAATATGAGCTGTATAATTGAACATGTCAAAACTCAAAACTGGAATCGCAGTTATGCGACCGCAAAAGGTTGAAGAAGATTGTCACACAAAGTAATAACACCAAATCAAATCCCCGAGACAAACCTACTAAAACCTAGATAGATTGTACATGTACCATGTATAGCAATTAGCAAGCTCCCCAACCAGTTTTGTACATCCCCAAATATTTGTTATTCAACGTCTACACTCGATGAAATATGCACTTGCTTCTGCGCAACCTTGGAGATTTGTTGGTATACCTAATCATTAGTCTATTTCAGATTTAAGTTTTTCCGGTACCAATTCAGATTCAAATTATACTCCCTGGTGTTCTTTTCAAGCAACTGAACTATATTGAATGTAAAAAGTGTAACTTGTGTTGGAGGTTAAATGAGGATGTATAATCTGCTCATCAAGGGTTGCCACGTGTCAAATCATTAGCCATAGCTGCAGAAGATGAGCCCTCTAACTTTCCTGCCCATTCAAAAATAACACAGGAATGGAAAATAAATCAAGAAAAAAAATAAATAAATAAAAGAGGCAAAGATCAAACGGAATGAAGATAAGCCACTTGTGGAGAGCTTGTGTTATAAACACGTTCATATAGCGTTCTTCACAATCTGTACTCTTATCTAACGGCTTGAATTCAACCCAGAAATTATATTATCCCACAAGAAATCTCCAGTCATCTGCTTACTCTACACATTCCAGTTCAATTTCCAAGGCCACAGAAAAAAAAAAAAAAAAAAACAGAGCAAAAGATTTTTTTTTTGGGGATATGGCTTCGTTGAACTTTTTTGTACCTCCAATGGTGCCGACCAGAAGAAGTGTAATTACATCAGCCACGGCTGCCAAGAGCGCCGGCGGAGGTAAAGAAGAAAAGGGATTGCTGGACTTCATTCTCGGGGCGCTACAGAAAGAAGATCAGCTCTTGGAAACCGACCCAATTTTGCAGAAGGTTGAAGGAAAAACTGCTACTGTAAGCGGCGGTCGGAAGAACTCCGTCGCCGTGCCTCCTCCTAAGAAGAAAGAAGGCGGGTTTGGTGGATTTGGAGGGCTCTTTGCCAAGAATGAATGAATAATCCAATGTTAGTTCAATTGTTTTCTTGCTTAAAACAAAACATAGCGTTGAAGCCATTTGATATATTTTGTTCAAACGCTAGCTATTCCTCATTTCTTGGACAAGCCATTTAATCTTGAAATGCAACAATCTTATTTCATTCAAATGCGAAAAAAAATGTAATTTAATTGGTATATATATGTTAGCTCTTCCTCCTAAGGATCCTGCCTTGATTTTGGTTAGTTGCAGTTTTACTTTGTGAATAATGTGGATGTTATGGCATTCATTTATTACTACTGTTTCTAGCATATCCTAAAATGATGATAAAACCGGACAATCATTTTGGGATGGATGGGGTATATGTTTGTGAAAGCAGCAAAGAAATGGCAATTGTTTAACATGAACTTTAGAATCAAGCAGACAAGCACTATGGTTAGATTACACTAATCATTACAGTACCATAATTAGTTCCATTAGCGCCGTCAGAAGTATTTTATTGTACATTGTTTATATACTGCAGTCTGCACTAACCTATGCTTGAGTCCACTTTTCCTGGCCACTGAAATCTAGTTGAAAAGGGTTAAACAATGGAGTAAAAAGCTAAATAAAATTGTTACGTTCCCAAAATAAGAGTCTTGTTTGTTGTGGCGGACGGAGTAGTCTGTTTGGATCGAAGTGCTATGGAATGGAACTCCAACTTGGATTGAGGGTAAATTACAATGTTACAAGCATTAAGTTGTCAAACTCTTGATTGGACCTGTCCTATCCAATGCATATTGCTACTCCGTTGATTGCGTTTTCCTGCTTGTCCTCCCACTCTGATCCTTCTTTTCTGTCCTCTCTGTTTCATGTTTCATGTCGGTTTTAAGATAGGAGGCCTAGTTTTTCTTCTTTGCATATTTGAAGCGACCAATCTTCTGTTAGTACATTTTTTTCCCCCTAAATCTTCCTTCATTATTCATAACATTGTTCTGCTCGCCTCATACTCCAATGCTATTGATGTTATCACTTTTCCAGAGGATTAACATTGTCACACCGTCCACCTTACCTGCGAAAATATGGTTGAAGAAAGATCAGTTTCATCATCTGTTACAATGATTTGTGTCATGTCATTGAATTGTTGGGTTAAAATCATGAATTGCAATTCGGTTACCTTTTCATAATCTAGTGTTGCTGTTTACAGCCGTCGCATGTTCTCATGTTGGATTGGATCTGAGAAACAAAGTGTTGAAAAGAGTAAACATGTAAATGAAGTGCAAATTATTAAGCATTATTATGAAGCAGGATGGGTGCATGAGCGCATCTGAATTGGTTAGATGAAAAGGGAAGGATTCGATCAAATTTTGAAGGTATTAAGATGCAGTTTCTTTCTAATTTCCGCGGAATTTACTGATTGCGAACAGCAACAAAGATATATGTATGTTCACAGATAGTCTAAAAGGAAATGAACATAATGAATCTCACTGCAGATTAGTGCCATTTTCCAACACAAAGTTGACGGAACCTTTTATTATTAAGGTCTAATCGGGGCATAAGTTCAGAACTAGATTACATCATGTATGGATGAGGAAGGCACTCAGTAGAATAAGATGAAGTATGGATGAACAGGAAGCATTTCTGCAGGGCAAACACTTCTTATGTATAGCTCTGATCCTCTGACGCTTTGCATAGGAGCTGCATAGAGTGACAACTTATGAAACTACACCAACCATAACTTGAACCTAATTCCGAAAAGGTTATTGATAATCAGCACGAACAACCGACACGAAAAACCAGGAGTCACAGAAACAATGTTAAGTGCATCTAGTGGAAATGATGACAGTAAAATTTCCAAACTTTCGGCCCTCAAACACGAAAAACTGACCTGAGTGTAAGAAACAATAATGCCATCGCCAAGCTGCAGATGTAGAAGAGCAGTAGGACTGTTAGGTGTGCGACCAATTCAAACAATGTGAGATAGAAAAAAGGAAAATAAAGGACAGACATGCGTCTTTATCACCTGAAGTTGTGACATGGATGATGGACCCAGTTACCTGACAACTTCCGGTTTCCATTCATTTCGTAGTATGACAAAACCTTAAAGAAAGACAACCAAGCAAACTTCTCCATATTTGCAAAACATGCATAATGGGGAAAACTTCTTTTGAATCTCAGAACAGCATCATGTGACTTTGCCTACTATAAAATGTGTCTCTGGAATGCTGGAATTTGCTCAGGTGCAGCTTGCAACGTGTGGGGCAAGACGATGCCCCGCCACAAAATTTTTAACCTCTCTATTCCGGCATAATCATCTGCAGACCCTTCAGTTTGAAGAGATCATCGCGTAGAATATAAGTCTGTAACCCTGGCGGTGATGAGAGTGGGAGACTGTAACCTTGAGATCCAGGGCGGTTATAATGTCATGTGATTAGGCATAGATCCTGATCTTAGAAGACTCTTCTTTTTCATGAATGTTTTCTGAAGAATTTGATTATTGCACCAACAAGTTGTATTACACCATACATTTTTCTATAGGAATTAAAGGTGCTAAAAAGAAAAAGTGCAACCAAAAGCAACAATGTGAATGCATGAACAGGCCTTTTATATGTAGCATATTATATAATACAAATCTCCCACCACCATCCTACAAAAAATAGCAAGGCAAATGGCCTCAACTTAGCAACTCAGCTGATCAACCTATACTAAGCAAGGAAAGGAACAATTCTCAATTCTATTTAGTACAAGCAAGAAACTGACCAATTACAAGAGTTCACATATTCTGGAATCACAAAATTCTGGGATCTAGCTATATATAATACATCATCATCATCATCTTGATGATTAAAAACAACCCATTAGCTTTATCTATTGCTGCTGCACGGTAGAATTCGATCTTGGCAATGAAGAGGAAGAGTTGATGAACTCAATACAATCATCTATGGCTTCAGCTCTGTGAGAATCAACTGGAGCTGCACAGGGCTTTGCTGCTCTGTCTGCCGAGGAAGAAGAAGAAGAAGTAACTTTAGGAGAACATCTCCTTGGAGACATCATCTGCAGAAATGATACCATCTTTTCTCCAAGATGTTTGAAATGCTTAAAGGGATACAATTCATTCCTTTTAGGCAGCAGCCGGAATTTGGTGCAACTGGTGTTAGTGCACCTTGGTGTTTTCTCCTCCTTCTTCACTGATTTCTGCTTCTGAAGCTCTGCCTTCTGCTTCTTCTGATCAGAAGTAGTAACTGATCCACTAAGTGTAGTTGCAGACATTGAGAAAAATGAAAGAAGTTCCCTTTCTTTGAGAATGAAGCTCTTTTTAGTGAGTTTGGAGTGGAGATGAATAAAAGTAGAATGGAAGCTTAGGGAGCCTTATATAGACCTGACCATCTGAAAGGCAAAAAGTTTACTGCCTCCCTCATTTGTTGAAAAAACAACACTAATAAGAGGGAAAAAGGGGGAAGAACAGAAAAAAAGAAAACAGCAGCAAAAAATTGGTCCAAATGACTAAAAAATTACAAGTTTCAAGAATGGCCTTAAGTTCATTAAAGTCTTTGCTAGGCTCTTGTCATCCAAGTTGACGGGTTTTTTTGGATTCATTTTCCATGGTGATTACTTACTGCATGTCGCCATTTGCGCCCACATCCATTGTGTCATAATGTACATGACAGAGAAATCAGTACAGCCCTACAGTACATTGTAATGGGAAGAATTCAATTCTCTGTCACCCTACAGTTAAATTCTCAGGACCCCTTCTGAGTAAAGAGCCTAGATTTTATCCTTCCGGGTTTTAAGTAGTAGGGTTTTTCTTTTTTTACTGAAAATATGTGCTTGACGACTCTTATAGAGAGACTCTACGTGTGTACCTCTTGCTTGATGTGTTTAGAACGCAGAATTCAATCCGCTTAAATTGCTGTTCGTTGGAGTTGGGTGATATTCCCGTTTACATAATTATTTCACCTAATATTCCTTTGAGAAAAATATCCCTCCAATATTAGAGCAGCTAGAAGCTAGCTAGATTAACATCTTATGCAAAACCAGTTGCTCTTGTCCACTCGAAGTGGTTGTTGGTATGATGGAGCGTTAGGTGTTGGTTCAAAATAAGAAATTTAGTGATGATAATTAGTAGGCTTTTTGTGCCTGTTTTTATATGAATCATTGCTAAATCACATCATTATATATATTAAAGGAAAGAAAGATAATCGACACGTGTCGCTAATTGAGACCATCAAACATCACTTTTAACTTATTATCATTTTAGCCCTTAAAGTTCTATTTATGTGTTACTTTGTCTTCAATTTTATCGATTTTACATTTTCAATGACGATTAATTATGTCTAATCCCCAAAGTCCCCTTGCCTATAAATAAGCCATAGGCATCTAGACATAATTTACGTATCTTTTAATATATTTTTTAATCCAAACATAATATTAGTTAGTGGTGACAATTTTTATTATACAACTTTTTAAAATTTTTATTGTAATATTTTTTGCCAGATCTTACAAATATACATCTCATAAATAATATCAATAACTCTTATTTTGATCTAAAATTGATTAATCAAAAAAAAATTTACCGTTTTAAGAAATATTAATAACTACATTATCTAATTAATTATTTTGAAAGATGAATTTTCAACATTGACAAATCCCCGCTTTGCGCGGGACACGTACTAGTTCTATAAAATATTAGTGACAAACACTAGGCTTTTGGGGGGCTGTTAATGAATCATTGCTAGATTACATTCACATAATTTTCGAATTGATTAAAGGCGAAAATGACAGTGCAAGACCTCGGATTATGGGCCTGGGAAGATACAGAATGTCACAATGGAATAGAGAAAAAAAAATGAAAAAAATATTTAAAGTGTGACAAAGCATATGTAAAGAGGGGCCATGTGGGACTATAGCAGAAATGTTAAGGGAAGAATCTGGCCAATACGCATTTCCTACCAAAAAAATAATTCTCTGATACGTTTAATGAAAAAAAATCATATATTGGTTCAATTAACATTTAACAATACTGTTTTAGCCTATGCACCCGACTAAACTTTTGTACTTTCGGTTAATATATTTCTTAAGTGGAAAAATAAATGCTATTTATGCAACATCTCCTCTTGAAAAAGGGTTCAAATGTGGAGATTTTTCAACAAAGACCACAGATTTCACACTAAAAAGTTCATATTCCAGTTAAAGACCACCTTTTTCCTGAGCTTAAAGCCTGAGGTAATCAATCTTTCGGTAATATGTTTCCAACTGAAAAAGAATTCCAGATGTTCAGACTCTGGCACAGTCGCTTTTTGCCGCAGAACAATTCTAAATTCGGTTTGTGCCCTTTCGAAAGAAATGCATGTGTTGAATACACAAGGTCGATCAACAAAATAGAAACATTTTGGTTTTTACCAAAAGAGGTGACCTGAAATTGCCAGATCCCAAAGGATAATCTTTACAGGCTAGTAAACAAAAAGGGTATAGACAAAATTTCAGTCAAATTAAAGAGATGAATAGAAGTTCAAACATAGAATCATGTCCAATCAATCATTATTAAGATCTAACAAGAAGACAAAAGAAAGATACACAGACTTAAACACAAGTCGCTCCAAATCCAGTATGATAATTATGGGTTGTAAAAACTAAACTCGTTTCATCACATTGTAATTATACTCTTCTAGCATCGAGGGATCGATATTAATGTCATTGTAGAATAAGATAACTACTTCGAGTACAAAACATTCTAAAATGATTATTCAGTTTAACTTTTCGAGAAATTAAATTTGTTGAATAATTTCATGACGGAAAAGTGACTATCACAATATATATTACTCATAAGGGCGAATGGCCAAGAGCTCGATGTTGTGGTTGGATGATATATGTAGCTATTCTTACTCCTCAAATGAAGTTCTAAGTTTGACACGCCAACATGAACTCTTCTATTAAATTTGCATCTTTCAATTTCTCCAGAAATCGAACTGCAGTTCCTCAAATTTAAAATTCATAGACTTGTTAGTTAATGGCAAATAATATTAAGATCCTAGGTACACCTTACAAGGTGTATCTATATTTAGGCAGTGCGTGAATAACACACAAGGGAAAAAAAATTGAAATTTTTGAGCCGAGGTAAAAGGAGTTCACGCGCGCTTTTAATCACCCAATTTTATCCCCTCTTTTTTGGCATTTAATTCCCTAATCTTATCCCTTTTTTTTAGCATTTAACTCCCTGATCTTATCCCTTTTTTTTGGCACTCGATTAATTTTAAATTTTTTTTTATTTGCTTATCATGTTAGCTTTTATATTATTTTATTTTATGAGATAATTTTTTTATAACGATGGATTTTATTTTAGTAAAATTGACTATGGTTAATCATTGAGACTTATGAATATGGAGAATCAATGTGTATTTTCCTAGTAATGAATAACCAACATTTAGACAATGAATAATGTTATGCAATTATTGAAAGATGGTTGATGTAGAATGTATTCGTTTTATTGATGAATATACATGGGTAAGGTAATGTGTATTATATGGTTAATGATGAACAGGAATTATATTGTTGTTTTTTGACCGATAGTGTATTATCTTATTACGTTTTTATGATGAATATCTTACGTTAATTAATGAATAACGAGTTCTTATTGATGAATAATTGGACGATGTTTCAACTCTGAGGAAGAGGCTTTTGCTGCTTATAATTCTAGCGCATTGTTTTTTCAATAAAAAGGTTCAAAGATTGGAAAATGTCCAAATCTGGTGTTGTATATTGGAAACAATTTGCATTAGCAAACAAGGAGTAAAAAATTCATGAGGTAGATGATATACAATAATGAATAATTATATCAAACTAATGAATACGGCAATTTCAACAATGAATAATTATACCAAACTGATGAATACGGTAATTTCAACAATGAATAATTATACCAAACTGATGAATAATACAAAGATCTACTAATTTACCAAAAAAATAATACTAGTTTACAAACTGCTGAATAACCCTCTATATCAATGTCTACACTTATTGTGGTTTGGTCTTTTTGCAGATTCAGATATCCTGCTTCTTTCAGCTTCTAATTGTTGTTCTTCGTTCATGCTTCTTTCAGATTCTGTCTGATATTATTCGCTCATGCTACAATATGTTTACAAATTCCATGAATAACTTGTCAGATGTGATTAATTTTTTAGTGCGTTTCCTAATATTAATGTATCATATGTATCACAAACTTAATGAATGACTGTTCGATGAATTAATGAATAAATGTATATAGATGATTAATAATAATTGCTGACCCAATGAATAACATCCCTTTACGGATGATTATTCCAAAATAAATTTTACAACAAATTATGATGAATACCAATTACCAAATTGATGAACAAATTTAACGAATAAATAATACATAGTTGTAATAAACAATGAATCCGGCAATTTCAACAATGAATAATTATACTAAATTGATGAATAATACAAACATCTAGTAATTTACCCAAAAAAAATACTACATAGTTATAGTAAATGATGAATCTGACAATTTCAACAATGAATAATTATATCAAACTGATGAATAATACAAAGATCTAGTAATTTACCAAAAAATAATACTATATAGTTATGGTAAACGATGAATCTGACAATTTCAGCCATGAATAATTATACCAAACTGATTAATAATACAAATATCTACTAATTTACTAAAAAAATAATACTACATAGTTATGGTAAACGATGAATCTGACAATTTCAACAATGAATAACTATACCAACCTGATGAATAATACAAAAATATACCAATTTTCCAGAAAAACAACATCCAATAGAAGAACAAAACTCTAAAATTGATGAACAAACATCGTCAATCGAGTGAATGTACCTTACATCTACAGAACCCAAACAAAAAAAAAACACCAACGGTTGAATATGAAGAAAACTTTAAACTTGATGAACAGATATGCATAATCAAATGCATATACAGTAAATCTACAAAACCCATAAAAAAACGCATCAATAGTCCAAAAGATTAATAGTATTACCTTCGTTCATCTTCACTTTCCGAACTGCTTCTGTTCGGTTCAGATCCTCATCAGTGGTTTCTGCGTGAATGAATTTTGTTCATGTATTACCTTAAATCGCATCTTGAACAGAGTATATTTCCACAATTTCCACTGGATTTGATGCACAATCTGATCCCGTCCCAAAAAATCCAGCCGACGAGAAGTTTTCTGGCCAAATCGCTGTAGAGAAAATTTAGTTTTTTAGTTTTTTTTTTTTTTTTGTTTGAGCGGATTTTGTGATGAATGGGGGTGGAAGATGGATATGGTTAATGGCTGAAAATTAGGAGGAAATAGTGGGATTTGAAATTCCAAAAATCCCACAAAATGGGGAATTAAATGGGATTGCTGTAAATATTGAGAGATGTCCATTTTTGGGTCGCGTGAGACTCACACTAGGTACACCTTGCTAGGATTCCTATATTATAATTGGTTAGTTAATAGCCGGAATAATATACTACTCCCTCCGTCCCATAATTATTTTCCTGTTTTACTAAAATGAAATATTTTATTTTTGGTCAAAATTAATTATATTTTACCTTAAATAACCGGATATACCCCTACATAAGTAATTGTTTAACCACTAAGATTTAATGGATAATGTTTTTTACCAAGGACAAATGTGTAACTTGATCCATAAAAAGTCAAATTGGACAATAATTTTGGAACAAAATTTTTTTGGGTAAAATGGACAATAATTATGGGACGGAGGGAGTACAATAGATTTCTTCCTTCCCTTTATTTTCCTATAACATCGGGATTTTTTCACCAAATATATATTATTATATACGCTATATTTTTAATTTATTTCTTTGTCCAATTTTTTTTGTGTCGTACTCGTAGGCCTAATTTGTGCGTTTCCATTAAAGAGAACAGAATCTTTTTTTGCATCCTTTTCATCTTTCTTTTTCCGTAGACCATGTACCGCAGCCGCACCCGAATCCACCAGTTGCCGGGAAGATGTACCTGTGGAACTGTTTCTCAGGTTGCCGATAAAACAGCTGTTGAGATGTAAATGCGTTTCGAAATCATGGAGAGATATAATCGGAAGCAAATATTTCATGGATCTGCACTTGAAATCATCCGAACTAGAAGCAGAACAAAATCCCAGGATTCTGGTTTCCATGAATTTGGCTCGTAAATGTCCTTCAAGAAGATATCATTATATGAAAAATCATCCTGGGTATCGTCCTTCCCCGTTGCTTTTCCTGTTTCTTTTCCCGTAAGTTGTACGAGGTAGAACTTGATTTGAAGAGGGCTACAAAGTTAAGGTTCCCAAACTACCCTTTCAAACTCAGCAAAGCTAGAATCCACGGTTGCTGTAATGGCTTGTTCTGTTTGAGTGATTCCGCAACTCACATTTTGTTGTGGAATCCATCCATTCACAAGCTTTGGGATTTACCTATTCCACCGGATGAATGTAAATCTGTGTATGGTTTCGGGGGGTACGATGATTTGGGAGATGACTACAAAGTGGTGAGACTGAATCAAGAATTCGGGACAGGGGTTCAGATTTATAGCTTGAAATCCAAATCATGGAAATGTGTCCCACATTTCCCCTGTTTCGAGGTAGGCGAAGAGGCAATCATTTCCCGTGATGGCAAATTAGTTAACCATACTCTCCACTGGATCCTTGAAAATGATATTGTTGTAGCTCTTGATCTTAGCACGGAGACGTACAAAATTTTGTCTCCGAAGATTATTGTTCCAGAAGAAGATTCAGGCAACGCTAATGATTCCGTCTTGGGGGGTTTTGGATGGATGTCTTTGCGTGCTGATGTTTGCGCGGGGTGATCTAAATAATACTTTCGATATATGGGTGATGAAGGATTACGGAGTGAATGATTCTTGGATCAAAATGTTTTCGGGCAGCTGGTCTTTTGCTCGTCCTTTTCCTATATCATATTCCAGCAGCAGGAATAAAATCCCCACTTTCATACTAGGCGCTATGTTTATGAATATGAGATTGATGAAGAACAACGGTCTGACAAGAATCCTGTCTCTAAATTGTTCCATTTTGAGAAGGGTACTATGAGGACTGGTGGGTGTCCCTGGATTAGTAGTCTTGTTCAGCCTTGGCTAGGCTAAAACGTAGGATCCCTTTAAGATCTCCCACAACTAAGAGAAAGGAGAAGAAGAAGAAGAAGAAGAGAGGTTTTTGTTGAAGCATAAGTATCTTTTGGTTTGCCCCTTTTATTACAATGCTATTCTAATTTCTTACAGTTTTTTAATTTCCCTTCAACAGGAACTTTTCTTGTTAAATTTATCTGGTTATCTTTTGCTTTATCCAGCTTATGCTTTTCTTCTGTAGACTAATGGCAGATTATCTGTATCGAAAATATTCAGTTTTGATCAAATGTCACAATAAGCAACTCGGTAAACTGTATCTCAAAATGTGAACTGATTTACCCTAAATTGTAGACTGATCAAATGGTTTTTGATTTTTTTTTTTTTTTGGTACAATGAAAGAGGCCAAAGCCTAATGACAAGAAATTAAAACATTTCGGGGATAAGAAACTCCAACCATATCATGTTCCAACCACTGTATGAGTGAAAGCGGTGGAACCAGCAAGATTTGAAAACCCCCAGACCAAAGGAAGTAATATCTACTAAACAGTCAGCTACAAAATTCGTTTTTCGATAAACAAGCTTCAAACTAACTTTTCACGGTCTTCTCAATAAGTCGCGAATTCCACGAACTAAGCCACCATGAATTCCCAGCACATCATTCTCACCTTGCACCATCGCACAATTACTATTGGTATTTTCAATACGAAGGAGGAGGCATAAGTCTGCTACTCTGCTCTATTATATTATTGAATATATACAAGCCACGCTAATTGCATAGCGAGTCAACTTCAACTTTCTTGTAGTGTAGCTTGAATGTCCATATCTCTCGGGAATTAATTTGACTAACTAAAATGTGAATTATTTTTGTGAGAGAATGAGGAATAAATTAATATCCTTTAATTTCTATTGTAAATTATTAAATGATATTCCTCTCAATTTATATGAATCATACTCCTCCTATGACATACCATTTTTATAAACTTCGACTTGATCACATATTCTTTCATATGTATTAATAAGATTATACTAATATATAAGACAAATAAAAAGGGTAAAAATGTATAATATTTTTAATCTTCTGCTCAGTGGAAACTTGGTTGTATTGAACCATAGCGGCTCACAAAGCTGACCTATTAAAAAAGAATGTCATGCAGTTCTCGTCCACCACTAGTTCAAGGACACATGTTCATCAAGCTATAATCATTTTCGATTGTTTTTTTCATCCCACCACTAGAAGGACAGCCGCCACCTGAAAAATCACATCTGCAACGGGACTACTTATGCAAATCAAAGTCATCTCACTTTCTTTATTATCGGCTTTCCAAACAGAAACAATGACATGCATTAAAGCTCTTCAAGAAGCATAAACACTTGGTCTACAAAATGTCTTAGTACATACTGATTGTGAATTCTTGACTACAAAACAACCTTTGAGCCGGCTCCCTAATGAGTCACAACAAGTAGTATCACAACTACGACTTTTCCACTTTTCAATCGTGTACTTTAGTTAAAGTTAGTAGAAGTGATGTTAGTGAGTTACATAATTTAGCTTATGTCAATCAACGTTGTAATAGTATAGTTATTTCAAATTAATATACAGGTACCATTTCCGAAAAAAAAAAAAAAAAAGCATAGCGGCGCATGAATTGTCGTAGACCTTTTCTTTTCTTTTTTTCTTTTAAGGGGAAATCAATTATCTGCATCTTTCCCATCTTTTCTTTCCGTCAACCATGTCCATCATCCGCAGCCACGAACTGCGGGAAGATATACTAGTGGAATTGTTCCTCAAGTTGCCGATGAAATCCCTGTTGAGTGGTAAATGCGTTTCCAAATCCTGGAGATCGAAAGCAAATGTTTCATCAACCTGCATTTGAAACTATCCAAAACAGACGCAGATCAGAAATCCAAGATCCTTGTTTTGAAGAAGTCGTCTAGGAGAGCAAAAGTAAAACAACCTTCAGGAAGTTACGATCGTTTTCGTTTCCGTTTCTTTTTTGAGGTAGAACTTGAATCAGGATCATTATTGCCGCGCTTGATGAAGAGAACTACCAAGTCGGAATTTGCTAACTACCCTTTTGAAATTCGTAAAGCAAGGATCCATGGTTGTTGCAATGGCTTGTTTTGTTTGAGTGATTCACAAACTCACATTTTGCTGTGGAATCCGACTATTTCCAAGCATTGGGAGTTGCCTATTCCGCCTAATGCATATACTTCTGTGTACGGTTTTTGGTACGATGATATTGAGGATGACTACAGAGTGTTGAGAGTGAATGAGTATGCGTCCGGGATTCAGATTTATAGTCTGAAATCCAATTCATGGAGGCATCTCCCACATTTTCCTTGTTTCAATGAAAACCGATGCGAAATCATCACCAGCGACGCTCAACAAGTTAATCATGCTCTACATTGGATGATCAAGGACGACGATATTATCATAGCTTTTGATGTTAGAACCAAGACTTACAAAAGTTTTCCAATGATTGAGTCAGGACCCGGAGTTGATTCTGTCTTGGGAGTTTTGGATGGTTGTTTATGCGTGATGATGTATTTATCGGGTTTTTCATGGGTCTTAAAGAGATATGGGTAATGAAGGATTATGGAGTACAGGATTCTTGGACCAAAATCAACATCCATATACCATGGAGGAGGGATCGTGACCGTATTATTCCTGTACCATTTTCACGCAGAAGTAATGGCAAAATCTACTTCTATAACCGGAATTATGTTTATGTATATGAGATCAATCAAAAGCAATGGCTGCAGGAATATACTTTACGACAATCGTTCATATGGTATTCTGGAAGTTTTATTAAGGGTTGTGTATACCCCTTCGTTAGCAGCCTTGTTGAGCCTAGGCCTAGCCAGATATAGAAACCAAAATTTCTGCAAAGTTTGGATTTCTAGAGATAGCTATTTTGAAGTATAGTTTTGATGGGATGAAAGGGTTGGGTTTTGTTAGTAACAGATTCAAAGTGGGTATTTTTATTGATAATTAAAGTGGTTTTGTTCTCTGAGGGGAAAAAGAGAGCATTGTATGCTCACTCTTTTGCAATTCCTCACTTTTACTAGAAAGTGGTTTTGTTTGATTTATTTTCCCGTTCTTTTGCCTTATGAAGTTTCTTACATTTTTCTCCTGTAGTAATCATATATATCAACACCTGAAACTGTATTTCCCAGATATTCAACTTAACTGTATTGCAAATTCCCAATCGCAGAAGTGTCAGAATCAAATGGTGGTCGTATTGCATCTTTTCAAACCTTCAGTCAACACCAAAACTACATGCAAAATTAAATGCTGATGACTAGCAAAGCATTAAGCATAATATATCCATATAAAGAATGATTCTTTTGGAGAATATCACAACACCAGAACTCAACAAGCCAGTAAAACTCTCTTTAAAACGCTTGAATGGTTTTTCACGAGTCCAGGTCCATCATTCCATTGTTCAACTGCGAGTAATTTCTTGACAAAGAGAGCTACACTACTACAGAAAGCCTAAAACAACAAATGCAGCGCAGACCAGAAAGCTTGTCTACTTTCTATATATATATATATATATATATATATATATATATAAAAGAAAACCTCATCTACTAAATTTCTTGTTTGAAACCATAATTCCACTTACAGCTAAACTAGAACAAAGATAGTTGATAAGACATCTCCGCACATACCTGCTGCAACAACCAGAAAAGCTTTGAAAGGACGAGATCAGGTTCACAACTTTGAAATGACTCAACACAAGTGGCTAATTTTAGTATGAAGAATCCGTCGATGCATTCCTTTCACTTGCTTTTATCTGTCAATTTAAGAAAAATTATCTACTTGCCTGATCTCTGGACTCCATCTCCAAACTTCTGTCACACTCATTTAAAAGCTCCCACCCACGGGTCATAGCAAATATGGAGTATATCTAATCCTATTCACATTTTAAAGCTCATTTTCCATCATCCATGACAAGCAAAACTTGCGCACCAGCAGCTAAAATGGCATCTAGGAAATGAATAACTTCCTCGGTATCTTTAAAAGAGTTGGGAGTCCTCAGATCGCTATCCAAGTCATACCAAACCCCTTCAATCCTTCTCAACGTAACCCAGTGCCTACTTTTCCAGAGTCCACCGAGCTTCCTCACTGGAACATTAACCACAATACCCAGTAAGTGACTTTCTGTCCCCTCAAGATCAATAGTAGAAGCCCCGTGTCGCTTATCGTGCCAAACAACCCTCTTCCCTCTATCTTCAAGAGCAGCAATTAGAACGTTGATGTCATAGTTCCCCGTAAGTGCATTATGATGAGGCCTAAAAATCGCGGACAACGGAGACCAGGTTCCCTGACTGGGATCATCAAGACTGAGCCTTTCAGCAATAGCATTCAAATCTTCACGTTTGAAAGCATCTCTCTCCTGAATGAAAACACTATCAATTTCCACAACAATAACCGTCGTTTCCTTACAGGCAAGCACACAAGAATTTCCACACAAAAACACTTCCTCTAGGTCATTCTATCATCTAGAAAAATTACAAAGGCTAAACTTAGCAGGCTGCACAAAGTTAAGGATGCCCAATTCATGCTTAAAAAAAAAAAAAGACAAATTGACAGCTGCTTACAATTTATCGAACTATATGAATAGCAATCGCAATGAATATAATGATTTCAGAATTGAAAGGGGATTAAGACTGATTAGGAAAGTACCTGGAAGAGGTTGTTGAGGGAATGTACAAGGCAGAACTGTAACCTTTGCCTTTCGTGGTAAATCTCCGGCTTTTTGCCCTCCATAGCGATTCAATCAATCTTTGTAGCTTCGAAATCGAATTGGGTTCTTTACTGATTCCTATATTGAATGGGTGGTTTCTTCATACGACTATCCTACTGAAAACTCGAAAGAGTTGGATTTTGCGTAACTCGTGCTTGATGATGTTAATCCATTCAGATCAAGATGGACTCCAATGGACTCGGAGATGACAACGCCGACTTGCTCCCAAGCCCCTGAAATATTCTAAAATTACAGTTCTCAAGTTTAAAGTTTCTCTTTTTGCAATTAAGTACCATTTGAACCGTTAATTTGATTAGACCGGTTTGGTTTTAAGTCGAAACCGCGGACCGGAATTGGGGATTGCATTCTGAAGAGACAAACGGATAGGCTGAAGATAAAACACGCACTCACACAGTAGCTTCCATTTTCTTCTTCCTCTTCCTCCTCAAGAGTGACCGGAGAAAAGAACCCGACAATGTCAGCCACTGCGACGCCGTCTTCCTCCCTCTCATTCTTCTCCTCCTCCGTTTTCCTCTCCTCTTCCTCCCCGCACCTCCGGCAGCCGCCGTCTAAGCTTTTCTTCAATTCCCCCAAACAACTCTTCTCCCTTAATGTCTCCACCGCTCAAACTGGGACACGCGCTGAGGCAGCTACCCTTCCAGTCTTATCTTATGAAGGCACCGAAGTGGGCTCCACCACTCTCAACTTAAAGTCCGCTCCATTAGACACCGCCCGCGCCGTCGTCCACCGTGGTATCGTCACCGACCTCAGGAATCGCCGCCGTGGTACTGCCTCCACCCTTACCCGCGCTGAAGTCCGTGGAGGAGGCATTAAACCTTACCCCCAGAAGAAAACTGGCCGGGCCCGGCGTGGTTCTAATCGGACCCCTCTCCGCCCTGGTGGTGGTGTGATTTTTGGGCCCAAGCCGAAAGACTGGTCAGCGAAAATCAATAAGAAAGAGAAACGTCTCGCCATTTCCACTGCCATTAGCAGTGCTGTTGAGAATGCGATAGTTGTGGAAGATTTTGGGGACAAATTTGACAAGCCCAAAACCAAGGAATTCATAGCTTTGATGAAAAGATTGGGTTTGGACCCTAAGGAGAAATCAATGTTTCTGATGACTGAGGTATCGGATAATGTGATACTTTCCAGTAGGAATATTGGGACTTTAAAAATGTTGACTCCAAGGACTTTGAACTTGTTTGACATTTTGGATGCTGAAAAGTTAGTGTTCACAAAAGGTGCTGTTGAGTTCCTGAATGCGAGATATGGGTTGGATTCCAATGAAGAAGATGATTATGAAGAAGAAGAAGAAGAAGAAGAAGTACAAGAGGATGAGGAAGGTTAGTTGGATTTGGTTTGAAAGTATTACTTACTTCTTGCCTTAATGTGCATTTGTGTTTGTTTGGGAAGTTTGTTCTCTTAGTCGAGATTTGAAAGTTGTTTTATTGAAGATGATCGAAATAATTGTCATACATTTCTCGCTGCAATTTATGGATTTTTATTACCATTTAAGGAATATATACCTAGGCTTAGTTGATGTCGTGTGTAACTGCTATATGGTATATGCAATATGCAACAGTATTTCTTTTAAGTGTTTACACTATGGATTACCATTGTTCTTTGATTTAGACCTTGTTTTACTTATGGCTTGTCAAGTAAATGTGATCTGCATTGTGAATTTTTCGGGTTTGACTATGCAAATCAAGTCTGGAACTTGAGATTGTGTTTGATTTTGAAAGAGAGTATTCGCTTATTACTAAGTGACGATGAAAGACATGTTTCTTCATTGGAATAGAGGAGAAAATAGTAAAGCCATTATGCAGATGATGTTTATGAATGAATCCCTAGGCAGCCTGGGTTTGGTTTGTTCTCAATTTCAATGTTTTTTTTTTTGGCAATTCGATTTCCACATTTGGAGAGTAACCCTGATATGAAGATTGAAAGTGAGGTTTTAGATTCGACTGTCTTGATATATCCATTAGTTTTGTTGTATTACTAAGATGGACATACATTGTTGAAGTTTGTGTGATTGGAGAAGGAACTAGTTTCTTTTTATTGTTCTTCTCAGTTGCGAATGCTAATTGCAAATGCACACAATTGTACTGTAACAGGAAATCTCAGTCTTGGTTTAGTTCACATACAGTTTTAAACACTAAAAATAGCTGCTTGTTGGTTGCTAGTCTAGTACAACTGTATAAAAGGTTCGTTAATTTTCAAATTGTTCTCAGGAGCTGGCGCAGATGAGAATTCGGAATGATGGTATTGGACCTTTTGAGTTTGATGGAGATGAGAAAGCTATGGAATGATGGCATTGAAGCCTTCTAATTAGATAATTGTGAATGGGAATGATCCATTTGCATTGCAGATATTCGATAAGCAGGGCATCGTAGTGGGTTAAATTTTTTGGTTAACATCTCCATTTACTGTAAAATTCTTTGTTGTAGCAGAGTAAATGGTTAGCTGTTTTTGTAATCAAAAGCCTCGGATGTGATTGAGAAATTTGATCGGCCAAAGTTTGTGTATTACGAAACAATGTATGATATAGCACAAGCTTTGTCATTTACATATACAAAGTCATGTATTTCCAGAACTGCACTTTCTGTACTCAGATTACAATCAGTACACAAAATAAAGAAAGGCGTGGAAGTTGGAAACCCTATATGATCAAGAAATAAATATAGTATACAAAGATGTGTAACTTGACATCAGATGAAGTTCAAATATTGCATGTACAGTTGAACCAAACTAGCAACTACGTATCACGATTATGAGCCCTCTCCTTTTCCCCCAAAGGATTCAGGCACAACGGTCTTGGCTGAATCAAGATGGCGACAACCTTTTACCACTATCCGTCATCAAGTCAGCAAATTATGGTATAGAACGATGTCACTGGGAGAGGGTATCAAACTACCCACGCAAGTCAATATACCTTTTGAATATATAGATGGCAAGCCCAAGAAGTGTAGCATATATGGATGATGGCACAGCATTTCAAACTTCACAGTTTCATTTGCTTGTAGGGGGGAACATTGGATCCAAAAATTTTGATGCATGTTTCCCAAAATCCATGTTATTACCATTCATGAAACTTCCTGTCATAGTGTCTCAGATTGAAGGGGAAGAAGCGACCCTTGCTTGCCTCTAACAAAGTAGGTGAGTTCTGCTGGGGCAACAACTAATTTTAACCATTTCTGCAGCTCTTCACCTTCCACTTTTTCCTTCCCTAAAGAACAAAAGAGAGACAAGAAATTATGAAAGCCTACACGAACCATTTCCCACAATCAAACTAATGTTTCTGTAGCAGGGTGCAACCTACCAACTTGCAACTGCAGATACCAAGTCAAATATTTCTTTAACCCTTTCTCCCTTCTTCACTCCACCAACAAAAACCTCCAACCCAACCCCCCCAACCCAAAACCAAAAGCAAGCCAAAGAAGAAGAAAGAAAGGCTCGTCATTTTGGCGTTTTGCCCCTTAAGCCAGTCAAATTTCCAGTTATCAAGTATTTGAGCTTACATTACACAACAATGCAGCAAAAAGGATCATGCAGGGTGTACCTTCCAATTGGGCCCCAAGTCCCTCTAGAACTTCGGGGTTGGCACGCACAACCGAGAGCGCTACTTCAAGAGCAGATTGTAGCAGTGTTTTCACCTCTCTTTGGACCAGCTCAACCAGATGCCCCTAGAGCAGAAAAAACCAGAGTAAATTCCCGAGAGGATTATGTAAGACATGATAAAAAAGGACAGGCAAAAGAAAAATGCGGAGGACCTGATCCCTTCCCCAACCCATGGACCCGCCAGAGTCATCCATCCCTCCACCTGAAAGAGTGGCCAATGAAAGAGGACCTACGGTCTCATTTAGACCATATTCAGCAACTGCCTTGTACGCCATGTCAGTTGCACGCCGAATATCATCAAGGGCACCTGTTGATACACGTCCTGAATATATAACCTCCTCAGCTGCACGTCCACCAAGAAGAGTAACCAAACGTCCACGTAACTCGTCGACAAAGAGCAAGTATCTGTCTTCAGTAGTGGGAGGAATGTATGTGAATCCTAAAGCCCCTCCCGATCTTGGCAAAATGCTCAGCTTCTGTTAAACAAATGATTTTTAATCCTTAAAAATTACTGCTATAATGGCACATTTAGGTGAATTGAAAAGGGATAAAAAAAATAAATGAAAAGGCCCAGGTCACTGCACATCCATTCTCAAGAGAAATCTCACCAGCAGAATGTGAGTAAGAATCATATAAAACAGGTATCTATGAACACTTTAAAACAGAGATCGACGAAAAGTTAACTCAAATGTTAGAATCGAGATCACCTAAACTATTAACTACGCACATGTAGCTATCAATGACTTTCATCAAAAATCTCCTTATCAGCAAAAATTTTGCATCTCCAGTTTTCAAAATTTCATGTCACGTGATTACATATCTACATATTCTCCTATACATTTGCATCTGCCAAGACACAGCCAACCTAACCAACTGAAACCCAGTACGCTCATTACTAGCATGCCATTCCATGAAGATTGATGGCTCAGAAAAAATTCAAAATAACTTTGTAGCCATTTCTTCACTTACACCGTCACCGACCCACAAAAACTGAGACTCTTTCTCATCATCTCCCTTCCCGGCCAACCAAAAACAATGAACAGATGAGAAAGACATAGTTATATTACCTCCACCCGGGGTTGTCCAGGAAGAAGATTTGCCACAGCAGTTCCTACAACTGCATGGCCAGCTTCGTGTCGAGCAACTACAGCTTTTTCACTACCCTGTAATTTCACTGTCTTCTTCTCTATGCCCTGTAACAATAGTATGAGAACAATTAAAACCTACAGAAAAGAAGTTTCGGTTGACAATATAGCTAAATAGCAAAACACCAATTGTAGAGGGAAAAATATCAAAGGTGTAAATTGACACCCGGGTGGTACACCACAAGAGCTGAGGTGAAAACACACACATGCCATGCCAGTACCACATTTTAAATTGAATAAAATCAGAAAAATAAACGAAAGGACTAAAGAGAGTAAAAACTAACCGCTATTGACCTCTCTACAGCATGAATAAAATCTATCTTCTCCACAACCAATTTTGTTTCTCTTCCAGCCAACAGAGCTGCTTCATTTACTAGGTTTGCAAGATCTGCCCTGTATATACATCAATCACATTTAAGTACACAAGTCCACATGACAAATAACACAACAACAGTTCTTTCCAAATAAAACAAGAAAAGGGGAGAAGATTACCCTGTGAAGCCAGTAGTCATAGCAGCAATATCACTAACATCGATATCCTCTGCTAGAGGAAGTTCTTTCTTAGCAATATGGACTTTCAAAATGGCTTCTCTTCCAGTTCTATCAGGTGCTTCAACCTACAATAGATAAATAAAACTATGATGCTTAACAACCAACTTCTAAGACTGAGCTAAATCAAAGATAAAAAAAAACTAGTACTTAAACATGCTAAATGGAACAGTATACAAACCATAACCACCCGATCAAACCTTCCTGGCCTCCTAAGTGCTGGGTCCAAGACATCTGCCCGGTTGGTTGCACCTAAAACTATCACTGCAGAGTTACTGTCAAATCCGTCCATTTCCTGCAGCACATTCCATCCTTTAATCCAACTCACTGAATCAAGTACATACTGCAAGTCAAAAACCAGCATAGTGAAACCTTACAGTGAGCAACTGGTTCAAAGTTTGTTCTCTCTCATCATTGCTGACAATGCGGAATCTACCATCCCGACTTTTTGCAACAGCATCAATCTGCATTAGAAGAAATTTGCAAGTGATGTTTCTAATATGGCCAGGATAACTAAATAAATTAGACACATGTGGAGAGGAGCAACTGTAGAAAGAGGAGCATGTGCAAAACCTCGTCTATAAAAATTATTGACGGAGCCTCTTTCTTTGCTCGAGCAAAGAGGTCCCGGACACGAGATGCTCCCATGCCAACATATAATTCTACGAACTCACTGGCAGAACAACTTATGAAGGGAACCTCAGCTTCCCCAGCAACAGCCTTTGCTAACAGTGTCTTACCAGTCCCAGGAAGCCCTACCTACAAGAGAGACACAATGAACGTCAAAATGACAGTGGATAAACAACAACAAAAGTTTGCAATACATCCTGTGATTCATAAAACTCAGAAAAAAAAGTATACCAGACTACTTAAATCAGGAAGAATTGGGTTTGTATACACCCCAATTTGAAGAAAAAAGGGAATATCTCTGGGGTAAATAGAAGTATAGAACCACATCTCTATGATACTTCGGATACACAGTCCATTATTTCAAAACTTGTAAAGTTTAGTTCAACTGGCGCTTTTCAAAACTCAAACCTACCAGGAGAACACCTCGAGGAGGACGTGCACCGAGTCTTATGTACCTCTCAGGGTTCTTCAAAAACTCCTGTTTTCACAAGAGCAAAAATAGAAAGTACATTGTGAGGTAGGGAAATCAGACTTTGCTATTAGTAACAGATCAAAGTATGAATCTGAAAAATAATCACAATACCACAATCTCTTCTAGCTCTTCCTTAGCCTCGTCGACACCAGCAACATCTGCAAAAGTTATAGATTCCCCTTGTTCAGAAGCTTTTGCACCACCAGAGCCCCTCGACTTGCGGTTTCTTATCTGACCAGCTGTGTGCTGAATAAATGCAGAAAGTTATCAGAATTTAAAAAAGAAAAAGAAAAGGCTCCACAATACACTTCTCGAAAGCATTATGACAGGTTCAAAGCTCACACCTGGGAAAAAGTAACAGGGAATCGGTGAAGAAGACCTGCAAGCAGAGCAACATAGAACATTGCAATCTGCAAAGCATAAGGAACATGTCAGATCTAATCCTACTTTTGTTTAGGAACGTTAAACTGCAGTCACAGATTCATATCAGATACGGTGTAATATTGAAAGGTATGAAATGAAAGACCACAATTTGAATAACTTTGCAAGAGGGCCCACAGCAACACTTACAGAAACTAAACAATGTCAATCAATGGCTCGGATATCTCTACGTGCAAATGTATCATAAGCTAAACAGAAGTAATAAACTGAAAATTTGACTTGAACAAATAGCTCTCACCAGATTAGAAACACGCACCATCTAAGGAAATTAAGGATATAATGTCGTTAAATCAAATGTCTCACTTTCATGGAAGATTTCCTACCTCATAATTAATAGCAAAAGAATCATCTTTATGGACAACTGGCTTATTAAAGAAAATTCAAGAAACACAACACAAAAATTACCAATTCACAATGCCCAATCAGGGACAATGGAGTTAGCATCAACAAAAAAGCACAAAACCAACAATTCACTCTAAGCAAAATGAGATGGGAGGCCTTGAACAAATATATTGTTATTCAGCGAGCTTAAAAGAACCCAACCAATTCAGAAGGTCCATCATATAAACAACCAAAGAAGCTTACCAATGCAGTATTCATGAACCCCCCAGACCTCTTATCTGGAGACCCAAACTGCACATCATTCTCAAGCATTTTCTCATAAGGAGTCTTGATATCGGTTGGCCTAGTTGTTGTATAAACAATCCTCTTCGTAGGGCTCACACTGCGAAGTAATGATTCTGATTCTTGTAGCTTACTATTCACTTCAGCCTCCTTAGTTCCAGACTCAATACCCTTCAACTTGAACATTATGTGAACTCCATCAACCTCCACCTTCTCCACCTGATTGTTATTAATCTTACTCAGAAATTCACTGTAGGGCACACTCACAATGGTCGTCGGAGCTCTAGGCTCCGACCCCGGTAAAGTAATCCCCGGCCGCAGCAGTCTCATAACAAACATCACTATCCCTAATTGCAACAACAAAACTCCAATTTCCTGAGCTTGAATAATCGGTTGCCACCGCCACTTGTTATTCCCCTTTGACCACCACCAATTCCCCTTTCCCTGTCCCTCCCTCCGGGAAGAACCAGTTCCAGTACCCGACCCAGGAACCGAGCTATTCTTATTCCTCGTCTCGGTCGGTTTCGGCTCGCTGTTATCAGCAGATTCCTTGTCGTGCTCACAGGAACCATTGGCCCGAACTTTAACAATTTCTCCCAATTGTTTATGCTTCACGAAACCTCCCGACAGAGTGTGCGGATAAAATTCGTAAGGAACCCTAAATTGAGGTCGAAACGGCGGCGAACTGGGTACGAGACGCCGTAAATTCTGATTCACCGCGCCGTTTCTCCGGCTGTTACATAAAAATCTGTGATTACATACATATCTCGAATTCGGAGTAGAATAATTCAAGGAAATTTGCCTGTGAATAATCGGCCGGAGAGGCTCGATCGTGGTGGTCATAATTGAGCCCGAAGATGAAGAAGAAGCTATCAAATAAAATTGAATTTGGAAAAGAAAAAATCATTCATATAATCCAATCTATATGTACAGTGAAGTGGGGAAAAATAAAAATGGGAAGAATTGAAAAGTTCAGAAGAATCTATCTAATGGTGATGATGAGATAGAGGGGAAGGTTGAAGAAAAGATATTGGCCGTTGGATTTGCCGCGAGAAGCCGGTTTTTGACCATATGCAATTTTATATAGCTCACGCCCCAACCCCCCTTTTTTTTTTCTTTTTTTTTTAATATTTTAGACTGATAATTTGGGTCGGATAAGGGCAAGAAAGAAAATAATAAATAAATAAAACTTGACTGAATTAATGTAATAAAACTGCTTACTATCATTACAGAATGGAGAAAATATTTATGAACATTTAAAGACTATTAATAAAATACGGTTTTAAAGATGAGAAGATGATGATTTATAGTCTTCCTCTTTGGTTGGAACATAAGTCATTTTCTTTTAAAGCTATTTTTAATTATTTCATTTTTAATATAAGACTTGGTGTATCATGTTATACGTGTGACCTGCATGTATGGATACTATTCATACATCTACATATTTATTTTATTAATAATATGAGGTGAAAGTTATCATCCTTGTAATGATGATGACTAAAATGTCACACTAAGCCTATCGATGTGCCTGATTTTACAAGTGATTGAAAAAGTGATCGAAGTGCAAATTTAAAAACTCAATGTGGATAATTTTTTGAGGACGGAGATAATACATAATAAAAGGGGTCAAAGATTCAAGTTTATTTGATTTTCTTGAATTAGCTTGCCCATTTTTTTCTTTTGTTTTGATGGTTCAATAGAGACAGTTTGTTGACAACCACAAGATGATATATATTTTGAGTTTTGAAGATTTTTATTTGGAAAATCAGCGTCCAACAATTGGCTGGTGTAGATTTGGAGGGATGATATTTTATGGTAATTTGTCCCACAGGGGTCAATGTATAGACAAAAACCAGAAAAATCAAAATAAAATAACGATATTGTCTCAAAATTTCACCAAATGTGATTGTTACTTCTTGATTCAACCAAAGCATTTATATTCATCTTCTCTTTTAGCTTGTCGGTCTGAAAAAAAACACATGTATCAAAATCATCTGTGGACTGTGGCACAAACTATGAAGACGATAAGACGCTGGTATCTGATAAAGCCATAAAACACCCTCATCAGTTATGACCAAATCAATTGGACGTCGAACTCTCCTGCGTCATGACCAAATCGACGAGATGGAAAAAGTTTTCCAGACAACTTTCGTCGACTTTGTTGTCGGGAAGGGTGATTTTGCCTACTCGCCCAAACTTCAAGTATAGTAGCCCCACCCCCCAAAAAAAAAAAAACACACACACACACACACTTATAAACCTTTTGTCGCTTTCGTTGCCAAGATGAGTAAATGATAACCAAATCGACAAGTTGAAGTAAGGATAGAGCTAAGTACAGCTGAGATGGGGCAATTGCCCCAGTTGGATTTTTTCTCATTATCCTTGATTTACCCCTAAATTTATTTAAATTTGTTAGTCTTTTTCATTTTTACCCCAACAAAAATACAAAAGACAAGGAACATAAACAAAAACTACAAAATAATTTTGATTCGGTGGAAAAATTCTTAATGCAACGTTTGATTTTCAGTAGATGTGTAATTTTGCCCCGCCTAGTGTTCGGGGCTTGGCTCCGCCCCTGAATTGAAGGGAGGAGAAAAAAAAAAACCTTGTAACCATCTTAATTATCTGGCTCTATATTTTGATGTATAAGCATTAAGCCTCATATCCCGACAAAAATTTCGATGACTTTCGCATGACTTTTGGTTGACCAATGAAAATCTCAACAAGATTAAAACTTTCACATGAACCTCTTGCCATCATTTGCATCGAGCTTCATGGAAGGATGAACAAAGTCGAAAAGATTAAAAAAAAAAAAAAAAACAAAAGAAAGAAAAGCATAAACCTTACATCAACGGTAGTTTCAATATTCAGATCCCGACGAAAAAGGTCAACAACCTTAAAAATTTTTACGTGAACCTTTTGTCGACTTTTGCATCAACTTTTTCATCTCGATGAATAAGTCGACAACATTAAAATTTTCAAAGAAACCTTTCGTCAACTTTTGGATCGAGTTCCGCATCTCCACGAACAAGTCAACAACTTTAAAAATTCCCAGAAACATTCGTCTACTTTTGCATCGAGTTTCATATCGCGACGAACAAGTCGACAACATTAAAAATTTTCCGAAAAAATATTTTGTCGACTTTGGCGTCAAATTTTATATCCAAACGAACAAGTGGACTACTTTAAAAATTTTTTACATAACACTTTTCGTCAACTTCGCATCGCGCTTCTTGGTCAGATTAATAATTCAACGAATTGACTTATAACTTTTAATATTAGCCTTATATTGTTATTGTGCATCATAGCCAGACAAACAATCAAAGGTGATTAAAAAGAATCACATAAATATTTAGTATTTTAGTACACTTACTCGTTAAAGTTCAGACTTCAGAGCGCATTGGTCCAATTGATGAAAGTAAAAACTAGTGAAATAAATTTTTCATTGGCTTTCTCGTCTGGTTTCATACTTTAATGACATTAAAAAAGATTCAAATAAACCTTTTCTCTAGATTCATAGTCTGATGAACAAGTTGTCCAGATGAAACAAACAAAAAACAAAACCAAAAAAAAAAAAAAAAGCTTTTGTCGACTTTCTTGCCGAGCTTCAGTGCAAAATAAAAAATGAAACAAGTCAACAGAGTGCAAAATTTTTTGAAAGGCAACCTTTCAAATATGGAAATATGGTACAAAGAAAAACATTATTAAAATTTTAATTTTCTCTAGGGGGAAAGAGATGTGTCCATTATGTACAACTATTTGGAAAAGACCCCCCAAAGAAAAAAAGGAAATCCATTTAGATGTGTATTTTGAGAGGGAAAAAATGTCACTCCTCTGGTACAAAATAACATGCAAGAAAATAGGAAAACAACGCAAGAATGTGGTCTACAAGAGAGGATCCAAAGAAGCTACTAGCCAAACAACGACGATCTAATTCTTTGATCCATCCCAACTCCAATCCCATTTTTCCTAGTGTTTTATCCTATCATAACCAACCTCTTTTGTGGTCAATGAATGAAAATATACAGGTCACGAAGCTATTCTGTTCTGGCCTTTTCATTTGATGTTTATTTTTTCTCTCACTTTTGTTTTCACTTCATCTTCTGGGTTGAAAATGAGATGAATCATTCTTCTTTTAAATCCATTTTCCTAAATTAATACCTGAAATGTGGAGATTTTCAGATGCTTAGTTTTGTACAATTGCATTACACAGCATTGAAACTTGTACCTTGAAGATTTGAGGCCAGGTTCTCCTGAATTTCAAAATGGCAATCAGTGGAAAGGATATTCAAGATTGTATGCTAGAATTTGCCAGAATTTCATTGGCATTTTCTCTAACTTGTGTGAAAAATCATCCCTTTGTAGCATCTACTCTAACATTCCTTCTGTTTCTCTATGTATGCTTTTCATGGCTCTTTTGGTTGATCATATATTTAGCCAGTTTCTTCTCCCTGGCCGCTTCGGTCGCCAAGATCTATTTCAGTGTTAGGAATGCGAAAATTTTCAAAGGATTCAATGAGAAGAATAATGATTTGAAATCGTTTAGCACGAGAAGACTCGTGAGGAATGACGCGAATGCGCGATCTGTTAGACGAAGAAGATCCAAGGAGCCCTTCAGGGATGAATCTTTGGAAACCAGCGAGGAGGAGAGAAGCACAGGTTTTTCATCAAGTATTAACAATGTTGTCACGGTCGATAAAACTGCCTTAATTGAAGAATACCCGAAAGAGATTCGAGAGGTGCAAGTGGATTCCGTTACAAGATCTCGCGGCGAAGGCCCTACGTTGAAGTCATTGAAACGTTGGAGGGCTAAGAGAGCTGGTCACGGAAAAGGAGACAGGGAATCAGAGAGTTCAGAAAGCACAGAAGATGATGAATGTGATAAGAAGGCGGTGCAATGGAGTGAGGATGATCAGAAGAATTTGATGGATCTTGGGCTTTCTGAGATTGAAAGAAACAAGAGATTAGAAAGCTTAATTGCGAGAAGAAGAGCTAGAAAATTGCTAAGTCTTCAGGTCAGGAGGACATTGATGAACATGGATAGAAATGAACCTTATGCTCGAGTTAATCCAATTGTGGTACCAAAAAACCACCATTTTCCTGGAAATCATTCACCTGGACAATTTTCTCCAGTGCCTGGATCAGCTCCATCTGTCTTGATACCGAGGGATAATCCGTTTGACCTTCCTTATGATCCACATGAAGAGAAACCTATTCTTACAGGTGGTAGTTTTCATCAAGACTTCTTGCCTGTACTCCAGAAAGATATGTTTTGTAGGCATGAGAGCTTTAGCTTAGGGCCTTTCTTCCCCGGAGAAATCGATGAGGATGATCAGGGAGAAGCGCCTCGTTTTCATTTTCAGGATATTGCATCCAAGCAGAGGAGTTTTGAAAGCTGGGGAGACTCCAAACTAGAAAACCAATTAGGTAAAATGGATTTCAACTTAATCAGTCTCATTTGTTGGAATTATTTCTGGCTTTGTTAATGTATTTACCGTTTTGGTTGCAGATAGAAAAGATGTGGACAAGATAATTGAAGTTGAATCATCCCAACCACCTGAGCCTGAATCAGAATTTGACAAAGATTATGTTGATGATCAGGATGCCCAGAGCCCTGAACCGAGAATGGACTCAAATTCCAGTCATCAGGAAGAAAACAATGAAGAAGTCCAAACAAAGATGATGCTGATTGATGATTCCAGCGGGCACCCGAGTTCTGCATCGTCGTCAGAACTGGATGAACCATACTCCAGATTAGACAAAACTACAATCTTGGAATCCCTAGCGCCTCGGCTGCAGCGAAACATTTCTGCAAAGAGGGACAGCAGAAGCGAGACAGATCAGGACACGGCTGATCCTGGGCCGTCTACTCTTCTTGACAAGGACAAAGTTAAAGACCGCCCCTTTTGGACTCACAAAGGAATGCATCACAAACCTTCATTTTCCATTGCTTCTGACTTACAGGTTGAAGTTTCTGAAATCAGTTCGCCTCCGCTAACATTTGATGGGAGCTTTTCATCCTATGATGAAGAAGGGAACATGGAAAGAGGAGTCATATGTAGTGGTGAAGATAGATGGGCTCCATCCCCTCCTATGTCAGATGGAGATGAAAATGAGTTGAGATTAAGAGACATACATGAAGTCACAGAAAACAATCCTATTGAGATTGGATTTTCAGGTACTCCAAATCCTAAGGATCCTGTTGGCAAACTCGAAATCAATGAGGAGATGATCGAAGATGTTGGTACTAGTCTGCGTTCACAGTCAAATTCGGCGACTGATTTAACGAATTTGAACGAAAACCAAACAACAAATCCCAACTCTCGGGTTGAAGAAAAGTTTCAGATGTCTACTGGTTCTAGTTCTTCACATGAAATCCCATCTAAACCTCCGGCTTATCCCGCATCTAGGTTAACAGCAGAACAAATAGCGCAGCGTCCGAATTCTGATCCTGATAGACCTGAGGTCAGTCATTTTTTCCAGCATTACCAATTTACAATATGACACTTCTCTAACAAGAGAAATCTATCATTTAAGATTTCAGCCCTGGATATCTGCATTTTTTGTGTGCTTTTTTTTCCCACATAAATCTGATAAACAGACAGCAGAAATGACACTGGCTTAATTTCTCCTGTAATTTTGAACTGCAGTTTTCCAGATCCTTAGACAACTTGCAAGGCGAATTTCGCAGCGAATACAATGCAAATTATTCTAATTTCCTTCAAAGACTAAATACCAACAACTTAGTCATTGATGAAAAAGATGCCGGTTCTGATTCGTTGTTGCGAGAAGGTGGAAGGCCTCAAAAAGATTGGTCAATGACAAGCAGTCCAACATCCATTGGGTATCCTGAAAGCCAGTTTGATCAAATAGAAGAGCATCGCAACATGTTTGAGTATTATCAACCAGCTGGAGAAAATCATAATCCCAGCAATTCTGATGATTTTGGAGAGGAATCTATAAGTTTGCCACAACAAGAGACAATGGATGATTCAATTCCAGTTGATCAGGAACAAAACCTTCAAGAATCAATTCCAGATGATGATGATGAACAACCTGACCAGCGGATAACAACAGATGATCAAGTATATCCAGCAGTCAGTGAGAGTTTACGCAGTCGCCGGGTAGCGGAATTGCTGCCACACTTGATAGTTCAACAATTACCCTTTGCTTCGATTCCAACTTCCTCCCCATCTCCTAGGTCAGTGTTACAACCAAAGTTCTCCATAGATCAGAGGACTTTATCGAACTTTTCCGAGGATATGCACGCCGAAATTCAGCATTTTAACGAACAGGTTGCGGAAAATGATGCACCCCAAGAACCAAGTGGTGATCTTTTCATTTACAACTATCAGACTCAAAATACAACATCAACTGAAGAAACCAAAATTACTGAAAGTGCTAGTGAACCGACTCAAGGCAATACAGAGAGCTTGACAATCCCTGAATCAACAGCAGTTCCGCCGGAAACAGAGGAAGCAAGTTGCAGAGTCCCAGAAGAGAATGATGAAATGACAAAAAAAATTCTTGAAGAAGAACCAGCTAGAGAAAACATTGAAAGTTCAGGTTCCAACAATACAGAAATTCAGCTGATACCAGAGGAAGAAAAGGGTTACAGAATTTCAGAACAAAAGTACGAATCCGAACTCGAGAAACAACAACTGCCAAAACCAGATTATGAAACCAAATCAGGGTTCAATGAGCATTTTCAGTCAGTATCAGGAATCAATAACACGGATGAAGTCAAGGAAGTTGATCCAGGAGTAAAAGGGGCTGAAGAAATCAGCCCTGAAAACCACATTGCTGGCTTAATGACACAGGTAACTCCATTATTTTATTATTTTTTTATTTTTTCAAATTCAGCTCTATATATCTTCCATGAAAATTCATAGCTCAAGAAGTTTTAATTTCTTCAAATTTACAGGAGATTACAGAATCTTCTTCCCTCGAGGGTGATTGAAGGAAGCCATGGAAAATTTCAGGACAGACCGAAATGATAGCTTGAAAGCAGATTGACAAAATTGTTTTATAAGGAATAAAAAGAGGCTTGATCAAAGCCCGTTATCCTTATAAAAAATAAATTTGGAAGACTAACGAAATCAGGAGGTTTTAGATTAGGAAGAAATATTGGGCACCCCTTAGCTTGTTGTCGTACATCGAAGGGGAGCCCTTCTAGAAATGTCAATGTAATTATTGTAATTTTACTGCGAAATTAAAGATAATTGTTTTATGACTTGTTCCTATCCAAACATTGAGGCTCATTTGTCTGATGGATTTGGTATATTTTTTCCTTATGAATTTCGGATTCATTTTGAATATTTGGCTGGAAAATGATAAAGATGGTGAAATCATGATTGATTCATAATAATTTTATTATATTAATACCTGAATCTACAAAAGTAACTTTATTTTTATAGTATTAGTAACTCTTCTTACATTTTTTTACATGCAAACCGTCTTTTCTTTTTAGACTAAAATGTCTAAATGGTCCCTTACATTTGGGCCTACTTGAATTTATGTCCCTAACATTAACATTTCAATATCGTAGTCCCAAACATTATGTTTTCACACTTTTTTGGTCCCATTTCACTGTTTCCGGCCGTTGACATGCCGGAATCAGGGGTACTTTTATCTTTTAATTTAATTTGAATTTTTAATTAAAATTTAAATCATTAAAAATATTTTAAAATTAAAATTTCATTATTTAATTGTTAAAATATTATTTATTTATTAAAAATATTATTATATAATTTTATTTTTTTAAAATAAAGCAAAACTAAATATTTTTTTACTCTGACCGCTACAATAAACCCTAAATGGTAATTATGTTACACTTTTAACCTTGGGTACTGTAACTTAAAAAATTTATGAGTTACAGTAAATAATTCAAAATTCAATTTTTTTTTAAAAAAAAAAAAACAAAACCAAGATTTTTTTTACTTTGACCGCTACAGTAAACCCTAAATGGTAATTATAATACACTTTTAACCTTGGGCTCACTGTAACTTAAAAAATTTACCGAATTATAGTAAATAATTTAAAATTCAATTTATTTAAAAAAAAAACACCAAGATTTTTTTTACTCTGACCGTTATAGTAAACCCTAAATGGTAATTATGTTGCACTTTTAACCTTGGACCCACTATAATATAAAAAATTTACTGAGTCACAGTAAATAATTCAAAATTCAATTTTTTTAAAAAAAATAAAAAGGAAAACCAAGATTTTTTTTTACTCTGACCGCTACGTTACTTCTTTAACCTTGAACCCACTATAAGTAATTGACTACTACAGTAGACTCTTATGTTGCACTTTTAACCTTGGACCCAATATAACTTAAAAAAATTGCCAGGTTACAATAAATAATTCAAAATTCAATTGTAGTGGTCAAAATAAAAAAAAAAATCTTGGTTTTGATTTTTCTTTCTTATTTAAAAAATTAAATTTTGAATTATTTACTGTAACTCGGTAAATTTTTTAAGTTATAGTGGGTCCAAGGTTAAAAGTGTAACATAATTATCATTTAGGGTTTACTTTAGCGGTCAGATTAAAAAAAATGATTTTACTTTTTCTTTTTTTTTAAAGAAATTGAATTTTGAATTATTTACTGTAACTCAGTAAAATTTTTAAATTACAGTGGGTCCAAGGTTAAAAGTACAACATAATTACTATTTACTTTGACATAAGGTAAATGATAAATGAAAAAATTAATTTTAAAAATAATGTAAATTTTAAACTTTTATAATAATATTTTTAATTAATAAATAAATATTTGAACAATTAAATAATGAAATCTGAATTTTAAAATATTTTTAATGGTTTAAATTTTAATAGAAATTGAAATTAAATTAAAGATGAAAATACCCCTGATTCTGGTATGTCAACGGCCGGAAACAGTGAAATGGGACCAAAAAAGTTTGAAAACATAATGTTTGGGACTACGATATTGAAATGTTAATATTAGGGACGTAAATTCAAGTAGGCCAAATGTAAAGGACCATTTGGACATTTTAGTCTTTCTTTTTATATGTAGTTTCCTACATTAAGGCCAGAAGCACATAGGTTACATTGACGGAGTTAAAAACTCGTTTCTCTGTTCCGATGATTTAACTGACTCCTATGGTTCCTTATATCACGTACTATCAGACTAATTACATAGTCAACAAGTGATGGCAATAAAAACCTTTGATTTTCCCTCCTTGATATGAAGGTGCGCTGCGCTTTTATATTTCCCACGTTGTTTGACTGGTTGGTAAAAATCGAAGTTTCACCTCAATAAATTCACAGATGTCATCGCAACCAATATTTTTGGATAAAAACTCCCAAATACAAGGAATTTGTTGATTTTCAAATATCTGCCATGTAATTGGATAATCCAAAAATTAAATGATTTCCTCTTTTCCGGAGTAACAAAATTATCAATGGATAAGCATAAACTTTTTCTTCCTCATTTAATTAATTAATTAAGTTACCGTAACTAATAATACTTCAATTTGAGTATAAAAAATCGACAAACGACTTTCTAAAACCTCTCTCTCCCTCTTTGGGTTCCCTGACAATTTAGAGAGGTAGATATATTGACTCATCATTTAGTACTCAGTAGTAGGAGAACAATCAAACAGCCGCCGCTGAACACACAATCAAACAGAGGTCATGGCTCCTCAAATCATGGCAGTGGAGAAAGGAGGTGACGAATTTCCGGCCAAACTCACCGGACAAGTCTTGGTTTGCACCATCATTGCTGCTTTTGGTGGCCTTATGTTTGGCTATGATATTGGAATTTCAGGTTCCTATTTGAATCCCATTCTTCTTTTCCCAATGGTCCCAATGGTTTGATGTTTTGTGTGTGTTACATATATATTTTCCCTTATTTTATATCAATTGAATGAATTGACCAATAGTATCACATGACAACATATATATTATTATTAGATCTTATATTTTTCAATTACATTATATATCAATCAAGTCGTGTTTTCTGTTACCAGATCTCATAACTTGTATCGCTTTATGTATCAGTTTTTATGTGACATCTAATAAAATTGTTTTTATGGTGTGATTGTTACAATTGATGAAAACCAAGATTAATTAAATAAAGGTGGGTTTGATTTTGCGCAGGCGGGGTGACCGGAATGGACGATTTCTTGGAGAAATTCTTCCCGGAGGTTTACGTGAAGAAGCACCGAGCACATGAAGACAACTACTGCAAATACGACAGCCAGTTGCTTCAGTTGTTCACGTCGTCACTGTACCTCGCCGCCATCGTGTGTAGTTTACTCGCCTCCAAATGTTGTAGCAAGTTGGGTCGAAAAGTCACCATGCAATTCGCGTCGGCGTTTTTCTTCGTCGGCGTCGTTCTGTGCACGGCGGCCATTGATCTTCCGATGCTCATCTTCGGCCGACTTTTTCTCGGCGCCGGCGTTGGTTTTGGCAACCAGGTAAATACTAATAAAGCAACATTCAATTCCCATGATTTAGAGATACCCCTATTTGCCTATGATATTATTCAAATTTAAGTTGCACCGTAAAAATGGTCTCTTTATTTTTTAAAAAATAGATGATATTTGAAGACAAATAGGATGTAATTTTCAAAGATAATGATATATCCATCGATAACTAATTAAGTTAAGGAAAAGATATCTAGAAATGATTAAGATATAATAATCCAAAAGACGAAATCGCATATTTGATAACCAAAGTGGCTAGAGTATATTTTTGGGAATAAGTTTTTTTTTTTTGTAAAAGGGAAATAAATTGGGTGATAACTGAATGGAGTAATGAATGGTGGTGACTTATTGCCACGTCAATGAAACTAAATGCTAGAAAATCACCTCCAAATTCAAAACTTTGTAGTGTTGTGAGGATATAGTAGGTTATCACGATAAGATTGACATTTATTAATATTGTCAAGCTAATTTTATTTTATCGTTCCAAAATTATTGTCATATCTGTAAGGTATACAATCTTTTTTTAGTACAATGAAGGAGGCTGGAGCCTGACAGAAAAGAAAATTAAGACCGACTATAGATTGGAGATTGGAGACTCCGATGACATCGTGTTCCAACCACATTTAAATAAGAGTCTTCAATTGAAAATATTGAGATTTGAGGGAGAAAAAAAAGCAGCAACCAATATTAAAAAAATCCTTTTGATGAATTTATTTATACAGGCAGTACCATTGTTCATATCTGAGATTGCACCAGCAAAATACAGAGGAGGTCTAAACATTTGCTTCCAATTGCTGATCACTGTCGGAATCCTGTGCGCAAATCTCGTCAACTATTTCACGGCAAACATTCATCCCAATGGTTGGAGATACTCACTCGGCGGAGCAGCCGTTCCGGCCATCTTTCTCGGCCTCGGTTCCCTCATCATAGTGGAGACTCCGACGAGCTTGATCGAGCGGAACAAAAGGGAAGCAGGCCTGAGGGCTCTGAAGAAAATCAGGGGCGTCGAGGACGTCGAAAGAGAGTATCAGGAAATCGTGCACGCGACTGAAATAGCGGCACAAGTGAAGACCCCCTTTAAGAACCTGTTCCAGAGGCAGAGCAGGCCTCAACTCGTTTGCGGAATGCTTCTTCAGATCTGCCAGCAGTTAACTGGAATCAATGTCATCATGTTTTACGCTCCGGTTCTGTTTCAGACCATGGGTCTTGGCAGCGACGCCGCTTTGTTGTCCGCCGTTGTTACAGGTTCCATCAATTCAGCTTCCACCTTGGTGGCGGTTTTTGGTGTTGACAGAGTTGGAAGAAGGTTCTTGCTCATTGAATCAGCTGTTCAAATGTTCTTAGCCCAAGTAAGTTTAGTTTACCAATATCTTCAATGTATACTTTGGTTTATTTGTAGTCAATTTTTTATCACAAACAATATTGTTTCATAAGAGAAACCGGAAATTGGATCGAAATCCTTAGGTTTCCATTCACATAATTTGTAATTATGCCTAATTGCCTATCATTACTCAGCGCTGATACACTGGATCTTGATGTAGGTGGTTACGGGTGTCATTCTCGCGAAGAATTTGCATTCGACGAATCAAATCCCGAAACACTACGCGTACATTGTGGTTTTCTTGATCTGTTTCTTCGTGGCCGGATTTGCCTGGTCTTGGGGACCTCTGGGTTGGTTGATTCCGAGTGAAATCTACCCACTGGAAACTCGAACGGCCGGATTCTTTACTGCGGTCGCCATGAACATGCTCTTCACTTTCATCATCGCACAAGCTTTTCTGACCCTGCTCTGCCACATGAAATCAGGGATCTTCTTCTTCTTTGCTGTATGTATTTTGCTGATGGGCTCTTTTGCCACATTCTTTCTGCCGGAAACAAAGGGCATTCCGATTGATGAAATGAACGAGAGGGCTTGGAAGAAACATTGGTATTGGAAGAAGTACTTAACCGATGATGATTATGATGATCAAGAAATCCAGAAGAAGGTGTCAGAATGATGAGCAGACTTGGAATCTGATCAGATTTTTTTGCTGATCTCTATTACTCCAGTGTTATTTAGTACTCCATCTCTCCTAAAATTATTATCAAGTTTGAGATTTCACTTTTAGTACAATTAAAACAAAAAATGAAAACCCAAATTGGATAATAAATATGGAACGGAGGGAGTAGTTTTAGAGGTAATATAGTCTCATGATGAACGGAGTTAGTTTATGGATTTTGTTTCTTTCCATTTGTGATTTTTGATTGATAGAACACACACTAGACGTTGTGATGGTTAAACATAAGCTAATTGTTGAATTCCAATTTACTCCAAAGAAAAGAAATTGTTCTATTTAAATTTGATATATGAGCTTTCCCTCCCCTAAATAATTTGTTTATTTTACTATCAACAAGACAACAACTTTGTTATTCATTGTACATCAATCACCCCGAGTTTCCCTGCATATGATTGTGGATTTAAAGTTTTTTCCAAACTGAAATTGTACTAAACATTTAAAACCGAGTGAAAAAGTCGTATGATACTATCAATCTTCGATATGATACTCCGTCACTCACATATTCGTGGGTGGTTTGGAAACCCCTCGAACCAGTCGTGATTCATGTCGCTATCAATCTTTGATATGATCCCCATCAAATGTAAATAATATACGTGCTCAATCGATTTTCAAATAATCAAATGGATCATAAATTTGTCTTTACAAAAATTTGGTGGAAAAAATGTCGTTCCTGCCCAAAGTTTTGCCCTCGTCATGAATCATATCCAATACATTTTCGGTTAGCCAACTTTATCCTAATTTTGAAATTTTCGCCAATTTCGTCCAATCGGCTCATTTTCTGTCTAAATTAACGAATCTCTATTAGTTTTTAATAAAATAATAAATTTAATTACAAAAACACTCCAGTAGTTTTTAAAATTTTTAAAAATAACTCCTAAAATATATAAAATAACAAAATAATCCTTTTTCACTTTTTTTTTTTTTCTATTTTGTTCCATTTCTCTCAACTACTTTTAATGACCATAAAAGTATATTAAAAAATATTTATTTATTATATGAGTTTAAAATATTTTAAAAATTAATCTTTGTATAGTTGTAAACCATGATTATATTATACAAGTATGTTAATTTTTTTAATAATATAGTTTAGCAATAAAGACATTATTTTTCTGATTTATTCTATTCTTCCTAACATAAAAATTAAAAATATTTAAATGAAACTAATATTCCACATAAAAATAAAATATTAGCTCAAATAAAAAAAAATTAATATATTTTAGTGTATTACAATTTCACTCAAGAGACTATAAGTTGCATTAATATAATTCATAAAAAAATAACTAAAATATAAATTAATTAAGACACTATTTTTCTGATTTATTTTATTCTTCCCAACATAAAGATTAAAAAAATTTAAATGAAACTAATATTTAACATAAAAATAAAATATTAGCTCAAATAAAAAAATATTAATATATTTTAGTGTATTACAATTTAACTCAAGAGACTATAACTTGCATTAATATAATTCATAAAAAATAACTAAAATATAAAATAATTAAAACCTTAAAAAAATCCTCCAAACATAAGTTTTTCTTCTTGAATTTAAAACCTAATTTCTATCACAACAACTTATTACTATATTGTTACCTTCATTCATTTATTTTAAACTAAAATCATATAGAATAAGCTAGTAAGACTTCCTCTATGGTAAGATATATTAATATCTCAAATAATATTACAAAATGTTAAATCCTCGCATTGATAAGTATAAACATTTTTTTTATAAATTATATTATGACTAGTAGTCTCTCTAGTTAAATTGTAATACACTAAATTATACTAATATATTATTTTTTATTTGAGCTAATATTTTATTTTTATGTGAAATATTAATTTCATTTAAATGTTTTTAATCTTTATGTTAGGAAGAATAAAATAAATCAGAAAAATAGTGTTGTTATTGCTAAACTATATTATTAAAAAGATTAACATGCTTATATAAATACAATCATGTGTTACAACTATACAAAGATTAATTTTTACGGTAGAGTTTGAAAATAAATAAATATTTTTCAAAACTCATTTAATATACTTTTATGGTCATTAAAAGTAGTTGAGAGGAATGGAACAAAATAGAGAAAATGAAATAAAAAAGTGAAAAGGAACTATTTTGTTATTTTTATATATTTTAGGGGTTATTTTTAAAATTTTTAAAAATTACTGGGGTGTTTTTGTATTTAAATTTATTATTTTATTAAAAAACTAACGGAGATCCGTTAATTTGGACAGAAAATGGACCGATTGGACGAAATTGGTAAAAGTTTCAGACATTAAGGTAAAGTTGGCTAACCGAAAATCTATTGGGTATGATTGACGACGATAGCAAAGCTTTGGGTAGGAACGATATGTTTTCCAAAATTTGGTCAAGAAACTTCTTGTTCTACCTGGAAAATTTTCCAACAAAAAATAGCAGAAAATGACAAGGAGTTTAAGCCTAAAAATCTCTTAGAATATGATTGGAATTTTTTTATTTTTTTTCACATCTCAAATTTTGATATATTTTTTTAATATTTGTACTTATGAATTGAACAATCATTTAAAATAGAGTCATGCCGTAAGGGTATGGAACATTGATACTTGTTGAGATAGTATTATTTTAGAAAAAATTTAACTTGAATTCAGATTACTATGGGACAATAATGTTAGAGAATTGTGGACATTTGTAAATATTGTATAGTGTATAGTTTATTTTCTCCGGTTTGTATAGCTTTTATGTTGTGTTTTCTGATTTGTACATTTTTGCAAAGTATAAGGGCTTAGATGTAAATCTTGTACAGTTAGTTAGATTTGTTAGTCGGTTAGCTATAAATACAATATCGATGTCCGGGTTATAATTAACGAAATCAGACAATTATTTCCTTGCAATTAATACAGAAAATAACCCAATTCTCTCTCTCTCTCTCTCTCTCTCTCTCTCTCTCTCGTTCGATTCAATTTGTTTCTATTTTTGGTCAAATTTGATGGAAATGATCTCAACTTGCTGCGGTTAGATGGTATCAGAGCATTCGTAATCCTGCTCGGTGCCGGAATCCGGTAGCTAAAAAGTAATCTGAATTTTTCTGAAACCCTTGATCCTTGAAATCTACTTTTTCTTTGGAATCTTTCTACTTCTTCCTTCCTTCGATCTTCTTAAAATTGATACAATGGCAGCAAATCAGCAAGAATCGCTGAGTTATGGAGGCTACACACATCCGTTGGTACTTCATCCTTCGAACAACTCCTCGATGATTATCGTCAATACGAAATTGACGGAAGAGAATTACATCTCCTGGAGTCACTCTGTTCGCAGATTCTTAGGAACAAAGAATAAAATTGGATTCATTACTGGAGTGGTAGCTCGACCAAGGGAAGAAGATCCGAATTTCGAGCAGTGGAATCGAGTCAACGACACTGTTGTCTCGTGGATTTTGAACGCAATTTCTGCTGAGTTGGTGGAGAATTACAGTCTGGCAACTGATGCTGCTGATCTCTGGGAAGAGCTTAGGGAAGCACATGGAACACGCAATGGACCACAGGTATATCGTCTCAGAAGAGAAGTAGCAACGATTACAAAAGGTAATCTGTCTTTAAGTGCATATTATTCGAAATTAAAGAAGATTTGAGATGAGTTGAATATTGTAGATCCTCTGGATGAATGCATTTGTTCTAGTTGTACCTGTCGTTCTAATAGACATGGTGTAAGGGAGAATAGACATAGGTTAATGGAATTTTTGAGTGGTTTGAATGACATGTATGCTTCTGAGCGTAGTCAAATTCTGATGATGGAGCCTTTCCCGGAGGTAAAACGTGCATATTCTATGTTGGTTAATATTGAAAAGCAGCTGGTTGTGTTAAGAAGTTTCGCTGATCCAATTGAACAAAGTGCATTGATGGCACAAAGAAAGCCTTTCAATAAAGGAAATCAGAATTATAGACAAGGAATTTTGCCTTCTCCGACTGGAAATCAGATGACTCAATATCAAGGGGCTAAGAAGACCAACTTCTTTGTGAATAAAGAAAACAATTTCAGAATGGATAAGGCTCTTAAAAGGATGCTGGTCTGTGATCATTGTAAAACAACAGGACATTTGAAGGAATGATGTTTTAAACTCATTGGATATTCGGATTGGAGGGAAGAGTTCAAGGAAAACAGGAAACCTCAGGCACCTAGAAATTCAGCAAATATGGTGGATCATTCACTTGAAGCTGAATCTAGTGGTACATCAAATGAAGAAAATATGATGGCAATGATGAATAACTTGAAGAAGATGCAGGCTGAGATGTCAAAAATGATGATGACCAGGAATGCTTTTGCAGGAAACAACAATGATGGACAAGTGAACTTTGCTCACTACCAAGACTTTGCAGGTATGAGCTGTTTTAAGGATTTAATTGCTTTGAGTTTAGTTGAAAAGCAACTGTTAAGTCTTTGGTTCTTAGACTCGGGTGCTACAGGGCACATGTGTGCTTTCTTAAACGTTTTGATATCTCATCATCCTGTCACTAGCTATACACCAATTGCATTGCCTGATGGTAGGGTAAAATTAGTTGAAAACATAGGCATTGCACGTCTTTCTTATCAAATTCGATTAACAGATTGTTTGCATATTCTCTCTTTTAGATACAATCTGAAATCTGTCAGTAAATTAGCACCAGCTTCACACATTGATTGCTTTTTTTCCACATTCTTCTGTCTATTGCAGGACCAACAGACTAGACAAATTGTTGGTGTTGGGAAGGTCCTCAACAGACTTTATATTTTGGATTCAGATTCTTTCTCTCCACACACAATCACTCGGTTCATCGGGGACAACATTGATCATCCTTTCATCTCACCTCTTCAGCATTATACTATACATCAATCCAATCTAGTAGAAACCAGGAATAAAGCCTTATGGCATAGCAGATTAAGACATATCTCTGATTCTGTACTCAAGAAAATTGATGTCTATGATTCCTTTGATGTAAAGACAAGTATCTGTGACATTTTTCCTATTCCTAAGCAATCTAGATTGTCTTTTCTCAACAGTTGTATTCAAACTTCTAATCCCTTTGATCTTATACATGTCGATTTGTGGGGACCGTATAACCAGCAATCTATCAGTGGTGTTTTTTACTTTATGACCATAGTAGATGATTATACCAGGGCTATTTAGACTTTCTTAATGCAAAATAAACAACAATCAGTTTCTATTCTTAGTTACTTTCTCAACCTTGTCAACACTCAGTTTGGTAAAAGTGTCAAAACCGTAAGGTCTGATAATGGCAAGGAAATCACCAATACTGATTGTCAAACTCTTTTCCATAGTTTTGGTATAATTCATCAGAAAATCTATCATTATTCACCACAACAAAATGGTGTGGTGGAAAGGAAACATCGCCATTTATTGGAAGTGGCTAGATCTCTTCTTTTTCCGTCGGGTTTATCAAAAAGTTTTGGGGGGAGGGGGGGGAGCCATTTTAACTGCCGCCTATATAATCAATAGAATGCCCTATTCCATGTTACAATGGAAAACTCCTTATGAACTTTTATACTCCAAATCTCCTGTCTATACACACATGAGAGTTTTCGGATGCTTGTGTTATGCTACCAACACACATCCACATAAAAATAAGTTCGAACCAAGAGCCATTAAATCTATCTTTGTTGGGTATCCTCCTGGTCAAAAGGGGTATAAATTTTATGATCTAACCTCTCACAAGTTTTTTGTATCCTGGGATGTAGTCTTCCATGAGACTATTTTCCCTTCTCAGAAGACATCAGAGTTGTCTGATTCGTCCCTTCACATATCTTTTGATCCTGAAATGGCCTGCTGGCCCTTAGACTTATCTCATTCTTCTTCCACTGACAACGTAGAGTCTGAGCCTTCTCCTTCTCCACAGCATTCTTCTATGCCTGATAATCATAATGATCACTCTTTCTCTCCTTCACCGCCACCTTCTGATAATCATGAAAATCCTTTTTCTTTACCTCTTACTACTCCAGTTAGCAATAGCAGCTGCTTCTCACTTGCCATTGCATCAGCTTGACATCAACAACGCTTTCCTCCATGGATACCTTGATGAAGAGGTTTACATGGATTCTCCTCCTGGTTATCTCACTTCCAATAATCAGAAAGTATGTAAGCTTCATAGATCTTTATATGGCTTGAAACAAGCCAGCCGGCAATGGAACATTGAATTTAACAGGCATATTAAAGTTTTTAGTTTCCAGCAGTCTTTCCATGATCCTTGCCTCTTTACTTGTTCAAAGGATGGTCAGTTTACAGCTCTTCTTATATATGTTGACGATATCTTAGTTACTGGCACTAGTGAAGTTGTTATAAACCAAGTTAAGGATTTCCTTCATCAGCAATTTACTATCAAAGATCTTGGTTACGCCAAGTTCTTCTTGGGGATTGGTCTGAAGAAGGAATGTATCTTAGTCAACGGAAATACATTCTGGATATCCTTTAAGATATTGGTCTCCTTGGCTGTAAACCGACCCTTATTCCTTTGCCAAAAGGCCATCACTTTACTGATTCTCCTGGTCAACCTTTGCAAAATGCTTCCAGTTATCGAAAACTCGTTAGTCAACTATTGTACTTAAGTTTCAGCAGACCCGACATTGCTTTCGCTGTTCAACAGCTCAGCAAGCATATACAAAGCCCCTGTGAAGATCTCTGGGACGCTCTTATTCATGTCCTCAAATACCTTAAAGGTACCCCCTCTCTTGATGTATTCTATTCTTCTTCCAGTACCTTAGCCCTTGAAGCTTATAGTGATGCTGACTGGGATTCTAACCCTATTGAGCGTAAGTCCATCAGTGGTTTCTGTGTCTTCCTTGGCACATCATCAATGGTTTCTGTGTCTTCCTTGGCACATCTCTTGTTTCTTGGAAGGCAAAACAACAAGAGACTATCTCTTGTTCATCCGCCGAAGCTGAATACCGCAGCTTGAGTACTACTTGCCGAGAGATGCTTTGGATCTCCTATCTACTGCAAGATTATGGTATTCACTTTAAGGATCCTATTCCACTATGGTGTGACAATGCTTCCGCGATCTATATCATCGAAAATCCTGTATTCCACGAGAGAACGAAGCACCTCGTCATCATTATCAATCCAGTTTCTTGGTGCCTTTGTACGTTCCATCGAAGGACCAGCTTTTGGATTTGTTCACATAAGCGCTTCCTCATCCTTTGTTTCATTCTTTGTTAATCAAGCTTGGCTTGAAAGATCCCCTTCGTCGTCTAGCTTGAGGGGGGCTGTGGTCATTTGTAAATATTGTATAGTGTATAGTTTGTTTTCTCCAATTTGTATAGCTTTTATGTCGTGTTTTCTTATTTGTACATTTTTGTAAAGCATAAGGGGATAGATATAAATCTTGTACAGTTAGTTAGATTGGTTAGTCGGTTAGCTATAAATACCATATCTATGTACTGGTTGTAATTAACGAAATCAGACAATTGTTTCCTTGCAATTAATACAGAAAATCTCCCAAAATCTCTCTCTCTCGTTAAATTCAATTTGCTTCTGTTTTTGGTCAATTTGCTTCTGTGTTTTTAATACTTGTACTTATGAATTGAACAATCATTTAAAATAGAGTGATGCTGTAAGAGTATGGAACATTGATATTTGTTGAGATAGTATTGTTTTAGAAAAAATTTAACTCGAATTCAAATTATTATGGGACAATAATGTTAGAGAATAATAATAATAAAAAAGAAAATAGTGTCCGAACTCAAAATTAGACAATGCCTTGTGCAAGAAAAAGGATTTTCACAAACTAGAGCGGAGATAAATTGACAACTGAATTATAGGCACGCAGAGAATTTCTTGTTTTTCATGAATCGAAAAGAAAAAAATTCAACGAAATGCATACATAGTTTTGGATTTTCTTTCTTCAACTGCTGGCATTTCAAGTTGGATGGAGATTACTATATTAATTTTAACGTCATCACACCCTACTCTTACGAATTGTCTGCGAATTTTTCCGCTACCGGCTTGAACAGCAGCTCACACTCTGAAACCGAATACCAATCCAAATCAATAATCAGAGCTTTCCAGTTCCAAAAATCTTTGATACCCAGACGGCAGAAGCTGAAGAAGACGCCATGGATTGCATTTACAAGAATCCAAACGCCCCGATTGAAGCTCGGGTCAAAGACCTTCTCTCTCGCATGACTCTTCAAGAAAAGATCGGCCAGATGACCCAGATCGAACGCTCGGTTGTCACCCCTTCTGTCCTCAAAAACCTCTGTATAGGTACCCGAAAACGCCATTCTTGCCTTAAAAATTATGTTTGGATTTTATCATCGTTGACCCAATTAACTGAAGCTTCACTAATTGGTATGAAGGAAGTGTGATGAACGTTGGTGGCAGTTCCCCGGCAGAGAACGCCTCCCCTGCTCAATGGGCTGACATGGTCGATAATTTGCAGAGGGCAGCTTTGGAGTCCAGGTTAGGGATTCCGATCATTTATGGGATTGATGCTGTTCACGGAAACAACAATGTTTATGGTGCTACCATTTTTCCTCACAATGTTGGCTTAGGAGCCACCAGGTTGGTTCTTCGTGAATATGTTTTTTTTCTGGACTAATTGGTGGTAGAGTTGAATTCAAGCACAGAGAATTTACTTTAAGTTGTTCATTTGTATGGATTGTGATTGAAAGGGATGCTGATTTGGTAAAGAGAATTGGGGCTGCTACTGCACTCGAAGTTAGGGCTTGTGGCATTCACTATGCTTTTGCTCCATGTGTTGCAGTACGTTATTTTTACTCTTCTGTATTCGTGTTTAGGTTCTTGGGGTTAATATTTCTGTGGATTTTGTATAGCAAGTTTGTAGGTGATTGAGCCTTCTTGAATTGTTACTTCTTGATTGTTGATGCAGTAGTTAACTTACTAATATGGCCTTCCATTCAGTTGGAAATCCAAATAGAACTACTTTAAGTGCATGGTCTGCATTATTGGCTTTTGCAATGATCAATTTAGATTATGACAGGTGTGTAAGGATCCAAGATGGGGAAGATGCTATGAGAGTTTTGGTGAGGACACTGAGATTGTGAGGAATATGACATCGATTGTCTCAGGTTTACAGGGAGAACCACCAGAGGGGCATCCAAAGGGTTATCCCTTCCTTGCAGGAAGGTAGAGTAAGAGACCCTTTTCCGTTATCTTGTTCATTATTTTTCACATAAATGGTTAACGATTTTCACTGAACATAATTTTAGTCTCATTTTTCTGTCACGTGTGTTGACAAGACATTAAATGTTATAAGTTCACCATCGGTTTATTTGAGTACCTCCCGCTCTCTGGAAAGTGTCAAAACTGTCTTTTCTGTACTTCGTGATGGTCATTATTACAATAATTTAATCGAAGCCGTGGACGTCCACTTGTTCTATAGAGGATATCTCGGTCTATACCCACTTTGTATTCTTCGTGATGGTCATTATTACTATAATTTAATTGAAGCGGTGGATGTCCACTTGTTCTATAGAGGATATCTCGGTCTATACCCACTGTTTGCTTCCTTTTTTCAGAGCTTCTGCTACAGGAGCTCTAAGTTTCTGTGATTTTTTTCAGTTTTAGTCATCCTATTGATTTTATTTTTTTTTTCTTTTTTCTGTTTTAATATGCCACTTTCAATTTCAGGGACAATGTTATTGCGTGTGCAAAGCATTTTGTAGGCGATGGAGGCACTCACAAAGGTCTAAATGAGGGAAATGCCATTATGTCGTATGAAGACCTGGAGAGGATCCACATGGCTCCTTACTTTGACTGCATATCACAGGGAGTTTGCACCATCATGGCTTCCTACTCTAGCTGGAACGGAGTGCCATTACATTCTAGTCATTTTCTTCTAACAGAAGTTCTGAAGGAGAAACTGGGATTTAAGGTAAGCTGATTATGCATCCTGCGAAATTATCTTTTACTGTTTTCTGTTCTGGTGCATATAGAATGAGAGTCTGGGTGTAATGGATTCTATTTGTCTCTATCTTGGATTGCTTTTGCATGCGTTAGAAATATCCCTACAGCTCAAAACTAAAGGACCAGTAATTAGAAAGTGAGTAGCTGCATGAATATTGTGGACAAACTTTTACATAATATGGCTTAGTTTTGTGACTTTCTGGCTTTCTTATCTTTGTTGCAAAGTTCGCTCTCCTGGAAAAACCTGAACCTTTTTTTCTTTATAAATCCAACAGTCAGTGACATGTTAGTTTACTTCTGCAGGGTTTCATAATTTCTGATTCTGAGGCTCTGGATCGGCTTTCTAATCCATATGGATCAAACTACCGTCAGAGTATCCTCACAGCCATCAATGCTGGAGTTGATATGGTAGGGACAAGTTCTGGATTTGATTTTTTGAATATGCTTTTTCTCAATAATTTAAATATTTTGGGTGTTTATTTGCAGGTGATGGTGCCTATCCGGTATCCATTGTTTCTCGATGGTTTGACAGATCTAGTAGAACGTGGAAAAGTATCTATGGCCAGAATTGATGATGCTGTTGAACGAATATTGAGAGTGAAGTTTGCTGCTGGATTATTCGAGAATCCTTTAAGTGACAGATCCTTGCTGCAGACAAGTGGTTGTGAGGTAATATTTCCTGATATGCCTATCTTTTTTTTATATAAATTTATTGTCGATTAAGTAGCCAATATCATTGATTTTTAGAGTTAATTTGTTTAGTTGTGGTTGCAAAATGATAGACTTACATAGACACATTGTTTCAGCTGCACAGGAAATTGGCACGCGAAGCAGTTCGAAAGTCATTAGTTCTTTTAAAGAATGGGAAGGATCCCAAACAACCGTTTCTGCCATTAAATCGCAGTGCTAAAAAGATTTTAATTGCTGGTACACATAGTGATGATATTGGGTATCAATGTGGAGGATGGACGATGACATGGGATGGAAAAAGTGGCAAAATAACAATTGGTAAGCAATCATAGATGTATCTGCAAACTGAAATTTTTGCTTCTTGGACTAGTAAGGGTGTACTGTTAGGGAAGAGCGGCCTAGAACTTATCTTTCAACATAACTAGTCATAAGTCAGTCTTATGATTTTGTTGGTTCTTCCTTTTTCCATGGAGGTTGAGTTTGATTCTTCCATCAACTAATTCAAGTTTGCATTGTTTCCATTGTTGCTACAAAACACGTACGGGTTGCAATGTATCAAGAGAAGGGAGCATGGCCTGTTATAAGCGTTGTTTGTTGTTCCCTCACCTTAATAGACCAATAAAGTGTGCTTTCAAGCAACATTTAGTTGTGAGGTTCAGAAACATTTTTTTGTCAGTTAAAGAATCATTGTCTTTTTACCTTTTGCAGGTACAACTATTTTGGATGCAGTGAGAGAGGCTGTTGGAGGCGACACAGAAGTGATATATGACCCAGAACCATCGGCTGAGACCTTAGCCAGCCAGGATTTTTCTTTTGCAATTGTAGCAGTTGGTGAAGCTCCATATGCTGAGTTCAGTGGGGATCGTAAGGAACTCCCGATTCCATTTAATGGAGCCGAAATAATCAGCTCAGTTGCCGATAAGGTCCCGACATTGGCGATCTTGATATCTGGAAGGCCTTTGTGTATAGAACCTCGCATTTTCGACAAAGTGGATGCTCTGGTTGCTGCTTGGTTACCTGGCACTGAAGGAGCTGGAATTACAGACGTTATATTTGGAGATTATGAATTCCAAGGAAAGCTGCCGGTATCATGGTTAAAAAGCGTGGAACAACTGCCACTGAATGCTACAGAGAATTCGTATGATCCTCTTTTCCCTATCGGTTTCGGTTTGTCCAGCAAAAGGGAACTACTTTAGGGCTTATCCAATTCTTCATGAGTGGAAAATATCTTGTGCATTTGAAGCACGGAAGGATATTACTTTGTTGTGTACTGGGGTGATATCAATTCTGATGAAACTTCCAAAACAGTAGTACAAAACAGAGGAAACACCATTTTACACATGTAACACCTGAATCTATAATTTTCTAGTTTTTAAGTCAAGGAGAAGATTTTGGTCTTGATCTTAGTCCCGATTAGTTATGTGAATTGTGAATGAAGGATAGAGCTAGTGAAAAAATATATAGGGACTGTACAACTTGACATATTTGTCGATCGATCACTAATTTCATATTGATCATCAATGATGGATTATCGCATCAGTCATTATCATATTCATATTTGTCGATCGATCACTAATTTCATAATCATCAATGATGGATTATCGCATCAGTCATTATCATATTTCATTACATCTGTCACCGGACATACCGAGACTAGTAGTTAATGTTATGAATTTGGAAGGCAAAACACAATGTATTAGTGGTGCCAGTTGTGTAGAAAGGTATTATTCGCAAGAGAAGCTTGTTGCCACCTCAAATTAAGGAAAAATTGGCCGATCTATCCAAATGTTGACATGCGTTGTCAATTTTACCCTATTCTTTTTCGGTTAGCCAATATTACCCTAAGCTATCCAACCGTTAGCCGATTTTGTCCAATTTGCCAATTTCCGTTTAAATTAACGGAATTCCGTTAGTTTTAATTACAAAAATACCCTAATAGTTTTGAAAATTATAAAAATGACCTCAAAAATTTGTAAAAATAACCAAACAGTCTTTTTTTCACTTTTTATTTAATTTTTTCTGTTTTCTATTTCTTTTCACTATTTCTCATAACTATAAAAAATATATTATATAATCTTTTAAAAAAAGCTATTTATTTTTAAAACACTATTGTGCAAATTTATAGAATATTCGTAACTCATGGTTGATTTACATAAATATATTAATTTTTTAATAATATAATTTAACAGTAATGATATTATTTTTTTAATCTATTTTTTTCAATCTAAAAAATAAGATTATTTAACTAAACCTAATTTTGCACAAAAAATAAAACATTTAGCATAGATTAAATTTTTTTTATTGGTATACTTTAATGTATTATTACAATATAATTCAATAGAATTTAGATTGTATTGTAAAATTTAAAAAATAATTAAACTAAAATATACATTTTCTTTAAAAGGCTAAGTACAAACAGAAAGTAAAAAAAAATGGTACAAAATATTTTATAAAAGATATATATATTTATCATTGCGAGAGTTTAATATTTCGTGATAATTTTTTTGAGATATTAATATCTAACTTTAGCAGGAATTTTTTTTTTAATAATAATAAAAAAAATCTGCTCCAGTACTGGACTCCACCCTTAAAAAAAATATCGCCCAGTGAGAATTGAGACCTCGAACACAGTAATAATCATCTCCCATCTTAAATCACCTGACCATCCAACTCAACCCTCTCACCTTTAGTAAACCATGCATAAATGTGAATAAAATCACTCTCCCTGTTAAAAATCATTAGTGAGAATTAATCTTATATCTACTATCATGAAGCTCAACACTCTAAACACTTGATTGTACACTATATTTTAGTTTAGTAATTTTTTGAATTGGATAATACAATCTATAGTTTGTTTATTCAATTTGTAATAAATTAAAATGTACTAATATATTAATTTTTAATCTATGCTAAATGTTTTACTTTTTTGTAAAAAATTAGTTTTTAGTCAAAAAATATTATTCTTTAAATTGAAAAAAGGATTAAAAAACTAATATCATTATTGTCAAGTTATATTATTAAAAAATTAATATATTTATGTAAATCAACCATGAGTTACAGATATACATATCTATAAATTTGCACAGTAATGTTTAAAAATAAATAGTTTTTAAAAAATCATATAATATATTTTTATAGTTATGAGAAATAATAAAAATAAATAGAAAACAGAAAAAATTAAATAAAAAGTGTAAAAAGACTGTTTGGTTATTTTTACAAATTTTTAGGGTCGTTTTTATAATTTTCAAAACTATTAGGGTATTTTTATAATTAAAACTAACAGAATTCCGTTAATTTAAACGGAAATTGACCAATTGGACAAAATCGGCTAACGGTTGGATAGATTAGAGTAATATTGGCTAATCGAAAAAGAATAGGATAGAATTGACAACGCATGTCAACCTTTGGATAGATCGGCCAATTTTTCCATGAAATTAATACTCATTCCATCTCTGAATAGTACAACTTGTTAATAGCACGTGACATCCCTAAGTTTTAACATTGGAAATAAGAAATGCCCAACTTCTAATAGAGTTTCCAAGACAAATTGCAAGTTTTTCTTATTTATGGATAATTAGGAAGAAAGACGTATAGCTCAATCTTGTCATAAATAACATTGTAATTTAATTCGTAAAATATTCACAACCATTTTATGTGACTAATGTGATAATTAATCATTAATATTAGTAATATTAATTACTAATGACGGAATTGTCGCGTCAATCATTATCAAAAATCCACAAGAAATCTTTCACTAGATATTTATTACTAGTAGTTGAACAAGTAAATAAATAGGAAAAATGTTGTACTTACTTTTTTTCTTTAGTGTAATACGATACTGATGAATGTGCTTGTTACGTACTTCCCACCTATACCCACAGAAGAAAACAACAAACAGAAAGCTGGGTTCGATTGAGGTTTTTGTCATCGAAATTGCGTGCTTGAATGAAATTGCAATTTTCAAGGTGTATTATTAGAAAATGTTGGAAATGCACCAGTAAAAGATTGGTTACTTCCATCGTTCCCTTTGTTCTGTAAAATCCGCCATAGCCATTTTCTTCCCTGCTATCCATCAAAACCTTACTTAAGCTCTTTTTTTTTTTCAGCTCATAGAATTAGAGAAAAAAATAGTTCATTTGTACTGAATTGATCATCATTTCGCGAGAATGGATTGCATCTACAAAGACCCAAATGCTCCGATTGAAGCTAGAGTCAAAGACTTGCTCTCCCGCATGACCCTTCATGAAAAGATTGGTCAAATGACCCAGATCGAGCGCAGCGTCGCCACCCCTGAAGCCATCAGAGATCGTTGCATTGGTGTGGAAGTTTTCTCTTTCGTTTGTGATTTTTATTCTTAGTGTTCTTCTTCACTCTTGTTATGCTTACTTGCTGAATTGGTGGTGGTGGGCTGAGCTTATTTGCAGGAAGTGTACTAAGTGGTGGAGGGAGCAAGCCATTTGATAATGCTAACTCAGCTGATTGGGCTGATATGGTTGATGGGTTTCAGAAGGGAGCTCTGGAAATGAGGCTCGGAATCCCCATTTTTTATGGTTCTGATGCGGTCCATGGCAACAACAATGTCTATGGTGCTACTATCTTTCCTCATAATATTGGTCTTGGAGCTACTAGGTAAGCTGGCTCATGTGTCATTGCCTCATTGGGCTTAATAGTTCCTAGCAAATAGTTGAATTTGCAGCTAGTAAATTAGATGATAAAACGAATGATACTGATTGAATTTTTAACTAGTAATTAGTCGAATGGTGTGTTTCTATTGTTGCAGGGATACTGATTTACTGAAAAGGATCGGTGCTGCCACAGCTCTCGAAGTCAGGGCTAGCGGTGTTCAATATGCCTTTGCTCCCTGCGTTGCTGTGAGTTGCAAATTCATATAACTCATTCATGATTGAATATCTCCTTTTAAATAAGCCAGTAGTCTGTTATTATTTTTTTTGCTCTACATGAACATGCGCCAAGTGAATGGACCTCTTGGTAAAGTTTGTCAGAAAATATAGCAGAGGTGCCCCTTGAATTACAGTGGTGCGCGCTTACGTAAAGCACCTTGTGTTGTGCATGGCATTTTTCCGTATCTATCTAATGGTTATGTTTGTCGGACCATTCCTATCTAGTTAACAAAATCACATTACATGCATTTTCTAGATTAGGTAGGTTTTAAGCATTTTCAAGAATGAATTGATGGTGGTCAAGTAACCAAGACATGACGTTGATGTGATTATGTTGGCAATATGTTTTGATCACTCATTTCTTGGCTTTCCTTTGAGTAAGGGTTTGTTTAAGCCTTTCATTTCTATCCTTAGAAGTCCTTTAATTTTTCTTTTTAAAAAGATCCTCATACTGCCATGAAAAATTTAAGATAAAACTTTGTATATTTCCTGATTGCTATCCCGTAGTATTTTCCAAAATCCTGTTGCTCGCTTGTCAGTCAACAAGTTCTATTTCTTGACAGGTCGCTAGAGACCCAAGGTGGGGAAGATACTATGAAAGTTACAGCGAAGACACTGAAGTTGTTAGAAAGATGTCCTGCCTTGTCTCAGCCCTGCAGGGAGAGCCACCTGCCGGACACCCAAGTGGCTATCCTTTTCTTGCTGGAAGGTAGTAAACGTACATGCATACTGCTGGACTTTTTTACAGGTGTACTGGACATATTTAATCACATTTGTCAAAGTTAGTTTATGAAATATTCTTGAAATCGTTGAGTTATGTGGTCGTGGTATGTACTAGATAAATGAGTAACTTTAACGCGTAGCAAATGCATCACTGGTTTTTTTAAACACTTGCAACCTCTAGAGATAGATGATATGGAATTGGTTACTGTCAAATATACTTTGCATATCATATGATACCATCCAATTTCTTATCTCCTTTTTCTGTTTACATATTTAAGGTAATGCAGTAGTAAATTCCAATTATGCTATCTTTCACTATTGATCTACTCCGTGGTTTTTTATTCACATAATATCTTTGATATTGCTCGGTTTTAATTATTTTGCCTCCATTTGAAATTTTGTTGCTACGCAGCTGGATTTTACATTCATTTATGTACTGTCATTTAATTTCAGAAACAATGTTATGGCTAGTGCCAAGCATTTTGTTGGTGATGGAGGAACCGATAAAGGCATTAATGAGGGGAATACGATCATAGAGTATGAGGATTTGGAAAGAATCCACATGGCACCATATATAGATTGCTTAGCTCAGGGAGTTTGTACTGTTATGGCTTCTTACAACAGCTGGAACGGAAAGAGGCTCCACACTGACCATTTTCTTCTGACAAAAGTCTTGAAGGAGAAGCTTGGCTTTAAGGTACATCTATGTAGCCTCATCATTTGCATCCCCAAAACTACATCATTAACTAATGATTAAGAGTAAAATCTGAATTATCCTTGGTAAATTTTTACTTTTAGAAACGTGTAGATTATTTGGCTCTGAAATTGCTGTACTTAAATGTCCCTTACCTAATCAAAAGAACATGAAACTTGATGAGTTTGCTTATTTTTACTTCATTTCCTGACTTTAAGCTACCTGAACTGACTTCAACAATGCTTGCCGCATGTGTTTGCAAATTGCTGCCTGAGACAAACTGCTTATCAGTATCAAGTTTTAAGAAAGACTAATTACTAATTATACTGCAGGGCATAGTCATTTCAGATTGGGAAGCGCTTGACCGGCTTTACAGTCCTCATGGATCTAACTATCGTCAAAGTATATTATCTACAGTCAATGCAGGAATTGACATGGTAGATATGAAATTCTCCACATTGCAAATAAAAATATTTCATATCACATATTCTTATCATTTTTCCTTGAAATTTGCAGGTAATGGTGCCTTTTAGATATGAATTGTTTTTGGACGAACTTCTGTCTCTGGTTGAGTCTGGGGAAATACCAATGGAAAGGATTGATGATGCTGTTGAAAGGATCCTCAGAGTGAAATTTGTCGCTGGACTCTTTGAATATCCGTTTGCCGATAGATCTTTACTTGACATTGTTGGCTGCAAGGTGGTTCTTCTTGTCTAAAAAGTTAGGTCATACATTTTATCATTTGATGTGCCATCATTGCGGATCTTGTCAACATGTTAACCTGTATAGGTTTTCCATTCATTAAGCTTAATTTGGTTGATGAAACATTTTAAAATTGTGTGAGCTCTTCCTTTTCCTGTTCCCCCTTGCATCAAAGTGGAAGCACTTACATGCTATAATTTCAAGAGTTGCAAGAGACCCTTAAACATCAAAAAGCCCTGTGCTTCCTCTAATGGAGAATGAGAAAATTTTATCTGTGCACTTTCCTCTGTGTATTTTGTGCCTTACATTCTTTTCCAGGTCTCATCTGGTTACTGACGTAAGTTGAAAAACGACTTTATTTTTTATTGCAAATCAAGCCTAAGCTGTCCTTTCAACTACTTGAATCTTATGGTGCTTTTTACAGATAAATTTTTGGTTCTGAGAATCTCCTTATTCTGTTGTAGGATAGGCGATTAAACTCTTTGCTTGTTCACGATTATTGCAGAAGATTCTAACTCGTTTGCTCTTGACATCTTGTGATTTTCTAAGTTAGCAATTATGTACAATCAGTGAATTCATGACTTTGGAACCATACAATACCTGGGAGAGTTAAGCATCAATCTGCTCACTTACAGAACTTAGTTCATTTTAATCTAATGCAGTGTTTGTTTCAATGTAATTATTTCAGAAGCATCGAGAATTAGCCCGGGAAGCTGTTCGGAAATCCTTAGTTCTGTTGAAGAATGGAAAGGATCCAAAGAAACCTTTTCTTCCATTAGATAGAAATGCAGACAAAGTTCTGATTGCAGGAGTACATGCTGATGATCTTGGATATCAGTGTGGAGGCTGGACTTGCACTTGGACTGGCACCAGTGGCAGAATCACAATAGGTAAGGTTTTTTAAAAAATAACTAAATTTGCTATGTTATTCAGTAGGTAAAGTTTTATTCGGATGGAGAATGGAGAATGAATAACTATACAGAACCATATCAATCAGAAATATTGTTTATGAAATGTTGACAGGAAAAAAGCTAGAGATTAACAGTGGTCAGTAATAATGTTCTTGGAACCATGATCATAGCATGTATTTACGAGAATATTCGAATTTTGTCACCACATTTGGACCCAAAAATATTCCGTGTTAGCTTTAATATGTAATGGCGATTCTATCTTTAGAGCTGAACTGCTGAAATTACTCAATTTCCAGGTACAACCATTTTGGATGCATTAAAAGAAGTGGTGGGACCCAACACCGAATTGGTGTATGAGAAAAATCCTTCAGCAGAAACCTTTGCTCATCAAAATTTCTCTTATGCCATTGTAGCAGTGGGTGAAAGTCCATATGTTGAAAGTGGAGGTGATGACCCAGTGCTAAAAATCCCTTTCAATGGAGATGAGTTAATGAGCTTAGTTGCTGAAAGAGTTCCTACGGTAGCAATCCTGATCTCTGGGCGGCCCATGGTTCTAGAACCTTCAGTTTTGGAAAAGGTAGAAGCATTTGTAGCTGCTTGGTTGCCTGGCAGTGAAGGAAGAGGAATAACCGATGTCCTGTTCGGGGATCATGCATTTCAAGGACGACTTCCTGTAACATGGTTTAAGAGCGTTGATCAATTGCCAATGCATTTTGAAGCAAATAACTGTGACCCTTTATTTCCTTTAGGCTATGGATTAACAACTAAAGCCAATGACAAAGAAGAAGTCAACCAAAACTGAGATTAGCAGTTGATCTGGGACAAAGTTCTTTGAAGCCAATGAGAAACAAGATATCCATCAGGTCATAACTTCTATAGACCTTGTAAGTTTGAACTTTTACTTTTGCTTCCTCTTCTGAAAACATACAATCTGAGGAAGGTGATTTGATGTATTTGTTTATTCTCCTTTTTCCATCTGCAATAGTAATTCTAGACAAGCCATGAGCCTAATCATATTCTTGTCCACGGTGGATTCTGTATTATTACGACAAAATGCTAAAACATTATTGTTTTTGGAGGATACAATACAAAGACAATGAATCTTCTGCTTTCCGTCGTTTCTATAATTTCCCTTGATATTTATGGTACTGAAAGCCCCACAGATCATTATTAGATCTCCGGTGGGCCAATGAGAGTTCCACAGGTCATTTTTACTATTTCTGTTGCAGTTCTTGATTGAGCCCCTTCAACTGATGTTTCTTCCAAGCAAGAACAGTTGGGGAGAAATGGGATGTTATACTACTGTAAGTGGTTAAATTTGAGTTTTCGACTCTCAGGATGAACACATGAGGCGTTACAAAAGTGGCGTCGCTGCTCGACTTCACGCCTCTCTATTTGGTAGAGGGGAAATTGTGTGTTTCCAACAGAAAGAATCAGAATGTGTTCTCTTAAGAGAAAAGGAATAATGAATCGGGTAAGACCGAAAGTGTGAGAAATGTGTGGAGTGGAGATAGGTGCCAATAGGGGAGATTCGAATTATGGGAGTTGAATTTTGTATGCAGAAGGTGCTTTGCTTCCTTGTTTTGGTGCAAGTTGCAGAAAATGCTGTTTTCTTCTTCCTTTTCCGTAAAAGATGAATGGTTAGTTTTTGGTCATTTTACACTGTGGGGGAAAAAAAAGTGGACTATAAAAACCGCACTCTGCTGCACTTTGTGCCTCCAAAAATAGCCTAATTGGCTAGGACTGAATATCCTACCATATCTAAATCTCTCAAGGTGGATTCCATGCTTCTTTTGAAAGTCCCCTCTTTTTCTTTTCTTTTCTTTTTTTTTTTTGGCCCCCCTTGTGTGTATTTGCAACTTGTTTAACTATCTCGTTAATTTTGTTATTCTAATATCCAAATAATTACTCGTGACTGAGTGACACTGACTATCACACTATATTAGTTATTAGGTAGTACAAGCGACTAATGGTAAACAACCTTCCACAAATTAGTATGATTTCTTCACATACTCTTCACATTTTTAATTTTTATCATTGTGTTTTCTTTTATTGTAGTTTATACATATGAAATTTTATCGGCAATAATATAATTATAAAAATGATATCTTTGTGTTGTACCAAAAAAAAAAAAGAAAAGAAAAGAAAAGAAGAATGATATTTTAACAATGATTAAGTGTGATTAAAAAAAATAGAAATGAGATTGATTGGGATGCTTTGTTAAATGCTTGGGAGCTTTTTCTTCTTTATCTTTATAAGTGGCATTTTAACTTAGTACAGAGAATTATTAAACCATCATAAACATTAGATATAATTGCTGAATATTCTTAGCTAAAGGCATGGATAAACAGAGCCTAGTCCCTGGATGAACTGTTGTTTCAACTTATTAGTACAGATTCATACAGACAATTTCAAAATTTCCGGACTAAATATTCAATTCCAAGAGTTTTTTAATTTTTAAAATCACGATTTGCAGATTGCCGCTCTCCAAATTCCTCTTCCAGTTTCTAACCGTGGCTAAATAACGCAAGTAGGACTCTGGTTACAATTTTACCGTAACATTTATTTAGAAATGAACCTTAACCTACGTAATAAACCTATTAAAAAATAAAAGTAAAATCATTCCAATGTCGGTAAGTCCAAACATATAATATAATAATTTTTGAGTGGCATAACATTAATCACGTAGCTAAAGTGCCCCAAGAACAAATAAAAAAGAGCATTGTAGGCAAGAAGTATCTCCAAAAAGTTCAGTGTACCCAAGAAAGGAATGAAAAAACCTCACCTTAATGTAATTATTTGCAAGTTGTTTTTCTGCATTGAGATCATTCCCCCCTTTCTGAAAAAGATCGCAACAACAACAACACACGGTTGTGTGTCTAATACTAGTCTCTCTTCTTTCTTCGTCAGCCAAACAGTACATGAAAAAGTTATCATAATTTAATATTTCACTCTTTTAGAAAGTGTATAGAAACTTGAGATTGTATTAGATACATTATGCATCACTTCTTTCGTCCCAAACTGATTGTCCTGTTATTATGAAGTATTGCATACTTAAGATTTTATCTTTAATTGAAAAAATACAACAGATAAAATTTAGATAAATTAAAATGTCTTATAATAAAAACAAGAAGGAGTATATATACAGCTTGAATAATTAATGCCACTCGGATGTGTCCATTAACAGCTGCCTACACTAGCACCATTGATTCCATTCAAAATAGCGTTTGATAATAATTCTTCTTTTTGTGGATTATTTTAGCGTATATTATTGGTGTTGTTTGGTGCCGTACTCTTCTGTATCATAAAACCATAATGCTTTTATGGACTTGTTTGGTTCAGCACTCGTGCAACTGTCTTACCAAAATTTGGTCTAATGGATCTGGTATTAGCATGGAAGAAAGCCACATTTTCAGAAAAGTTATAACCTTTAAAAGAAAAGGGGGTAAGATTTACAAAATAATTTTAAGAGCATTAACGAATTGATTTGAGTTTCGAGCGAAATACAAAATAATTATTCCTTTTGTTTCAAAATGATTGTCTAGTTTAGATTTTCATTTTTGATATAATTTAACTTAAAAATGAAATTTTAAACGGGACAATTTTATTAAGACAAACAGAAAAAGTATGTGGTGCTCAAGCTTAGCTCTAATCGTTGTTCGTGTAATATGGATCCAATGCGCAGAGTGGGGTTAATACTTAGTCCGCATTATTGATTGTCTTTTGGCAAACATCCATATTTAGATTCATGGAAATCTGGACTGGATCTTCAAGTTGTCCGAAAGATCTTCATAACTTTAATCATTAATGAAAATTTTTGCTCATGTTCCAAAGATTTGCTTGACAAAAATAACTCAAAAAAGGAACTGAAAGACCAGTTTTTTTTTTACTGATCCTACATGTTTCTTAGTGGAATTCGGTCTCAGATTCGACTTAAAAGGCCTGCTGCTGCCGCTGCTGCCTCCATGGTAAAAAAATACAGTTGAACAAGAAATCCACATCAAACTGGTAAAAGTTTTTAAACCCTTTGTTTTAAAATCCCTTGTTATTCACAAACTCACAGGAAATCATGCTACAATTTTCAGTTTTTTTTTTTATTTTTTTCCTTCTTTTTTCCATTTTGATTCTTCCTTTGAAGTGGTTTCTGACTCAGCCAGTGGAATGTGGATTGCAGCAACCAATCAAAAGAGCGGCATTCTTTTCGGTTATTATATATGGGTTCTCTGAGTTTCCAACTACCACTTGAGTAGTACAGTTGATTTTCAGTGCAAATCTAACTCAAACATGCATTCCATCACCCAGCCAATACACTTACTGCAGTCCCTTTTCATCCCAATATATGCAAATATAGAATACTACTTTGAAGGAATATAACAAATGCTTCAAAGTACTTCCATTTCTTTATTCTACTTTCTATGTTAGTGTATGTTAGACAAGTTGCATTTTTTGACTCTTACTAACAGTATGAAACACAAGATCAGAAGTGAGTGTTTAGGGCATTGTATGGCGAAATATGCCGAACTTTTATCAATGTACAATTGAGGCTGCTGAATTCTCTTCTATTATTTGTGCTAGTGATGATGTACAAATCTCACATTTTCTACTTCATTCTCCAACCAAACAGAGAGATCCTTGCATTATGGTAAGAACCTGAACTCTTCCGCAACAGAGTTGAACTACTACTAACTCAGTGTTCCAAATCGAAAATTTTCACACAATTGGAGAGAACAGAAGAACAAAAAGAAGGATAACATTAATAGTAATTAAAAAAAGCAAAAGAGGAAGCTAGCTAAATTCAACTGAGTTATGCTTGCTTTTCTGTTTTTTTTTTTAAATCATCCAACGAACTGTTGAAATCAAACTCAAGCATGAGGGAATTGATGCGTTGCTGGTTGCATCTGAAAGGCCATATTTTGACACCCTAAATAAGAACCGTGCATTGCAGCAGGAACTCCTCCTCTTTGCTGCAAATTCTGTCCCTGCATTTTGAGATCATAACTAGAATTTATGACTCCACGGGGCGAATTCGACGACATGAATATATTCCCTTGAAAACCACCACCAATGTTAAAATTCATAACTGATCCTCCATTACTATGATTATTCCCTTGATGATGATTCCACTGGAAAGGCATCATTTTGTGCACCCCAGAAGAGGAATTCCCGGAATGATGGTCCGGTGATGATGATGATGGTCTTTTTACACTGTCTGGGGAAGGAATCTGATTGCTACTGTCATTAAGGTTCACTGTGGTTATATCATGGATGCTTGCTCTTCTCTTATCTTTTCCACCAGAATGCTGCCTGATGAAATACTTTTGTGCATGGCTAGCAACTTGTGTTGGTGTCCTCGATACCACGAAATTCCTCGAGATATTTCTCCAATCACCCTTTCCATATTTCTTCAACCCCAACAAGAACAACCTGCAAGAAATCAAGAGCAACAAGATTGTTAAACAAAAAAAAAAAAAAAAGCACAGAATTTCTCAAATGATTCAGATGAATGACTAATACACTGTTTTCAGTAGTTTTGGACCACTTTCAGAACTTTTGAGCCTAACCCAAAACATCACTCAAAACAGAGTTGAAGACAACTTAATTGAAGCAAGACTGAAGTAAAGAATTGGATTTTTACCTGTGTTCTTCCTCTGTCCAAGGAACCCCTTTTTTCCTTTCTTGTTCAGAAGGTCGATTAGTTGGGGATCTTTTACCAGTTATTCCAACAAAAGATTGCTTAAATCCATCATATGAATGACCATTCCCCAATTCTAAAGTAAAAGGAGATGTGGAAGGAGCATAACCAGGAAATGGAAATAGCCCTGCTTCTATATTGCTCACATCATCTAACAATTCCTGGTACTGCCTCCAAACATCCTCTGCAGTTTTCCCAGGAACCATTGCTGCTACTTTCTCCCATCTATCAGGGGTGTCTTTATCGTATTTTGCAAGAGCATTCTCAAATGCCTTGTTCTCTTCTGGAGTCCACTTTGGTGAGTGCCAACTTGAATTTGAATTGAAAGAACCTCTTGCCATGATCTCCATATCCCACTTCACCAAATCAGAAGAAGTGGGATTTTTTTTTTTTTTTTTTTTTGGGTTGGGTGAAGCTTATTCTTGATAACACAGACAAAACACAATCTGGGTCTGTTAGCTCAAGAGATTTCGCACAAATTGAGCATATATATGATATAAATATGATGATGATAAGCTTTTTGAATGTGGTGAGAGGCAGAGACAGAGAAGAACAAGATAAGGAGAGAATCCAGGATTGCAAAAATGCAGGGAGGTGGAGATTTCACACAATTGCAATATCACTGTTAAATCAACTAAGCATTTGTTGAAGGAATCAGAATAAATTGTTTTCTTCTATAGCCACATCCTCACACCTGAGGAATCTTAAAAAGACCCACTTTTTTCAAATTCAAACAATATCCAAATAAAACATGATAATTTTTCAAAAGCCCTCAGGATTAGTGAACCTGATGATTCTCCTCCTTCAGTAATCAAAAAACAAAAACAAAAAAGGGGTATTCTCCTCCGAGATGAAAGGCTTCAACTTTCTTGTAAGATCTGAAACCATTAAACTTAGGATTGAAGATTAACATGTTGACACACTTTTTAAGAACTTCCCAGAATTCAAAACAAAGAATAAATTCAACAATCTACACTTCCAAAGTCCACACTCTTGATACCCAAATCAGGATATTAATAAGAAGGAAAAAAACTGGAAAAACGGTACAAGCAACAAGGCTACTACTAGCCTGTCTCTAGAAAGAAGCTGAACAGGGGACAACTTAAAAAAGCTGGAAATTTTGGAACTCAACAACTCAAGTGAGGAGGATTTCTGATGTACTACGAATTCAGAGAGGAAACTTGGGGTTTTGTGAAGGGAGAAAAAAAAAAAAAAAAGTTGAAAAGTTTTGTGCTTTCTCCACTTTTTTCCTACATGTAAGACCAACAACAAATAAAGAATAAAGAAAAAAAAAAAAGGAGTGACTGATGAAAAATCAAAAATGAAGTTTTTTTTTTTTATTTTTTTGAAGTGGAAAAAGCTAACAAGCAAGCTTCAAGGAATGAATCTTGGTAAAAAAAAGTTTCCTCCTTTAATGGCAGTGAAAAACAAAAAGAAAACAAAAAACCCTGAAACTCCTTTTTAGTAAAACAGAGAGAAAATCTACAGGAGCCCAGATGGGAAAAACAATGAAGAAAGAGGATGATGGAGGAAGGTGGTGAATTGTGATTGGAGGAGATGGTGTTTTATGGATACTGCAACTGATATGAGAAAGTTTTGTTTATTCCATAAATAGACAATCTTTTTCTGTCCTTTTTTTTTATATAATGAAAAAACAAACAATTGTTGCTAATATAAAAAGGGGGACACATAAAATTATTAATTTCAATGATGAATGAGGCATGGGTTGGCAATTCATGATGATTCATGGAAGCTCACCTTTGTAGCAATGGTCAATGGGGCCAATCTCTATGTATTTTGTTGCAGACTGTAGACCTTCTTCATCAAGTACTATTTTTTATTTATAAACTATAAGGAGAAGGAAGCTTTATTGTGAATTTGTTTGGAAGCAAATTTGATACCAGGAAAAAATATGGTCTTTTTTTTAATATATACTTCTTCTTCTGTTAGATGCTTTGAAATTTAAATTAAAGTAACATACCATTTTGATTTTAGTTTTATCTTATCACGCTTAAGAATTTATTTGTAATATAAGCTAATTTAAAATTAAACCTCGATCTCTATACAGAAGTTAAGTCTTACAGTTCATCCTACACTATTATCAGCGATTTTTTAGGTGGAAAAAAGAAAACAAGTCAATTTAGCTGTACGGAACAAAAATTGTGAAATTTGAAGATATATTGTCTCATCTACATTATTGTATCAATTTATAATGTATTGGTAGCTACTTGAATTTATTTTATTTTTTTTACTTGGGGTTTTCTCGATGGTATGTTTTCATTGATTATTTTAATCATTTATATTTCTTCTCCTCCAATGTCGCTTAAGCACAGTTATTACTTATGACCATTTCCTGCTGCATGGAGCCATGAGTTGAAGTTTTGTTCCTCAGTTTTTTTTTTATTTTTATTTTTTGAATTTCGTGGAGATGTATATATATTCGAACCTAAAATACTACTGCCATCCAAAAAAAAAAAAAAACAAACAAAAATACTAACAATAATAATAATAATAAATTGCTACAGTGTTTGAAGTAAACAAAAGATATGACAAAATTGAATCGTGTTACAGTGTTTAAATATTTATTCAGTTAGATTTCATTTCAAATATTAAAAGTTTAAGGTCTTGATCAATTGAATCGTTGCATAATTAACTAACTACTTAGAAGATCACAGAATTTGACTCAAATGTACTACAGTATCTAAAAATTTGTTTACGGAAATGTTATTTTATTTATGAACGGAATGGAATAATTCATTTTATGAAAATGCATTTCTTCGCCGACCCATTTTACAGTCCTCAAAGCACAAAATACTTCCATAAAACAACAAACCATGCATTTAAAAATGTTAAATTAGAGGTACATTATTGTTCTAACTAGAAATATTAACATTTTCTAATTTTACGGTATAATGATAGTCATTTACATATGGCCAAAATGATATTAAAATTTAATAAACTTGACTCGGCTGGAACTCTTATGTTAGTTTTACCAACCCGTTAACTAAAAAAGGTTTTCACTAGATTTTCTTTTTATTTTATATTAGTAGGAAAAGATTAAGTAGTTAATTTACTAACTATAATTTCAAAGTTAAATTAGAACTCCAAACTATGTACTCCCTCTGTCCCAAAATTATTGTCCAGTTTGAAATTTCACTTTTAGTATAATTTGAACTAAAAATGAAAACCCACACTGGACAATAATTATGGGACGGAAGGAGTATAACAATCAGGTTTCCTAAAGCTAGCTTGTGATCCTAGGCATATGGGGGTAGTTGATAGGTTCCAAACTTAATTGTCAGCAAATGAATGGTTAATCTAAAAAGTACAAGGTTTAATTGTCGACAAATGACTGGTTAACCAATCAATTTCATTTGAAGCATCCATATCAATGCAACATAGATGATTAAAATTAAGGGTTGACCTATATATATCTTTTGAAAAGCTAGCTTAAACCACCACATAAATAATTAGACTAATGTTTTGAGTGTAATAAAGAACATTTGCTTAATCATATGTGGCAAGTTTAAATAGGTTATTTTATTATTCTAGAAGAGAGCTTTGGTAACTTTTTTGTTTATTGACAACTACCTTGGACCTTTTTATTCATTTGCTGATTTTCTTTCAAGAAAACCTTGGACAATGACAACAAAGTTTAAAGTAAATGACAAAAAGAATTCGGTGTATTCACCCAATTCATATTTAAAATAAGTGAATAGTGATTTCATTGAAATTAATAAAATTAGTCCATATTAGTTTGTTGCTCTAAATACATTAACTCAGATATTCATGACAGTCGAATAATGAAATTTAGTAATAAAAAACGTAGTAACTGAAAAGGATAAGTTTGAACAAAAAGAGGAGAAGAAAGCCTTGTCGCCTAGAGATGTAAAATTTCATGATTCTTCTTCATGGGTGGCATCGGAGTGAATATTGTTTATCTTGTCCGTATAAAAAATGGTCTGGTTTATCATCGAAGTGACTTAACTTAGGGTAAATGAATTGTTTTTGAGATTTTTTTTTTTGTTTAAAAAAAAACACATACGCATTTTAGGTTTTGTTTGTTTTCTTTTTTTAGTTGGTTTTTTCAGAATTAAATATAATAATTGTCCCATTTCAACGTACCTTTTTACATTTTCAATGCACCTTTTTACATTCTTAATACCAAAAACACGCACTAAAAAAACAAAACAAACATACTCTTAGTTTCTTCATCGGTATTGTTATAACTGCTCCAATTTTCAAGATGAATCAACTCCAAAAAAAAAAAAAAATCATTTATCATTCACGGTCGTTTACATTTAGAGCTACCGCATCTCATTGAGTAGCTTTCGTTCTCATGGCTATAAAAGAGGTCCAGAGAGTAGCCGCCAAATAACGGTTCTGATCAAAAATCAATTTTCCCCACAAAAAGCTACAACGTCCCATTCCCCCGGTTGGACCATCGGCTCCGGTGGCCCCAACTCCCAATCAGTACACACCTTTCACCGGGTCACTCTATATACATATAAAAATTTGTTGATGATGATTATCGATCGAACCGGGTTACAGAATTTCTAATCAGCTGCTCCTTGCCTACTGGATTCCACATGCGCGCTTTAAATCACAATTCTTCATCTCCCAAATCGTAGGACCCAATCAAAACATTCGTTTCATCTCCTAATCACACGTCTGACAACAGGTTCATCTCTACCTAAACTGTTCCGTAATCCCGGCCACACCTGATCCAAGGGAATTCACTATACCCAGCTACCCCGTTTCTAATTTTTTTTTTTTTAAGGTCAATTTTTACTCCAACGTTTTCATTTTCTCATTTTAGAGTTTAGATTGATGACGGGTATATCACTGGTTGAAATGTTTTGAACGTCTCATCTCGTTCTTTGAAGAAAATTTTTCATACAACTTATGTATCACGTAAAATTATGCAGCTAAATACATGAAAAAAAAAAAAGGAATTTAGGGGGGAGTACCCTACGGCATTCAACCAATCAAAAGGGAGGGGTCCCGCTTCACTGTCCAGATGATGTGACCAACTGCTCCACTGCTTTTGTCTCCGTCTTCCTTTCTTTCTCTCCTCTGTTGTGCCACTCCCCCATTGGAAATCTACACGTCTAGGGTCTCCCCCACAGCTACCCGTCCACCCAACCAACAACCCCAACCCCCCGCCCTTCCTATGTTCTACATTTCTACGACCCACAACATTTGACCTTATTGCCCCTCTTAGGTCAGGCAAATGTGAATCAAGTCATATTTTGTGTTCACACACGTGATGGATAAATTACGATCTTCATATCTATACATATAGGGATATTAAGGCTTGTATGGCCAACATCTCATTTTGATTTTTATTTAGTTTTTTGTTTGAGTTTGAGATGTGATTTAAAATGTCTTTTTATTAAAATAATATTATTTTTCACCACCACTGACCACCTCCACCACATACCTCCGCTGCCGGACTGCCGCCGCCTGCCAGTCGCCGACGGAGGTAGTCCGGTGGTGGAGGTAGGTGGTGGAGGTGACCAGTGGTGGTGGGCGAAAATTGTGTAAAAATAATTTTTGGAATATGTTTTAAAAGGTAAGTTAAAAAAATTGTTTGGATAAAATTAGATTTTGTGTTTGAGAGGTGTTTTAAAAAGTAAAAAAGAGAAAAAATGCAAAACAAAAGTTGGACGAACAAGACCTAAGTCTGTGGTCACGGGGGCATAGTTAGTCGTTCTAGGCATATTTCAAGTATTTGGCTTCTCGTATCAAGTTTATATCATGTTACAATTATTATCTCTAAGTCTAGCATAGCGAGTTTTATCCTCATAAAAGGGGATGTATAGTGAATAAACCCACTAGGGAAAATGACTATCAATAGTCACTTGCAAGGGATCATCACATGGTTGGAACTTTGGAAGAAAAGGCAAAAAGCAATAATTGGAACAATCTTCATTTGAGTTTTTGGGCTAGTTTTAGTGGGTCCTAAATCTTAGGCCCATTGCTTAGAGATATTAAACAGGGGGATTAATGTTTACTTAATAGCTTTTTAACCTTGATTTGCTTCGGTTTTAATCTATTCTCTTTAAGCGTCTATACCTAACACAATAGTGACCTTTGTTCTTCGGCTACAAGCATAGAAATGCTCGAAATCGGTTTCATGTGAATCGTTTTTTCTGTGTGTTTGTGGTAGTGAAAATGTAAAAAACAAATGTCTCAAAAAAGGAATATATTAATAAAAAAATTATGAAAACAAAAACTATTAAAAAAAAAAAAGGGAAACCAAACAAAGTAAGTTTGGTATCTTAAAGCTGATTTGAAATTGAAAAAACAGATCAAAGAGAGTGCGGAAACTCGAACATCTCTATTTATACTGTCTTCGACTATATATCGTAAAAGTTGGGTAGGATAGTAAAATGAACATTTATTACCAAAATGAGATTGTGTGGGTAATTCATTCTTCTATTCAAAATAAAAAATAAAAAGAAAACATACTGAAGATGAGTTACTCTTCATAAATGATAAATTCCGTCGCATATCTCCATTGAGAGGAGCTGAATACTTGAACGTGTTCCAACAAAAAGATTGTTGTTGGTCAAATTCGTGCATTATATCTGAATGATTGAAATCTCGGAGAGCTCTGACACGTGCATCTCGTTCAACTAATATTGGTCCATATGCATCTTAATCAAAGGGAAGTGAAGGCCAAGAGTTTCAAATTGCAGTATTGTTTTTGGCCATTGTCGGTTAATTTGATCACTTAGTCGATGGATTTCACT